CACCAAAACACCCACCCACAATGTCCTCCCAACCCTCCGAAGCAGACCGCCCCAAAATAGGCGTCGGCGTCATAATCCACGACCGTCGCGGAAACATCATAATGGGCCAACGCACCACCTCGCCCGGAAAAGGTAACCCCCCTTCCCTCCCCTCCTCTCCCCCTTTACCCCCCCAATTCCACCCTAACACACTTCAAAGGCACACTCCAACTCCCAGGCGGCCACCTCGAGCACTCCGAGACCTTCGCCTCCTGCGCGGTCCGCGAGACGCGCGAGGAGACGGGGTTGGAGGTGGCGGACGTGAGGTTTCTAACCGCTACGAACACTGTTTTCCCCCCTGAAGAAGGGGAGCAGCGGGGGAAGCATTATGTTACTGTTTTTGTTACGGCTGTGGTTTCTGAGGGATCTGAGAGGAAGGCGCCGGTGGTGAGTTTTGCCCCCTTTTTCGTTTTTTTTTGGGATTTGGGGTTTGGGGTTTGGGGTTTTAGAGGAGAGTGCTGACGAGATGGGGATTGCGTAGAATATGGAGCCGAATAAGTGTGATGGATGGGAGTGGGTTGCGTGGAGGGATATGTGGGACTGGGCTGGGGAGCATATTGCGGAGAGGGAGGGTGAGGGGCGAGAGGGAGAGGGAGGGGGAAGGAAGTTGTTTGAGCCTTTGGTGAATATAAGGAGGATGCATCCTAATCTGGAGAGGTGTCTTGAGGGGCTGTGAGGGTTGTATGTGCTTGATTGTTCGTATGTAAGCGTGTATGGAGATGGGATGAGCGATCCACTTCCAAAACATTGAGAGAATTATATGTATGCAAAATATGAAACTAAAATGACATGAATGAATGCTCAGCGGGTATACATTTCCCTCTCCCTTTCCTCATCTTCATCCTCGTCATCACTCCTATCCCCCCAAACGCCCTTCTCCTCCCTCGCTACCTCGTCCAAATCAATCAAGCCCTCTCCACTCCTCCTGCCGTCCACGAACTCCCCGTCATCCTCCTCATCGTCATCACTGCCGTCGTCGGCACGTATCGCCTCTTCCCTCGACATCTCGCCCCACCCCGCGTCCTCGTCGTCGTTGTCGCGGAGGTAGGATGGCGAGACGGGAACGTAGTCGTCCATTAGATTTTGCGGCATTCCGGGCAGGACGGGGCGGGTCGTAGATGTGGAGGATTGGGGTGGGGGCGTCATGGGGAGCATTGCGAGTTCTGGGGATTGGGTGAGGTTGTCTGGAGTGGATGTGCGTGGTGGTTGCTGGTGGTCTCGGGAGGTGGATGGACCTGGGGTGTCGTCTATTAGGTTTGGAGGCGAGGGTTTGGGGTCGTCTGGTTTAGGGGGCTTGGGGAACTTTGATGGGTTGCGGTGCTGGTGGTGGGTTGAGGGGGGTGAGTCGAAGTCGACGTGCTTCTTTTGAGAGGTCTTGGGAGGAATGGCGGGTGATGTTTGGGTCATTTCTGGTTCCTTGGGCATTTGCTGTGCTGGGGGTAGGTTGGCATGATGCTCGGTCTGCTGTTGCTGGTTGAAAGGGAAGATGGAGAACAATGACGCGCTGAGGCTGTGTCTATTGACTGTAGGGCGTGTTGCCGGTTCTTCGGGCTTCTTTTGCTGTGCAGTTGACGGCGGTGGAACGGAAGCGGAATGGGAATGTGACGATTTGGATGGTTTGGCAACTGGACTCGCGGGCTTCGTGACCAAAGTATCAGGAAGATCTGCGGAGCACATTTCGCAGGCTGTGAGATCGGGGTGGTTCAAGAATGTGCAGCGTGGACATTGCTTCTTCTGAGGGGGTGACGGAGGTCTGTCTTCGCTTGTATCTGGCTGAGGAGGAGCTGTTGACTGATTAGGCTCATTCGAACTGGGCATGGCATAGCCTGGGCTGTATCTCTGCGCCGTCTTGGAAGAATTGCGTCGCGGCCCTGGCGTATGTGCATTTTGTTGCTTATGCGAAGGTCTTGCACTTGTTGTCGTAGTGGTAGGACCGGGATTCGGATCGATTGATATGATAACCTTCACATCTCTCTTCGAACCACACTTCATGCACTGCGACTGTCTCACGACACTCCTCGTATGCGTATCCGTAATGTCTGCCGGGGCGTCGAACCGAATCTCGAACCTATCCGGCTCACCAAACGTCCCAAGTCTATCTTTCTGTTCCCATGCCGCAGCATTCGAATACCCAGCACCCTTCGCCACGATTGGCAAGATGGGATCGATCGTTCCAAACACCAAGTGGTCGACGAAAGGAACTAGCATCAACGTCGTGCTGCTTTTAATCTTCGCGTCGACCTCAGGCCGGAGCTTGAAGTCGTCCACGGAGTGCAGCAACTTGAAGTACTTGTAAAACATATCCCCATACCACTGCCGAACCTTGACGCCCTGCTGCAGAAGCTCCGGCTGGATATTCCTCGGCGCGGGGCTCGGCCACAGCGAATTGATAAGATGCTTCTCCTTCAGCGCCTTCCGGACCATCAAGTCCAATCTATTACTCTCATACAACTTCTTCTCCAACCGCTCGTGCTGTTCGTACTTAGCATACCGCACGACAAGACCCCTCACAAAGCCCGCATCGAGATTCTTCAGCCGGATGAAGTAGTCCAGGGACTCGAGGTCCTTCTGCGCCTGGGCGTTCGCGGGCCGGAATCCCAGCGGAGACAGCTCGTGGCCCATGCCGACCCAGCGTTCGCTGTGGCGGGGGGTGGCGGTCGCGGTGCTCCATATCGATCGGATGGGTGCGTATTCGGCTTTGAAGTAGTTGAAGACGAAATCGAGGAAGTCGGCGTCGTTGAGCGGGAGCATGGCGTGGCCGCGTGGGATCTCCATGGTGGGCGGGGTGGGATGTATAACAACTCTTTCTTTCTTTGCTGGACGACGACCGGGTGGGTACTGAATGTATGTATGTCTGTCGGTCCTGGCGATGAGAATATCTACGACATTCAAGGAGAACGAAATATGCACAGTATGAAACCAAACGCTCGAAAATGAAGAAGAAATTATTAGAGAAGACACAGTGTCTTGCAGAAAGTCAAAGCAAATTCGCAAATCGTAACGAGGTGAGGTGTTCCCGTAAAACGCCAGTCAGCTCTGCACATTTAGTCGACGATAAATGTTGCTGCCTTGCGCCAGAGGAGTGAAGAGTTACGTGTACAGGTACAGTTCAGGGCCTGAACTGAAAGAAATGACGAAGCCTCCCACGGTACTGGACGGGCACCTCGTGATATAATTTAGTCTGGTCATTCAGTCGAATGCGGGTGGCCAATAAATGAATGAATCATGTTCGTTGCGCTGCGATTGGGATTTATGCTGGGTACGTCATTCGACACAATTAAGACCGACCGAGGCTGTGGCGATGTGGCGCAGCTGCGGTCACAATCCAGCGAAATAGAGAATTCATCCGTCGGGGCAATCCTTCTATACGGGAATCGATTGTTACGGACGAATGACTTCCACATAAAGAGCTTGTTCATAATGAATTAAAGTCGATACATTTTGATTGTTTTTGTTGTATGTTCATGTTCAAATTTGCGAAACCATGGATGGGGGACCCAGACCGAGGCCTGCCACCATCAAACGCCGGCGATGATAGTAATGGTGAATCTATATGCCAATAAAACTCCGAATAATGCCATACGATTAGAAACTGCATGAACTCCATAGGATGCCAACAACAATGAACGATCATACCATGAGCCTCTTGCTCTACTCGGGTATCATAACCAAAATCACCAAACGCTTACCATCTTTCTACGCAGACTCTACATCTATCCAGTTGCGGTCACCGTCTGAGTCCATTTTGGTCTACGGAAAGGATGAGCTTCGGTGTTGAACACCCAATCATCTAGATCGATCATGTCTGGCGGGCTGAAAATCAAGTAAAAATACTTGAGCGTCTCTGCCAGCCAGAATGACTCCATTTTGTCTTCTGGCAGCGGCGATGGATCGGCCTCGGTGATATCGATGATCTGACCATTTGCGAGTCTCGTACTCGAGTGCTTTCTGATGCTGGTGAACATGTCCCACGCATGGTCCATGTACTCCTCCTGTCCGGTGATGCGGTGCATGATGAAGACGGATTCGATGGCCTCGGGGCGCAGGAGATACCGTTTATCACGGAGGTCGGTGAAGCCTTCGGGAAGTTTTAGTTCGTCGACCATGTCCTGAAAGTCGTCGTGACTGTGGGCATAGGTCTTGCGAAGGACTTCTTCTTCCCATTTCGTCGCGTTCCACGGGCATGAAGAGCGCGAGTCGCAAGCAACGATGTCGAAAATCTCAGGCATAACACCTGTTGGCATGGAGCTGTAGGCGAAGATGCAACCCTCGGTCAGCTTTGCGCCCAAATCAACATGATGGTCGTTCTCGAAGATCCGGCCAGCGAGGCCAAAGAAGCCCCCGATAAAGCATGTCAGATGCTGCATTTCTGCATCCAAACTGACATGGTCTGGGTCTTTCGCGTGTGCACTGCCACTGAACAGGATTTCCTGACCCCGCGCCGTGTCGGGGATCATGGGACGGTAGAGCAGATGTTTGTCAATCATCTCGGCGGAATCCTTGTACAATTTCTCGTACACCGGTTCCAGCCCTCCAAGCAATGCGAACATCTTAGGGAAATATTCGTAGGTGGAGTCGGCCATCGCACCCATGGTGAATGTGCGATCCTGCGTGATATCTTGCTTGTATGCATTCACCCAAATGGGAAACAGTCCTGGAATGCGGGTAGTGTTCTGCGCGCGGTCGAAAAAGTCTGTCACGCGAGCGACAGCATCGTAGTATTTAGCTTGCCCGGTGACTTGTGCTAGGCGAGTGAATTCCATGGTGAGGGAGCCAATTCCTGCCAAACAGATACTGTTGTCCGATGAGAATCCCGGCCCATCAGACAGCTTTGAGGGCTCGACCGCGAGGCGGTCCTGAGGCATGTTATTGTCGGTATCAAATGCGCGATAGAGCATTTCTCCCAATTGAATGGCCTTATCGAGTAGCACCTTCTCCCCGCTAAGATCATATGCGGCCAACAGGCCACCAAGATAGCGAATGGTGGTCTCGAATACGCTGATGGTACTCATGTCTGATTTTCCAAAGTCTATTGTCGCCACAGCTTCGACAGCCTCGTAGAATTCTTTCTTGAAGCCCATGATCCACAGAGTATCAAGAGAGTCCACCAATGTCGCTCCCCAACCTCCAAAAGTATCGTCCCCTTTCCCGCTCAACGGCGTGAGCTCGTCTCGGGTCCATGCGAACTTCTTGTAGCTGTCCCAGCTCCGTTCAAATTCCTCGCGCACCGCTACACGGCGTTTCTCCCGCAACCTCTTCTGCGAGGACGTCTCTTGGGCGAATTTATATTGGATCGGTGGGAGCGTATGAGGACGGCCAGTGGGCAGCGGCGTGTACGATTCGATCTTGTTTCGGAAGGGGGCCTTGCGCCAATCGTAGGAATCCTTGGCTACGAAATTATGTGTGCCCGGTGGTACATTCATGTATGCGACATGTTGCTCGAAGGGGACGGCAAATGCATCGATGGGTCGGTGGTAGAGGTAGACGAGCGCAAAGACGGCAACGGCACCAAAGCAATAGTACAGGGTCCTTCGATGTAGTCGTGTGATAGGTTGGTACTTTGCGTTACGTGGCATGTGAATTTTGGGTCGCATCGTGCAGAGCGACAGCGTCGGCGGTCGCAAAGAAAAAAAAGGTAATTAGAGAATGCTCGCATGCGATGGGACCGGAGGGTTTATGGGGTTCCGACAAAGGATTGTGATGTAAGGCGAGACACTCGGCTCAGGGATATGTCGAAGGAAGAAAGTACTTGATCCAGCCGTCCAATTAAGGAGGCAAGCGGTATGTACAAGTAAAAAAGAAAGTGATGATGGTAAGACTTCGAAATCCTCCGTCCAGGAGCTGTTCGAAGCACCGACCACGTTGACGGACCCCCAATAGGAGTAATTGTTAGTTACTACCACCACAGGTTAGATGTCCAACCAGCGAGCGCGAAGGATGCTGTGCTATAATGACGATCAGATAGGATAATGGAGGATCAAAAAATCAATGAGCGGGTGGGGTGGAAGGATGTACAACATGGGAGAAGGAGAGGGGAAGAGGAGCAACGATGATTAAAAGAACACCTGTAAGTTAGCATTTGGTAAGGATTGATTGCATGCAGAAGAGCGGCGACCATAAAGGCAACGGTGTGGTGGTCATTCGTCCATTCGGGTATGGGAATGTACCAGTGTGTATGGAGTAATGCAATGCTATCCATGACAGTAACGAGGACGGAGTAGGGAGGTCCCAGTCTACCAACCCCATCTTTTCACGAAGGGGGTTATTGCTAGATAAGCGCCAAGAGAGTAGGGAAGAAGTACGGAAGTAGAGCAGTCGTTAGCAGCATTCAGAACGAGGGAGGGATTGTCGGAGATGGATCAGACGGTACGGTTTACAGGTTACGAATTGTCGAAAAGGTAAGTGTAGGCAAGGTACGCTCGTAGTTAGTGGATGGTTGTTGGTGTTAGTTTAGAGAGTGATAGAGTTGATAGAGTGTATTGTAGTTGTGGGTATGGATAGAGTTGGTGTACAATGTATGGTGGAAAGAGAGTGAAAGAGGCTTCGGAAGTCTCCACAAGTTTACATTTTCATAAAGAGCCTGAAGCTTAACCGACCCACTAGAGGACCCTGAAGGACTGGTCAGTATCCCCCCTGGCACACCTGGCACGTTTGGCAAACAAGCCGACGGTCCGTTCTTGTGGCCACATGAGGGTCTGCCGGTTTGTAGGGGAGGGGAAATTCTAAGGCTTATTGCCCTTATTTGGTTGGTCATTTGTATCATCCTTACTATTGTACAACTCCGAGCATTGCCGAATGGATTGATGCACCTTGTATGGCTACACGGCATCTACCTAAGCATGCTGTGGCAGCAGCAGAAGAAGCACATCATACTTTGGCCGATCCATCTGCCAGTATCTGCCTTTCCATAGGCCGTCAACCATAAGGCATTGCCAAGAGCTGGTAATACGGAGTACATAGGCAATATGTATGTACGTACACGGTATGTGGGATCATTCAAGTCACAAGCCGACGAGACAGCATTATTTAAATCAATTCGACCGGGAGTTGTCAAAGTGAACTATTCCGTATATTATAGCATTACAGAATATGAGAAAAAAGCCACAGACGGCATATTGTCGTTCAAACAATGGCCACCACGTCCCCTTATTATATCTACAGGCCAAACAGTACATTTTCGGTCTAAGTATCATCCCCATCAAGTGATGCTCCTCATAGTTCATAATTCATCAATTTTTGTATTGCCCTAGATCTCATAAAAACCATCGATCATGTGATCCTGTGCTCTCTTCTAATATGCCCATTCCTCTATCCTAATTCCCAATCATGTCCTCCGCACTGATCCCATCTTTAGTCGCTTGCTCGGTACTTCTCCCGGTACTCGTCTAGCCTCTTCAAGTCGTCCTCACTGCCCAGGCCTCGGAGGTACTCGACCACATCGTCCAAGGTCAAGATGGAGAGCACGGGGATTCCATACTGTTTCCTAACCTCTCCAATGGCGCTTGGCCTGGGAGTACCATCATCATCCGTCGCACTGGGGGTCTTCTCGAGGCGATCAAAAGCGACGATAATGCCGACAAGCTCTCCACCCTCCTTCTTGATGATGTCGATGGCCTCGCGGATGGCGGTACCTGCTGTGATGACATCGTCCACGATGACAATCTTTTGGCCTTTGAGCGAGGCGCCTACAATGTTTCCACCCTCGCCGTGGGTCTTGGCCTCCTTGCGGTTGAAGCTGTAGCTCTTCTTTCCATACTTTTCCAAGTCCAGATCAGCCAGCTTGTCTACTGAGGCAGCAGCAAGCGGAATGCCCTTGTAGGCGGGACCGAAAAGAACGTCCCACTGGAATTCTGGGTTGGAAGTTCCATAGTCTTTGAGGGTGTGCGCATAGGCAGAGGAGATGGACCTCAGTAGATCTGCCCGGTGGAATAGTCCCGCATTGAAAAAGTATGGGGAGACACGCTTGGACTTGAGCGTGAAGGTACCAAATTTCAAGGCACCGGCAGAGACGCAGGTCTTGATGAAGTCTTGCTTGTATTCGGGAAGAGCCATTGTTTGTGGAGGTCGTGATATTTCTTCTTTTGTATAAATTCCTTGTTCTGTATGATAATTCCACGGTAAAACTCCCCCGCCTGTGATTTTTCTTTCCGAGCTCGGAAGGAAGGAAATGGAAGGCCGACTCTGATGTGGCCCGAGCGTCTCTAGGTCATCACTCCCTGCCAGAAATTTATCTCGACGACATCAACTGACGACGACCTCATCCACCACCAACCCCATCCGCGCATCCATCAACGACGCAGCCTGCGTGCTCTAATACCCCAATTTCCTTCGTTATCATATTTCCGGCGTTTAGGGACTGCCACAGGGCCATTGACGGCCGTCGCGTGTTTTCCGCCTCTCACCTATTCCACATAACCGCACAACCCCACAACCTCCAAGATGACGATGTAGGCAGCCATAGACATTCATGTCTTGAACTACATTTACTGACTTGCGTTCGACAGCTGGGACAGCCTTACAGGCCGCAAATCATCCTCGCAGCCTACCGCACCCACACCCGAGCCCCACGACAACTTCACACCCGCACCTTTTGATCCTTCTACCGCCGTCCAAAGCACATCAGACTTTTTGCAAATCGATCCAGCAGCGCTCCATCCCCTCGCAGGACTCAACCAGGACACTCTCGATTATCTTACGCTCGAGGATACTCCCCTCGACCTCGGTTCGCACTCCGCACTTCCCTCCCGCGGCTGGTCCGATGATCTCTGCTATGGCACTGGAGTATCATACCTTTCTGCCCTCACAGTAGGTGGTGCGTGGGGTCTTGCAGAGGGTCTACAGAAGAATCCCGCCTCGATGCCCCCGAGGTTACGTCTCAACGGAGTTCTCAACGCGATAACAAGGCGAGGGCCATTTTTGGGTAACTCGGCGGGCGTGGTCGCTATGGTGTACAATGGCATCAACAGCTCCATTGGTGCTATGAGGGGAAAGCACGATATCACGAACAGCGTTGTGGCGGGTGCTCTTAGTGGCGCAATCTTCAAGAGCACAAGAGGCGTGAGGCCGATGATGATCAGTTCGGGTATTGTGGCGAGCGTTGCCGGCACATGGGGTGTAAGTACAACGTTGGAGATTCCAATGACAGAGCACTGACCTTTATCTAGATATTCCGCAAGGTCTACTTTGACAACGAGTAATCTGTGCTATGGCGACAAAATCGACTTCGCGCAGGTGTATGTATGAATATATGTCAAAGACAGCAGTCCGAATCTACGACTCCAGCAACAAGAGGGAGAAAGGCCTCCACCATACGGCTTCTCTGAACCCTCTTGTCTCTTCCAAACTTCCAACCTTCTCAAAACTTTCCATGCATTACTACAAACCCACCCTTTACAATTTTCCATCCGCAAACATTTTCTCTCTACTCCTCTCCAGGGATCCTCCGTTTCTCCGTCACAAAACCAAAGCGAGAAACGAGGGGAAACATCCCAAAACGTGTAAAAATAGGTGGCGCAAGGTCTTTCTTTTTCTATTATATCGCAGTTGTTGAAATTCTGGGGTGGCCTCCGCACACATACATACACACACACTCATACTTTCCATATTAGAAGCGGGCCGGGTTGTCATTACAACTTGTTGGTTGTCTTTTGTCTTGGGACGTTTTCATGAAGCATTTTCTTGGTGGTTGCGGCGCGCACCTCCCTTGGACGAGTGCATGTATCTTTGTGTAAGACCAAAACGAAAGAGAGAAAGGAGTGGTGGTAGTAGGGGAGATAGGCAATCAATAGGGATTGGATGAAGATGAAGATGAAATATAAAAAAAAGGTTTAATACAATCAGTCCCACGTGAATCTTGGTGACCGTACTTGTCAGGTGGATGGATTGTAGTCGCCTCGATCCATTCCAGGGCGCTTCAGTAATCCATATATGCCTCATCTCTATTGGTGAGATGTGATCATATATATACCTACCTCCTTTTTGTATGTCACCATTCGATGCAAACTACGCGATCAGTCAATAATGTTGTCTGTCTGCCATGCAATGTGTGAACCATATCCGTGTATACCACCAGCTCCATCTCGCTCTCTGTCTCTCTGCATTCTCTTCACTCAAGACACGATCCAAAAGACCGACTGCCACCCAGATTCAAGCACACACGATCACACAAGCACACAAAACGACACATGTATATATCTATCTCCCCTCTCAAACCCCCCACCCACCACGAGAAGAGTGAATCTAACCTACCTACCCACTCTATAGTTACCCATCTATACTCTACCCTCACCACCCCATCAAACCAACCCATAAAGCGGCCTAGGCAAACCACACCCAGTCCCACCCCCGACCTCCCTCCCCGTCTTCGCCCTCACCTTCCCCCCATCCACAATCCCGACATACGCCTCCCTCCTCGCGGGATCCCCCTTCGTAACCGACCACGTCCGGAGGCCATAGTACGTCCCGATATGATGAACCAGCCACCTCCCAAACGTGCCCGTCTGGTCACTAACCGGCGTCTCAAACAGCTTCATCTCCCTGCTCACCTCCTCATCCTCCCTCATCTTCCCGCCCCTCCCAACAAACACAATCTCATCATCGCTGCTATCAGGATCAACAGGCAGCCCATCCCTCTCCGCCGCCCGCCCCCTCTCCTCCCACACCTCGACAAACGCCCTCACCTCGCCCTCGAGGTCGCGCAGCAGACCCTTCGCGCCTCGTGCTTTCTTAAGCCGCTCCCGCAGCTCGCGCGGCACGATGCCCGGCGCCGACGGGGCCGTCTGCACGGTCCGCGAGGTACCCTTGGACGATTTCGCGGCGCGGCGGGCGGCGGACTGGCGCGCGAGGCCGGCGTCCCAGAGGGGCGCGAGGTAGTAGGGTACGTGGGTTGTTGGGTAGGTTGGGTGGATTTCCCAGTCGTGCGGGGACGGGGGCGTGAGGTGTGGGTTTGTGAGGAGGTGGTCTGGTAGGTCGTGGTGTTAGGATTGAGTTGGTGATGGGGGGGGTGAGGGAGGGGAGGGCAGGTCACGTACCGTTTTCCCAGCGCTGGCGGCGGCGACTGCCTTCTTTGCCTTTGAGGAGCGCGTCGCGGCGTTTCATACTGTCGCGGCGGAGGGGCTCCTTGCGCTTGTAGTACCCTGCGTCGCCTGCTGTCGCCGTGGCCGTGGTTTTGGGTGCTGCGGCGGCGGGCGTGGACCGAGGTGCTGGGTCGTGATGCTCATCGTCGAGGGGGATCGAGAGCGTCACGGTTGCGGTTTGTTGGATGCTTTCTCCGCCTGGGGGTGCGGCGATGGTTACGGCGCTCATTGCGGCGGTTGCTTGCTCGGTCCATGCTTCGATGTCGATGGGATGCGGAGGGGCTGCTTGCTGGGGGTGGTCTGGCGAGGGGCCGTCGTCGGCGGTGGAGTGGATGGCCATAACGGGTAGGGTGCAAGTGGCGATCGCGAGGTGTGAAGGGAGAAGTGGGTGCAGCGCGGTGGCTGGTGAGGATTGATCAGATCGAAATGGAGAGAAACTGACAATATGAAGGGCAATGCCACCTGGGAACTGGAGTGGTGGAGGTCAGGGAGGTCAGGAGTCTGGGGATTCCGACGTCTTTCTTGATAACGATTGCGATAGTGGTGTAGTCATGGTTCGGTTTAGGGTCGGTGCTGGCGGCCAATCAGAAGCTCGGATGCTGCACGTAGCCATCATCTTATTGCATGTATGACACGGTTGGAGTCATTCCCTACTGATGCCTTCGGTTCCTTTCTTAGTGCAGACACGGCTCATTGGTAGCTGGAAATACTTGCTCATTCGTCCAATGTGCACTCGCTACGGTGCAGCTCATGGCAGTGGATTTCACGTGCTGAATGTAGTCTCCGGTGAAAAGAATAACATCGATTCATATCGTAACCGTAACCGTAACCGTAAAATAAGCATGGGATCTACCCATCGCAGGTATGCGCATGTACAGTGCCAAATAGTGACCCCAGATATATGACTCAAACCCTGAACCATCAATGTACACCAAGCCCCTGGATACATGTACACAGTACATACAGTATGACTAGCGGATCGGGACTGTAGTATTCTTGCATTTGCAGAACACAAGTAAGAGAGCCGAGACCAACAGTACCGGAATTGCCACAGCAGAAATGATAGCCGAGACCTCCATGAGTTTCCTCGTCTCCTCGTCGCTATCATCGCTGTCCGAATCATCCAAAATGATGCCCCTTCTGGCTCGTTTGCGCGGCACCGAACTGGACCAAAGTCAGCATCCATATGCGCACAGTTTAGGTATCATCGTGGGGAGACTACTTGAACTCGGCGAATGCGAGCTCGTAAGCCAACCCCAGAGTAAGCCTAGCATGCTGCAGCATATGGTCAAAGCTGAGGTATTCAATCTTGTCTTCGGTGGTGTGGATCTTGTTGTCCGAGTACTTGAAGTCTGACTCAATGACAAAAGCAGATGGATAGCCAGCCTTGGAAGCGCTAGCGTGGTCAGAGCATGCATAGCCGCACTTGGTGAGGATGTATGGGATCTCGCAGTATTCTGTGATGACCTCCTTGATGAACTCAGTCAGGCCTGGGTCGACGTAGTCCGTGATGACTCCCACGCTCTCTGGCTCTCCAGCGTCAATGGTCTTCTGCACGTAGCCGGTCATGTCCTGCTGCAGCATAGCCTTGACATCCTTGCCATCCTTCTCGTAGGATTGGAAAATTGCTTGCGAGCCCAGCAAGCCACCCTCCTCGGCAGAGTACCAATGGAACTCGACCGTATTGTCGGCCTTGCCTTTCACAATATCCTCAGACTTTAACAGCACGCGAAGTGCCTCGAGAATTGTTACGGTTCCGCTTCCGTCGTCGTCTGCACCAGGAGCAGCAAGTAAGGAAGGCAAGAAGAGGTTAATGCTGTCTTGATGCGCACCGATGACGACAGTCTTGTTACTCTTGCCAGGGATGGTGGCGATAATGCTGTTTTGGCCCCACGGGTGCGGGAATGCCTTAACAGAGGCGCCGTGATCGATTGCACCTGCGTGCTTCAACGTGTCTTGCACCTGCTTCAGCAACCATGCAGACGACTGCGCGCCGTACTCCGACTTGTAGTACCGGGTGTGGAAGGATGTGAACTTCTCCAAGTGCTTGCGCATGTTGTTCTTCTTGAGCTCCTTGAGGAGCGGTCGGACGGTCTCATTGTGGGCGGTCTTGGAGGGGAACTTGACGCTCTGGATTCCTATCTCGTGGTTCAAAGCTCCTAGGTGAGGCGTGTCGGTGATGTCAAAGAAGTTGATGCCTGCCTGCAAGATGTCAGCTCATATGCGACCAGACCAGGTCGGGGAAGCTCTGGAGAAGCTTGACCCGTGATTGATCAGTTGTAGAAACGTACTCTTCGGAGCTCCCACTTCTGATCTTCAGTGATGTATCGCGTCTCGCCAGGCGACAGCTCGATGAGATACTGCTCTGGCTCGGCGACAGTCGGCTGGGAATCTTGTAGCACGACCTGAGGATCGTGCACATTCGCTACGGCTGTAACCAAGCTCGCAGCATAGAGTGGCAAAAGAATAGAGGGCTTCATATTTGATGATAGTTGTGGATGTTGGAACAATGATGGAGTGTGTTGGTATGGATGCTGTTTGGGAGCTCGAGTTGGCTTGGAGACCGGACCTATCGGCGCTTAGCTACAGCTCCGATTGGGGAAGGCGCAGTACCAGGTCGTTACATCATGCTCACCAAAAGTGACACCACATCAGAATATTGAGTGATCGTTATGTTAGTTGTAGGGCCTTTAGTACAATTAATTCACAGTCGTATAGTTAAGTCTAACCATGCTCTAATTCTGCAACCAGATACTCATATCGTAGTTTGAACATATCAAATTGGCGATGACGCGGAATTCAATCCACAATCGAGGATTCATGAATTAGTGCTATACAGACAGTGGAAGAGACGTTATTGAAGATGAATATTTATATTTCTTGGATATAAGGAATTATTTTTGTCTAGCTTTTTTTTCGATATGTTGTCCAAGGCAGCCGAGGGAGACAGAAACTATATGCACAACTCCTAGCTACGGATGCAGCACCGAAAGAAGATAATCCAAAAAATGGTGGTATCACGTTAATGTTAGAACTCGTGAAGGGGGCCCCGCGAGAGATAACAACAGAGGTGACTTGGTCAGAGAGGGTGATGAAGGGAACGGCTCAGATCTTTTTACACTGACATTTCAATGTAAAAATAACAGGACATGATGTATCACGTTACCAGTTTTATACAAAACGTGGCAGAGGTGACTTTGGGGCGGGGATGATGGATAGCGGGGATGAAGATAGTAGCGGGAAGGACAGAGGGCCTTTCATGAGAACATGGCTGCGGATTCCAATGCGGATCCTATGAGGACTCGCTGGAGGACGCATCTCCGACGGTATTTCCCGAGCCAAGGGCACGGAATCCATCGGTGGTGATATTGACGGCACCGGCTTGAACAAGCTATAGTATCGTTAGAACAATGATTAGATTTTATCAGGATAGTACGGGGAAACTTACAGCGCGGCTAAGATCATCTACCAAATCGTCAGCATCTTCAATGCCAACGCATAGCCTGATGATGTCCTCAGGCATATTGCGCTCCCGCCTGGTCTTCTCGTCAATGGACGCGTGGCTCATGCGGCAGGGCATGCTGATCAATGAGTTCACACATCCGAAGCTGACGGAGATGGCCCACAACCTCGCGGACTCGACGATTCTCTCCGAAACATGAACGTCACCAGTTTCGAAGGCGAGAACGGCGCCAGCACCGCGGGCCATACTCCAATGCAGATCATACTGGGGATGAGACTTCAGCCCAGGATATCGGACCTTGAAACCGTGAGACTCAAGGAACGTAGCCACGCGCATGGCATTGGCTTGCTGCTTCTCCATGCGAACACCAAGCGTCTTTACACCACGGAGAAGTAGCCAAGAATCAAATGGCGAGAGACCGCAACCCGAAGCGTTGATTGTGAAGAATAGTTTCTCCCCGAGGGCAGTGTCATTGATAGCGATGACACCAGCCATCAAGTCGTGGTGGCCCGACAAGTACTTAGTACCGGATTCGTAGACGATATCAGCCCCGAGATCGAGGGGGTTCAGAAGCATGGGAGAAAGCATGGTGTTGTCGACAGCAACTACGGCGGTAGGGTTCGCTGCGTGAGCTGCAGCTGCAATGGTAGAGATATCCACGATCTTGATGAGCGGGTTCGTGGGAGTTTCCAGAAGGACCATTGCAGTCTTGTTGTTGACAGCCGCTTGCACCGTCTCTGGGTTGGTGGTATCAACGTGGTGTACAACGATTCCGCCATGTGTAGAGAGATATTTCAAGAGTCTGTTTGTTCCTCCGTACAAGTCGTCTCCGGTCACGACTTCGTCTCCGGGTCGTAGGAGTCGCGTGATGACGTCAAGGGCACCCATACCCGACGATACGGCGAGCGCGCGGTTCGCGTTCATGATCTTTGCGAGGTGACGTTCGAGGTGTGTGCGTGTAGGGTTGCCGGATCGTGTGTAGTCATATTCTTGACCGCCACCGGATGCAGAATCTTGCTTGAAGGTTGCAGACTACACAAGGTCAGCCATTGGCTCTGGAGAAAGTTCTGCTAAGCGCTGGAAGATATGCCAGTTCAACGTACCTGATAAATAGGAACACTGCTAGCATTGTACTGATCGGTGCTCTCGGTGTACACCAGCTCGGTCATGAGGTTATATTTCCTGCCATTGCGGGGAGTGCTGGGTGCCGGAGAAGGTGGCAGATTGTGACCATCGATGTCAAGGACCTTTCCACCAGCGAAGGCCTTGCCCCTGGAGTCCTCTGGAGGAGATCCAGACATTGTAATTGATGTGGGTGGTAGAGGTACGGCGAAGATGACTCGACCTTCAAGGCCGGGGAAGAACGGCGGTGGTAGGCGACTCAGACGGCGATGCGGAGATCGGAGCAGTCTTTTCCTATGGAGTGCTGTACTTTATGAGACTGAAGAGAAGAAGGAAGAGGGAATTGTGTTGTATAATGGTAAGAAAGAAGAGGATGATGTAGGAAAAAGGAAGAGGAGGTGGAGGGAAGAAAGGGTATGTATCAGGTAAGAAATTCCGCTATTATACAGTCAGAGAGTAAGGATGAACAATCTTCTCTTGTCTGGAGGGGAATGACCTCAGGTACGCCTTAACTACAAGTCGTTACTCGTTACTCACCCACAGCCACTAGGGAAGGTTAGTCTCTGTATGGTATGATTGTGGGGTAATCAATCTGGACTCTGTGATTGGCTCGAAATTGCGCAATCGTGAGAGAGGCATGTTATCGGTTTACCTGCCGACTCCGAGATCGCATCATTCCCGTAATACCGTACTGCCCTGTATGTACTGTAGTCACTGTGTAGCATGTACATACATGAAAACAAACATCACCTCACACCGACTCTGAATTGCACCAGCACCGTGTAACAACTCATCATCATCCTCATTGCATAATTGTGTACTCTGTACTCTGTACTGTCTGCCTTCCATTCTCCATTCTCCATTCTCCATTTTCATTATCCTGTTTGCGTTTGCGGGTATTACATACTAGGTACTTATTCGTCCAACAACGCCTACTCATCTCCAGGGATAGTGGGAAGATAAAACAAACTATTTTGATCGAACGACCAATGCAGGGGATAGGACAGAAATCGTCCCAAAAACAACAAGAGAAAGTTCCGGTACGCCGATGCTTCCCAGTACACCCGTGCCGAACCGAATCCCAAATGCCTGTCGATTCATGCGTGTCAACTGCCGTGACCCTTCGTAAATTAAAAAATTAGACTTTCTGAACAACAACTCCATATGGAGGTATAGACAAATACAAGTTATCGAACAAAAGTAGGCTGCCCAAAGTGTGGAAATGCAATTACCACACTCTAGCGCAGCGCAATGGCGGGCCTCCCCTTCCGCTCATGCATGTTGATTCGGAACTCGAAGATACCTTCTTCTGTACCGCAATATAGGATGCGCCCGTCCTGGCTCATCGCCAACCCAGCGGTCCGTACGCCAAAAGCAGGGTCGTGGTGACTGCTACGGCTAGCAAATCTATACACCGTTCCCAGCGCAGGAAGATTGTACGGATCGATAGAGGGCGCCTCCCGAGCGCTGCGCAGGCGGTCTCGAACCTGCGTCAACTGTCGAAGGCGACGGAGGTCTGATCGAAGCTCGGGCGCATTGGACGATCGCGCGCTGTCGGCTGCTAAGGTATTGCTCGCCAATGCCTCCTCAACCCTACGCCATGCCTCGTCCGTCGAGGCGATGATTTGAGGATCCCCTCTACGGGCGTGAGCAGGAATCGGATTCGGGGATCGCGTCGTAGCAGCATCTGTAATATTCCCAGTCGGTTCGTGCATCCTAGGTGATCCCTCGTTGGAAATAATTATGGACGCTCGTCGTCGAGGTTCCTGACCCCGTGATTGTTCGAGGATACGATGATTCCTGGAACCCTCTGTTATAAATTCAGCTAGGGTTTCTCCCATGTTCCGCCGTGGAGGGGCATCCCCTTCCCCTTCTCGCGGCTCGTTATCCCAGGTAGAGAACCAATTGAGACGTGACCGCCTGGCAGGGGGTGAATCCGACGTGTAGTTGATGCTTCGAGGAGTTGTGGTCTGCTCCCTGCCTTCCTCACGCTGTCTGGTTGATCTCAAGGCTTCAAGAATTTGCCGCTCGTGCGCCGTCAGCCCATGGGGGTCATTATCTGATTCCACCACTCCCAGTTGTCGGTGAAGCCTCCTCCTCTCGGACGAAGCCTCGATGTAATCTGAAGCATAGTTTACAGCGGCCGCCCTGCTTTCCGAATCTAGGGCTCGACGGTATCTGCGAATGAAGTCTGCTTCTAGTCGCAAGTCCTGTAGCACAGGACCAAGCGTGCCATCGTAATCAGCAACCTCGACTCTCTCGAGATTGTCCTCTCTGGGATCGAGATTGAGCACTTGTCTTCTCAGACCAAATCCTCTCCGGAGGTCCGCCACACATACCCTTGCTTGATCTTCGCTCCAAATGAGTAGGTCCCACGGTGCAGGGGAGAATTGCATTGTCCGGATTGATCCTGGACCATTGGTCGTGTCAGGCCTGGTAGAGCTGATCAGTTGCACTGCTGCGTCCTTCGCCCATTTGCATTTCGTCAACAATTCTGGATCGAAGACTGTGATGTACCCGCATTCTGACCCTACTGCGCACAGTCTTCCAGACGGGGACCACGCTGTTGTAAAGTACCCTTGTACACTACCGGCGCCGGGGGGAACGTATAAAGGCACTTCTTTCCAGAGAATCCATGATCTTTTCTGAGTCGTTTCTCCATTCGCTAGAGAGTTGTCCGTCTTTCTGGGCTTGAATCGCTTGAAGAAGTATGCGGTGGGCAGATCGCCAACAGCGAGCAGTAATTCCCCGTCAGGCGATATTGTGGCGTGGTTCATGGCAAACGGAAGGTCCATCACGGTATCCTCTACTTCTCGAGTCAGCGAATATATGCGGACAGTCTTGTCATTATTCGTAAGAACTGCCACCACATCATCGGCACCCTCTTTATTCGTATATTTGTGTATTGAGATGGAGTTCACGATATCTTCTCCGATCTTTTCAAGTCGAACTTGATGCGGCTGTTGCGGGATCGAGGTGCGGCCCCCTAGCTCAATAGGTAGAAGGGCGTCGACATCAGTGGTGGTGGTCGTGGTTGCAACTGTAGGAGGGAATCCGGTGACTTTTATAGCCGCGAAGTTCCCGTCGTCCGCTCCTCCTACACAGACGTATCCATGACCTGAAGCCGTGCAACGCGCCTCCCAGGGCAGCTTTGTTATATGCGCTTGTGTCTTGGTGGCGGAGTTGAGGCAGTAGAGATCGAGCTTGCTAGCGTAGTATAATACATCTTGCTCCGGGGAACTGATGAAATGTCGTAATTGATAGTGCCTGTGTCTGTTTGTAAGTGGTCCGACGAAACAGCTTCAGAGCAATTCAGGCATACGCTATGGGGATGTCGAGGGGATAATAGGACTTGGAGGGAAGCACAAAGCTGTCTGTATCTCGCCTAAGTAGTTAGCATTGTGAGAACCAGGGAGCAGGCGAGGCGACGAACAAATTATCTTCGACAGTGACAGCCATGCTTTATGGCCTGGATGCATGTGTCAGAGTCGTGAATTGGTATTGGTAGGGTGGCTAGGAGGAGGAGAGGGGGTGGAGGTAGAAGGGAAAGAGGAGCGCAATACGTCAGAGCCGCGGACCAGGTCTGGATGAGTACAACAGGAGCACGCGATGGAAGGCTTGAGCAGTAGAGTAAAGCAGGAGTGTGACGCAGTAGCAGCAGCAGCACCTTGAGGAGGCGCGTGGTGCGGAAGTCACAGTATGGACAAGCTGTTGCTGCACTGTCGAATCCAACTCTGGAGTGGTTAGTAGTTGGGGATGGATGTTGTAGTTCACTGAAGTGAACTGACTAGAGTGATGTTACGAGTAATAGTAGTGGAATGGATGGTCCACGTTCAATGAATTGGTTACTAAGACAAGAGTATGGGGGAGACCAAAGAGAGCACCTCATTGGACAAGAGCCCTCATGCGCTAGGCCACGACGGGTAAGGCTGGTAGTCGATCTACAGGCTGGAGCTTTTCCCCTCTCATCGTCTAACAGCTGCCTCAACTCTCTGATGGCAAAGAGATATGTCACGTTAGCTGACACTTCTACAATATAAAATAGATAAAATCAATCAAGTGAATCTAAAGAAGGTTGTATAAAAGATCTTTCAGAATATTTTCATCAAAATACGGAGCTACAGTTGTATTCGTGATGCCCTGTGGTTGTCTATTCGCCTCGCTTCGTCTATGTGAAATGATGAGCATATCCCATACAAGGAGCGAACATGGAATAGTATCAAAATCAGATCTAGATTCTTCTCCTTCCGTCCACTTGAACTCATAGTTACAAGTATTTTATCAATTGACTGTACGGGGCGGTCTCGGGGCAAAAAAAAACACAACCAATTCGCTCCCGCGGTTGTCGGTCCGGCAATTGCCGCCCATACGGCCATCGAATTTTCTAGAGACTAAAACGGTCCAAGCTTCCTCCAAAACTTCTTCATCCATCATACCTCGCCCGTATCTACTTAAGAAAAACATCCCTCCATTCCATCAATTCCTCTCTACACCCGTCATCTCTCCCCTAGTCTGTCTGCATCTCCCCCGACGCAGTAACTCCTCCCTCACATCCACACATCATGTTCTCCTCCAGGATATCGCGAAGCGTAAGTTTGCGCACACTTCCCTTCCCTCGAGTCGCTTTAAATCTTTGCATCGTCATCGTTCTAACGAAAATCTTCAGTTCCTCACGCGGGCAACTCCTGCTATCCGCCGCACCCCAGCCATCAGATCTCCTTTGACCTCATCATGGGTGCGAGGATACGCCGAGGAGGGTGGCGAGAAGGTCAAGGGCTCTGTCATCGGTATTGATTTGGGTACCACCAACTCTGCCGTTGCCGTCATGGAGGGCAAGACTCCTCGCATCATCGAGAACTCTGAGGGTATGTCATTTATCTTTACATCTCAAAAATTATACCGTGACCATTGCATACTGACGCATATCTCATAGGTACCCGAACCACTCCCTCCGTCGTCGGTTTCACCAAGGAGGGCGAGCGTCTCGTTGGTATCGCCGCTAAGCGACAGGCTGTTGTGAACCCAGAGAACACTCTCTTCGCCACCAAGCGTCTCATCGGCCGCAAGTTCACCGACGCTGAGGTCCAGCGTGACATCCAGCAGGTCCCCTACAAGATCGTCCAGCACAGCAACGGCGATGCCTGGCTCGAGGCTCACGGCCAGAAGTACTCTCCTTCTCAAGTCGGTGGTTTCGTCCTCGGCAAGATGAAGGAGACCGCTGAGGCCTACATGGGCAAGAACATCAAGAACGCCGTCGTCACCGTCCCTGCCTACTTCAACGACTCTCAGCGTCAGGCTACCAAGGACGCTGGTCAGATTGCTGGTCTCAACGTCCTCCGTGTCGTCAATGAGCCCACTGCTGCCGCTCTTGCCTACGGTCTTGACAAGGCCACCGACAACATCATTGCTGTATACGATCTTGGAGGTGGTACTTTCGATATCTCCATCCTTGAGATCCAGAACGGTGTCTTTGAGGTCAAGTCCACCAACGGTGACACCCATCTCGGTGGTGAGGATTTCGATATCACCCTTGTCCGCCACCTCGTCCAGCAGTTCAAGAAGGAGCAAGGTATCGATCTGAGCAACGACCGCATGGCTATCCAGCGTATCCGTGAGGCCGCCGAGAAGGCCAAGATTGAGCTTTCTTCTTCCACTCAGACTGACATCAACTTGCCTTTCATCACTGCCGACGCCTCTGGACCTAAGCACATCAACTCCAAGTTCTCCCGTGCCCAGCTCGAGAAGTTGGTTGATCCCCTGATCTCCAAGACCGTTGACCCCGTCCGCAAGGCCCTCAAGGATGCCAACCTCCAGGCCAAGGACATCCAGGAGGTCATCCTCGTCGGTGGTATGACCCGTATGCCCAAGGTTACTGAGTCCGTCAAGAGCATCTTCGGCCGTGACCCCGCCAAGTCTGTCAACCCTGACGAGGCTGTTGCCATGGGTGCCGCCATCCAGGGTGCCGTCCTTGCTGGTGAGGTTACTGACCTCTTGCTCCTCGATGTTACTCCTCTTTCCCTCGGTATCGAGACCCTCGGCGGTGTTTTCACCCGTTTGATCAACCGTAACACCACCATCCCCACCAAGAAGTCCCAGGTCTTCTCCACCGCCGCTGACTTCCAGTCCGCTGTCGAGATCAAGGTCTACCAGGGTGAGCGTGAGCTCGTCCGTGACAACAAGCTGCTCGGAAACTTCCAGCTTGTCGGTATTCCCCCGGCTCACCGTGGTGTTCCCCAGATCGAGGTCACCTTCGACATTGATGCCGATTCCATCGTGCACGTTCACGCCAAGGACAAGTCCACCAACAAGGATCAGTCCATCACCATTGCCTCCGGATCTGGTCTCTCCGATGCCGAGATCCAGAACATGGTCGACGATGCTGAGCGCTACGGCGAGCAGGACAAGGAGCGCAAGAACGCCATTGAGGCTGCCAACCGTGCCGACAGCGTTGTCAACGACACCGAGAAGGCCTTGAAGGAGTTCGAGGACCGTCTCGACAAGACCGAGGCCGAGAAGATCAAGGAGAAGATCGCTTCCATCCGCGAGTTCATCTCCCAGAGCCAGTCTGGCGAGGGTACCGCCACTGCCGCCGAGATCAAGGAGAAGACCGACGAGCTCCAGAACGCCAGCTTGAGCCTCTTCGACCAGATGCACAAGGCCAGGTCCGAGTCCCAGAACCAGGGCGAGCAGCAGCAACAGCAGCAGCAGCCTGGTGAGGGTGAGAAGAAGGAGTAAACTCCTTGACTCTCTAACTCTGTCCTCGTTCTTTGTTTTCAAATACTTTTTCTGGCAAAAAGCAGGCGTCCTGAATTGCGGGTTGCATAATGGTCTTCGGGTCGGGTCTTTCTAGACGTATGTGTGTGTAACTATTCCATTGTAACTATACCTCCTTTCCACGCCAATTTTCTCTTTTCCGACGACGCCTCTCCCACGACACATCATCTGTCTTACTACCTACGACAAATCCATGCAATTGTTGCTTGGCCATTTGTTATCGATACCACGAATTGGAAAAAAGAGGAGGAAGAAAGTGGACGAAGTAGTAGTAGTCTCTGGGAGAAGGAGGAAGAAATAACTGTACTATATAGTGGTGTGGTCAACGCCGAGATGATAATGTCAAACACTTCTTGTTCTCCGCTCTTGAAAGCGAAAAAGTCAATACGAACTCCCCTTTGCTTGAAATATGTGACGTTGTGATATTAAATATGGCTTCTCCTTTAAAATACGTTGTGACTCTCTTGTGAAGGCATGTGGCTGGTCGTTCATGTGATATAGATTGTTCTCTAAAGTCTCATGTTTGCAAAGTAACAACATGAAATAAAGTAAAACTTATTTCTATAAAACCGATAAGAACAAGGAGAAAAGCCACCCATTTGACGAGAAAACACAATATGTGTGCAAGTTTACTAACATCCACCACACCCACTCTCTTCCCCTCCCAATGCTCGACGCCATACATCAACAACATATACATCATCGTTACTTCATGTCTGTGAGTTTTGTCTGCCCGTCTAGAGGAAATGGAATGAAAGGGAATCATGGTTCGAAATCTACGCTTGTAATACAGCCTGCCCTCTCTCCCACCCTTTCCCCTAACTTCTTTTTTAAGGACATTGACGGTCGTTCTCCCTCCCTCCATCATATAGAGCACCGGACCGGACTGTTGCTCGGCGAACAGAAAGACAGACAACCCCATATGAGCAAAACACCACCTCCCGGCTTCTCCTCCCCTCCCAAAACGGATGTGACAATGTGATGCAAGAATGAGTCACGCATAACCTTCAATTCTCTCCAACAATCAAGAAGAAAGAAAGGAAAAAAATCACACGTTCCATTTCTTTTCGTTAGTTCTCTCTACGAGTTAAGATAGTTACGGATGGCGCCTTGCAGTTTCTGGGCGCCGTCGCCGAGGAGGTTGGTCAGGTTCTCGAGGTCGTCGCCGGCGGTGACGCCGAACTTGCGGACGAAGTCCTTGGCGGCGCCCTCGAGGTCGCCGTAGTCGTCCTCGGGGATGTCGTCCTCCGGGCGGCCGAAGTAGGCGTTGGAAGAGATGGCGGTGGCGCCTTCGAAACCTGTTGGGTCGATGTGAGTAGGGGTGTTTGCGTGATGGGAAAGGGGGAATGGGTGGATGGAAGGGGGAGGAAAGCGAGGAGGGTCGCTGTGTGCTTACCAGATAATCGCTCCTTGGCCTGTGCTGTGGCACTCGGGTCGTATGCGTTGCGGCCGAAGAACTCGTCGCTGGAGATGGACTTCTGGACTCCGAACTTCTCACGAGCATACTTTTCGTCGTCGTTGTCGACGGGAGCCTTGGACACGCTGCCGAATCCTCCCATCTTCTTAGGTGCGGCGGCGGCCTTTGCTGCGCCAACTTGTCCAAATCCTAGTCTAGCTACGCCCATGCCCAATCTCTCCATGTCCTGGCTGCTGCGCTCAGGCTTAGTGGCTCCAAAGCCAGCTCGGGGCGGTGAAACAGGTGTAGGAGATACAATGGTAGTAGCGGCTGTGCTCGACGAAGCCTTCGCAGATGATGCGGCTTCGGCGGCTTCGGCATCAGGATCGTAACCAAGTTTCTCAATGCGCTCAGCCTCTTCCCGGGCTTTACGCTCTGCCTCCTCGAAATCGAGTCCGCCGTCGGCGGGCACAACCTTCTTCGCACCAAGACCCTTCTTCTTTGCACCAAGAATGTTCTTCTTTGCGCCAGCGCCTGACGCTGTCTTGCGAACTGTGGGCTTAACGGCGGGGATTGCGGCAGGTGTTGAGGGCTCAGAAGATGTAGCGGAGAGTGGCGACTTGGGGCGTGCGGTTCCATTGTTGCCGTCGGGCTTTAGGAAGGGTGATGCGGCACGCTGCGATGGTGTGCCTGTTCGGGATGGTGGGTTCGACGGGCGCTTAATCGTGGGCTTGTCCCATGAAGAGAAGAAATCGTCATCGTTGTCTCCAGCGGGAGTGTTGGTTCCGTCCGAACTTGTGGGGTCGGCAATGTCCGTTATCACCACCTCGTTAGGGAACCTTTAGACTCGTCAGTACACCATCCGGGGATGCCTTCGAAGGTGGGATTGCATACTGTTTAGCATCCGCAGCACATCGCCTTGTCAACTCCTCCTTGTATTTGGTTGCCGCATTACTCGTGTACTTTGTCTTGGGATCTTTGCTTGCCAATGCCGCCGAACCACCATGAGTCTGGAAATACTTGGTTGCACTCTCATTCCCGCCTACTTTCATAATACGGAGCTGATCCCATTGCCAGACTGAGCACCTGGTATTAGCTTATGCATCCCCTGAACGGTCTGGTGTGCATAGACGTACTATCAAGATTCGTTGATCGCACGAATGAAATGTGTACACCCATGTTTCTGTGATTCGCCGAGCAATCGAGGCATAGGTAGATACCGAACGGTACGGACGACCATGTTGGATTTCTTGCGCCGCAATCGAAGCATATCTACATTCAACATTGTTAGCTATTTGGCCACCCATCGACTTCCCCCCCTCATCCCTTTCTCGGAAATGTAGAAATATACCTTGTTGGCCGCCTTTCCCTTCAATTTGGTAAAAATGTTTTGCGACTGGGTCTTCGTCGCGAGCGCCATCTTGACTATGTTTACCAACGCTCTAGTCGGTGGGTTTGTATGGTAGTAAAGGCGGTGGGGGTGGATTATTTTGTATGAAGACCAGCGGAGGTTAATGCTGGCCTTATGGTCACGTGGCACGGGCGCTTTGACCACCGAACTGTCCTCGAGACAATCCAGCGACTCCTGGCCGGAGGTAGATCTCCACAATCCATGATTCGTCTTACTTTGAACATCTAGAGCGATAGTTCAAGGGTCGGAAGGATTCAGATATGTGGTTTGTTCAACGACTCTTGCTGCGCAAATCACCACAATTGAATGGAAAATACGGCGTTGTCGAGGTATCATGATTCTCAACATATGCAATATCGTCTGGGAATATCATTTGGTCTTTCCAACGAATATCTCATAACTGAGAGTCTATCCTATGTTTACTATGTACAGAATTGAATATGCAACCTTAGTCAACAACCACCGGATCTCGACCAGCAAACTCCAAGCTCGCGAACATGGTCGCAACAACCAATCCACAGACTAGCACGAACCGTAAAGCAAAGTAGAACATGAATGCGAGCCTCGACTTCTTCCACCATCTGATATCTCTGCCTGATTGGATTCTCACAATTGTTTTCCTCTCTGTCAGCCATTTTGACCAGCCCAGTTGTGTCGCGAAGACTGCTGCTAGAAACCAAACAGCAAGGTGTACTAGAGAAGCGGCGGGTATTGTACCAAACATCCAGATATAGAACATGCGACTTCTCAGGAAGACCGATAGTCCAAGGTAATCCGAGCCCGACTGGTAGCCCATCAAAAAGAGAGAAAAGCCAGCCACTAGTAGCGTCTGGAGAATGTAAAGGCAGATATGATCGTGATACCAGTCCAGGCGTGAGAAGTTTTTATATGGATAGAGGGGAAGCATACTCCTCTTAGCGCCCGACGGCGAAGATATCAAAGTGGTTGGAGTTGATGGTTCGGTCATTGCGTCCTTCTGTGTGGAAGTTGTTGGCCGGCTACTAAGAAACGAAGATCCATCTTGCATTTCACCATGTTCAGTGTCCACCGATGGATCATCATGATAATGTGTGGGATTACGAGGAACCGGATGTCGGGGATACTCGAGATGCTGGTGCGTACCATCTTGTCCGCTGGCATAGGCGGAAGACGGCCGAGAAATTCCTTTTGCAGACTCTCCACCCTCGTTTGCAATCCTTTCAGCAATATGTCTGTCGCGGGCAGTATCCGCCTCCTTTGCATCATTGTCTAAGTATGCCTGAATCATACCGAGAATGGGAAGCAACAGAAGGACGAGCGGTAAGATTTGCCCAAAGGACCATATGTTTTCTTCAAGGATGTCTCCGCTGTCATCAATCCATTCGGCGTCTGAGTTATAGTGAACGGATCTTCTTGTGTCGTACAACTTGATGGATCCCCAAGCAACTGCAAATGATAGCCATATGATCTCGAAAAGCATGGATTCGAGGAAGTCGAAGAAGGCGCGGGCGCTTGCATACGCCGCGTAAAGAAAGAGATAGATGGGAGTACAAAGGATGGCTACCAGGCCTTTCTTTGCAATGGTCCTGTCCTCCAAGAACCGGAGGCATTGCTTGACATACGATGCCGGCCCATGTCGAAGTATTTTGCGAGACATCTCAGATGTTGGATCAAAGAGCCGGATTCCAGTGTGGATATATGATAGTCCAACCACAACGATTGATATGATCATGGACCATAATTTCGGACCTTTCTGAGCGTTGAAGCTCAGCACTGTCAATTGACGGAAGTAGCATATAGCTTCTAAGCTAGGGTAGAAGCTTTTGTCCATTGGTAGCAGATTAAGCCAATTATGGCTTCCAGTCGGTAGTAATGCGACAATCAAAAGGGAGGCCAGCATGAACATAAAGAAGACTCGTAGGATCCGGAGAGTACTGTTGGTCTGGAAATAGCCCTCTAGAAAAGCCATGGCAGCAAGAAAACTGAATGACGAGAACCAGGCAATGTATATCATTAGCTGCCAATGATACGCTGACATGCCACAGTCGAGTTGAGAATACCCCGAAACAAGTATGGCCAGGCCGGTCACAAGCTATTGGAGAGTCAGTGTATGTTGCGTCAAATTGCCTTCGTCGAGGTTACAGATAAAGTGACATACTTGAGTATCACTGAGTAGTAACACCGCTTTCTCTAACGCGAACTCAAAACGTCTTTTGGGCTTCCACGAAAATAAACGTTCTCGAATGAATGTTAAGATGCCATGATCGACGTAATTGACATATATCTTGCCTCGCCTGTTGGTGCGCTTATAGTCGTATACTATGATATAATGTAGGATCAGGAGTATCATGGTGAGATACCCGGTTATTGCAAAACCAAGAATAACCTGAAAGTATGAGTATAGTGCAGCAAAAGTTCTCCACGAAACTTACTCCTATGCCAGAAAGCTCAGGATTAGGACGTAATGGCGACACATCTTTCAAGCCCGTGAGCACACGCTGCTGAATCCAGTCACATCGTGCGATTGGGCAGTGACCAGTCGACTCCTCCATTTTCCCATGCTCCAAAGCTTGAAGGCTCCCAATGTATTCTTTCGACTCAGGAAATTCTGGTGTCCAATCTAGAATGCGCAACATGCTGCATTTCAGTAAAGGAAAGCTCTCTGGGGGATAATGCTTGGCAGCGACGAACAAAGGAACCTCCAAGGGATCAACGACCAATGAGGAAAAGACGATACTGCTTTGAGGAAGTCTACGCTTTCTAACAAAGTTATGGCTTTCTCTAGAGCCTCTAATTCGATTATAAAGGCTGGCCTAAATGGATACCACCCATGGGCATGTGAGAACCGTCGAGCGGTGCAGCCAGTTATAACAATTCACTCCGTCGGCCTGCCTCTCAAGGGTGCATTCCTTCTGCTGAAACAGAGAAATGACGCAGGACAAGAGTACACATTTCGATGGATCCTTGCACGGGAGCGATAGATCGATGGTTTCAAGGGCAAATCCTAGCTGTCCGACAACGATCCTTTGTTGTCCAACAACAAAAAGCGAATCTTACCCAAAACACTTAAGCAAAGGTGAAGATTTACGGTTCAAGAGAGGGTTAGGAGGGTTAGGGAGCTTAGAAGCATGGCAGTATCTGCTAAAACAATGCTTAAATGTACTTTTGTGGGTGTGTTTTGGGCAAGATTTGCTTGTTTTCGGACAATTAAGGATTCGTTGTCGGACGCCTACATAGTAGGATTTACCGGTTTCAAGTGGTCTAGGGAGATCCGAGAGTCTGGACGTTGGGAGCACCACAGCACGATAGACACGCGTACTCTTTCAGGATCGCAACATGACGATACACGTTCAGAAGTGATAAAAGGAAGATCCCCCACGCTGAGAAGCTGGAATGTCTGACGGCAGAGTCCGGAAACGAATCCTCTATTAGGCTGCGGGCGACAGCGAAGATGTAGTTTCATATTATAGACTATCAGTGATTGAAAACACTCCCCTAAGGGATTGGTATTTTGATAGATAATGGTTAGATTACGGGTACCTCGTAGTACAAGTAGAATTTAGGGCAGCGGGTACTACCAGTATTATGTGATCATTCCATTGTGCCAAGGGATGAATGCACGTGATTTATCGATAAAGACGGTCTGTGCACCCGAAATCTTGGCTCGCCGAAGAAAAAGTGCGCTGCGGCAAAATAATCTTTTTAGTGTAGAGGACTGGACGACAGTATCACCCTCACGACTTGCTCGAACCTCGACCTGATACCCTTCGAGACAAGTCGACTGTCTTTCAAAGACTTCGCTACTGTCGCTAATTACGTTTGGCATTCCCTCGGTCGTCAAAACCCCGGAGAACAACTTCCCCGCCGACTTTTTGTAACACCAAAGATACTTCTAGCGTGGACTGAACGAGTCCCCAAAAATTTGCAGACATGAAGACACAATGGTTCGGACACCTCTTTGATCGGAATGGGAACATGCTCTGACGAACTCGCAGGAAGGAAATCCCCGTCGTACCTACGCACACCGAATTTTTGGACATCGTCTTGTCCAGGACACAGCGTGTATGTTCACTGGCGCAGACCGTTTCTGGGCTATTCTAACACACCGCTACAGAGACTTCCTACACAGATTCGAGCCGGTTTCCAGATCTCTCGTATCCGAGCCTTCTACACTCGAAAAGTCAAATACACGGCCGAGACATTTGTGGAGCGCCTGCAACAAACGATTGATGCCTTCCCTCGCTTGGCCGACATCCACCCGTTCCACCGTGATCTTCTCAACACGCTCTACGATGCCGACCATTTCCGCATTGCACTCGGTCAGCTGTCTACAGCCAAGTCATTGATTGAGGCTGTTGCTCGAGACTACGTTCGTCTGTTGAAGTACGGCCAGTCTCTGTTCCAATGTAAACAGCTCAAGCGTGCAGCGCTTGGTCGCATGGCGACAATCTGCAAAAGATTGAAGGATCCTTTGGTTTATCTTGAGCAGGTCAGGCAGCATCTTGGTCGTCTTCCATCGATTGATCCCAACACCCGAAGCTTGGTGATCTGTGGCTATCCCAACGTTGGAAAGTCCAGCTTTTTGAAGAACATTTCCAGAGCCGATGTTGACGTGCAGCCGTATGCATTCACAACCAAGAGTTTGGTATGTATAAATTTATTTCTACGTGCGGCGCACTGTTATTAACACATTCTCTAGTTCGTCGGTCACTTCGATTACAAGCTCCTCCGTTTTCAGGCAATTGATACGCCCGGTATCCTCGACCACCCCTTGGAGGAAATGAACACGATTGAGCACCAGAGTATCTGCGCCATAGCTCATTTGAGGGCTGCCATTCTCTACTTTATGGATTTGTCCGAGCAGTGTGGCTACAGTGTATCTGCACAGATCTCCCTGTTCAACTCCATCAAGCCACTTTTTGCTGGAAAGCAGGTTTTCATTGTTGTCAACAAAATTGACTTGGTCCGCCCCGAGGACCTTGATCCCGCCACTCAAGAGCAACTCAAGTCTCTCCTTTCTAGCGAAGTTGAACTCATGGAGATGAGCTGCACTACTACTGACGGTGTTTTCGCTGTCCGCAATCAGATTTGCGACAGACTTCTCGCAGCGCGACAGGCAGAGAAGCTGAAGGGTGCTACCAACAATGTCGGCGAGCCTTCCGGTCGTCTCGGAGACCTTTTCAGAAGGATCCACGTTGCCCAGCCTGCTGGCGGCGTTGTGCGCGAAACTTTCATTCCGGATGCGGCCAAGCAGAAGAAGAAGTACGATCCCAATGACCCAGACCGACCAGTTCTCGAGCGTGATTTGGAGGAAGAGAACGGTGGTGCTGGTGTCTACAATTTCGATATGCGCAAGAACTACCTGCTTGAAGATGATGAGTGGAAGCAAGACAGAATCCCTGAGGTCTTTATGGGACGTAACGTCGCCGACTTCATCGATCCGGACATCGAAAGCAAGCTTCAGGCTCTCGAGGAAGAAGAGGAGAAGCTCGAGGCTGATGGATTCTACGAGTCTGAGGAAGACCTCGAGGATGCTGAAGAGGCAGAGATCCGATACAAGGCCGAGCTCATTCGTGAGAAGAGGCAACTTCTACGCAACGAAGCAAAGATGAGGAAGAGCCTCAAGAACAGGGCGTTGATTCCTAGGTCTGCTAAGGCAGTCCATATGTCAAAGATGCAGTCCCATCTCGAGGAACTTGGTTATGATACCTCCAAGGTGGCCGAGCGCGCACGCAGCCAGAGCCGTGGAAGGAGCACCCTGCGCGGCAAGTCTGAGGGAGGTGATCCCGATGCCATGGAGGTCGATACACCAAAGGCGGCATTCGAAAGGGCGAAGAGCAGAGCCAGGAGCCAGAGCACCAATAGGCGTAATGACGGTGTTACTGACGAACTTGCCGTTACCAAGGCCGAGAAGCTGGCTAAGTTGTCCCAGAAGAAGATGAACAGAATGGCCAGACAGGGTGAGGCCGATAGGCACCAGACCAGTTCGCTTTCGAAATACTTGGTGAGTTTTCTTAGGACATGCGACTCAATCACATACACTAATACATACACAGACTGTTGGCAAGCGTGGAATTGGCAAGACAAACAGAAGGTAGACGTTCCCAATCATACGATTCATGTTGGCTCTGGTATTCACAGGCGGAAAAATCACGACATGGCGTTCAGGATGCATTTGATACCACCTCTTCGCCATGCAGCAAAGGGATTAGTTGGTGGACTTATACAGATTTCATTACCAAAATTTACATGCGTGCTCTCGCTTTTTAGCTTCAACCAGGACGAATTTGGATGAATGTGTTACTTATTCCGACCCCAACCCAAGTAACCGTTCGGAGTCAGTGCACATGCCCAGGCATCGTATAGTCTAACGAATAGCAAGGGTTCCGTGGGCCCCAATCCTACGTTTCAAGATGATGTCCGTTTAGTGCTTACAGCCGTATATCGACTATTCCGAATCGCCTCTCGTACCATGTTGTTTTCCAAGATAAACGAGATATATTTAAATACAGAGGTTGGATGTGCGACATCTCCATGCCGAGGTCCCGTTGCTCAGCCAGGCCCGTATGGCCATCGCACGAATTTCATAGAAGGATGACCCTTGATGAGAAAGGGAAGCAAAACTGAATTGGGGGTTAAGATCAGAGCCGTGGAGAACTGATTGAAGACTGAATCTAAGGACGAACGATATAATTGTACTCGAGCTTTCGAGCAGCTTCGGAGGACCCTGTTTTTGCAGTGTTGCCAGCCAAGATGTGCCAGGAGTCTAGGACTACGGTACGGATACACCGGCCGAGCAGGGTGATAGTTTAACCAACAACAAACGCAACTTGCTCCGAAAGTTTGCCTTTTAGTACCCACAGGCCGTTTAATAGATTGGCCCAGGTACAGTACAATACATGCATAGCCCAAGCCTCGCAACATCATTCCACATTTTGCCCATGTCTTTACCCCTTGGGGCCAATTGCGGGTCTTAGTCTGACCTCGCATGTCTCTACACCAAACCAGATGTAGTGTTTGAGTGCGAACGACAAGTTCGTCCGACATGGGGACATCGTCGTCAATACTTACCATTCCCCTTCGGTGGAACAGGTTGTTTGGAAGACAGTCTCAGAGATGTTGTACCCGCGCTTGGAGTAATCCACTTGCTATGGGGGCCAACCACACAGTACTAAGCATGTTGACAAAATCTAATTAATCGAACATTGCAGTTCTATGCTCCTACATAGTACATATCCAGAGCGTACTCCTCGAGGCTGTACGTGCATTGTGGCGATACTGGTACCTTTGCGCCTTACACGTACAAGTACAAGTACTTGTCATTCGGTTAGGAGGACGGACCGAGCCGCAGAGGCATCTTGCGCTCCGCGTCATCATGGGGATACTGAGTAATGAACTGGTGGTGGCCCTGATATGGGTGACTGCTACTTTCGCGTCGTCTGGTAAGATACTTTCATTGACAAATCCGCTTTAAAGAATGCGATGAGCCTAACATGATGTGCACATAGTCCTTGTAGGCCCTTCGCCTCGCCGCGATCTAGCATTACGCCAAAGCTCTGTCGAAATCAGACAAGAGAAGTCGATATGTCCAGATTCATACACGAGTCCTAATGGGTTGCGCTTCGCAACCCACTGCAACAAGCGCATTACTTTGGACGGTTCGTCTGCGCCATTCTTTGATCCAGCCTCTTCATTGTTAGCACCATTGGACGAAGTACTAATGTCTTGTATACAGCGGATGCGACTAGTATTGTCATGGACAACGTAGTCCACTGCATGAATCATTGTTCGCGGTACTGGGGCGATGGCGAAGGATGCTATGGCCTTTCCTGGCGCGAGGCCGACCACAAATGTTATCTCCAAACCAGTGCCATCCTTGGAATCACCGCAGATAATATGACATCGGACGAAGGCTTCCACAGCGCCGTCGTAAATCCCGAGGACATGAAACCTTTGCCTTCGGAGTGTCCCGGCGAAAATATGTCAACACATGACTTTGGCAATGGATTGACCTACACCTTGCACTGCGACAAGAAAATTGACGGTTACGATACCTGCTGGGAAGGATACAGTGACTGCAAGGGCAAGCCATACATTGGATACCATCATACGACTAGCTTGCAAGAATGCCTCGAGCTCTGCATAAAGGAACGCCCACTCTGCCGAGCAGTGATGTACAATCCGACGCTCGAAATCGGTTATGCCAATTGTTGGCCGAAAACAGGATGGACAACTGACAGTTTAAAGACTCCGAAGGCCGCAACTGTTCATTCAGCGGTCATCTCCTCCATTGAACAGATCGATACCAAATGCCCCGAGGGCAATGTGGTCAAGAACGACGAGACAACATGGGACGTCCAATGCGGGAAATTCAGTTCCGGGACGAACCTCACATCAGTCCATGCCCAAAACATCACCGGGTGCATAGATGCCTGTGCGAACAATGGCAATGGATGTGTCGCGGTTATGTTTGATTCCAGCCTGGAGTTTGGATATCAGAACTGCTACCTCCAGAACACCACCTCTTTCATATCAGCCAAGGCCGAAGTGACATATGCAGTCCAGGCCGGCGTTTCCCTACCAACTTCGACCCCATCGCCATCTTCATCTTCATCTTCATCTCCGTCGGTAGCACCGGCTTCGGGCGCATCACCTGGTGCAGAGAACAGCCCACCTCCTGCTGAGAACAATACCAACGGCGGGTCCCCTTCAAAGGCTTGGATCGCTGGGCCCGTCGCTGGCGGCGTTGTGGGATTGGCGCTAATCGGCGTTGGACTGTTCTGGTGGCGTAGGAGAAGAAGCAGGGCTTATGGCATCGGCAAGAGGCATGAATTGGGGCCAGCCCCAGCATATTCACCATACGTGCGTCCAATGGAGTTGAGTGCCGACCATACGGTAGAGGCGGATGCGTCGCCTGCGATGAAGTATGCGAACAAGAAGATGTTTCCTCCACAAGAATTACCGTCATGAAACAAGATAGAATGGTGGAAGCCAACTAACACCAGATGTCTGGAATGGTAGATTCCAGGTACCGTTAATTATGTATATCAAAGATGGGAAGGTGCGCCGCACCTATGGTATGAATCATGGTTTGAGATATCCCTTCATGAGCTGTTCGTTGAGGACAGTCTCCAGTACACAATGAATGTATATATAATCATCTAGCATTGTGGGAATAATACCTAATCAGACTTTTTATCTCCTCAGAATCAATCAACTGCGTTGCACCTCTATACCACACTGCTAGAACGAGGACAAACTATGTCTATGTGATCGAATAAAGCATTCTAGGTTCTGGCAGGAACACCATCTACACAACTTCGCTTCAAGCCAGCATTCCCGCGAACTCACCGCCGTCCTTCAACATGTCGCTCGCCTTACCCGCCTTGACCAACTTGCCTTTCCCAAGCACAACGCAATAATCCGCATTCTTGACCGCCTCAAGCCTATGCGCAATCGTAATCACCGTACTCTCCCTCATCTCATCCCTCAACACACTCTGAATGCGCTGCGCCGTCTCGAAATCAATACTCGCCGTCGCCTCATCCATGATCAGCACCGGCGAGCGCCTCAGCATCGCCCTCGCCAGCCCCACGAGCTGCCTCTGTCCCTGAGAAAGCCCCTTCCCGCCCCCTTCAATACTCGTCGACAGCGTCCACTCGTGGTTCCCCGCGATCTTCGCGAGCACGGATTCGCACGCCGCGTCGGAGTACTCGTCGAGCGGGTCGAGGTTCTTGCGCATGCTGCCGGGGAAGAGGACGGGCTCCTGGGCGAGGAACGTCACGCGGCTCCTTAGAGCCTGACGGTCCACAGTCGCGATGTCGACGCCGTCGATGGTGATCGTCCCGCCTTCAGGGACGACGGTTGCTAGTAGTGCGATCGCGAGCGTGCTCTTGCCGCTGCCAGTGCGTCCTATCACAGCGGTGTTCGACCCAGCTGGGATGCGAAGCGAGATGTTCAGCAGCGCGGGATCGAGGTTCGCGGCGTAGCGGATTGTGACGTCGTCGAAGACGATGTCCCCGGTGTATGTGGGCCAGAAGGCCGGGGGCTCGACGACGCCTTTTGTCTCCTCTTCGAGGTCGAGGAGTTCGACGACTCGCTCGACGGATGTGAAGTCCATCTCGAGCATACCGTACACGCGGCACATGTAGTCTGTGAATAGGACGAATTTGCTCGCAGTGACGAGGACGAAGGCTGTGAGGCCTGGGCTTATGTTCGTGTAGACGGCGATTAGGGTCATGACGAGGGTTGATGATGCGGAGAGGAGAGAAAACCGGAAGCTTAGCCACGATTGTAGTGACCAGTAGAAGTGATCGTTCTTTTGAAAATTATCGACAACTCCGATAACTGACGCGAGGAACGTAGGCTGGGCTGAGAAGGCTCGTACTGTTGTGAGGCCTTCGACGAGCGCGCCAAAGTTGGACATCAATGGTGACAGAGACACCATCTACTCTACATTAGCAAAGAGACAGTCCAAAGAAAGGGATGTGACATACCTCTAGACGTCTCAGGCTTTGGGACACTGGCAAGAAACGAAGGAAATGATAGATGAATCCGCTACACAGAATCGCGGCAAATGCAACGAAACCCGGCGTTGACGTGAAGAAGACAATGATGCACGATAGCCACCCAACTAGGCCCCAGACGAAATAAGTGAACATCTCGCTCAGAGCTCCGTCGACGGTGTTCATGTCGGATGTCAGTCGGTTCATCAATCGACCGACCGGCGTGACGTCGTAAAATCGGAAGGTAGCATGGGCAACGCGATCCAAGGCTTCTTTAAAGATGGTCTTCGCAGCATGGTATCCTACACCAAACATGATGAGATTTGTAAGCCAGAAAAGAATAGATGATCCGACGGAGAAAGCAAAGAACAGTTCAAGCCATGGCACGGCGTTCTTATATGGAGGGGGTAGCGAGTCAAACAGCCCTTCGGCCTGGACTTCCTCGTAGCCTTCTCCCCAGCTCTTAAGAAACCAAGTAAGTACGACATCGAGCACGCGGAAAGCAGCCATGACAATAATTGAAATTGACCACCAGTGGAGAGTTCCAGCTTTGATGTAGCGCCAGTACACTTGTCGTTTGACTCCACCTGTTGCGCGGTGTTCCTCCTCGAGGAATTTGTCGGGGATAGCAGCGGCCTGCTCTTCTTCCTTCTTCTTGCGTTCTTCCTCGTCTACTGCAGAGTCATGGGTATGTGTGCGACCTAGTGCATTCTCTTCTTCTTCATTCGGCTCGTGTACTGTCGTTTTGCCATTCGAAACCTCGACCCACTGCTTCGCCAGGCGATGGCAAAGCTCGGTGCGGTGAGTGACGAGTACTGTTGTGCGGTCTTGCATCAAAGGACCTGCAAGCAATTTGTTGACAATGAACTCTGCTGTTTGATGGTCCAAGGCCGAAAGAGGGTCGTCCAGGAAAATGACTTTTGCATCGCTGTATACAGCTCTTGCCAAAGCGACTCGAGCCTTCTGGCCACCTGAGAGACCGATGCCGTTTTCTCCTATGTTCGAAAGGTCGCCGTGCTTAAATTCAGCCATGTCGGGCACCAAAGCACATGCCTCCAAGACCTGCCTGTATCGAGTCTCTTGATATGGTGCCGAGAAGAGGATGTTGTCTCTAATGCTCATACTCTGTAGCCACGCAGTTTGCGCACAGTAGCCGACTACTTGCTCCGGACGTGTAAACTCTCCGGCAGTCTTGTCGAGTTCGCCCAAGAGGGCCTGCAGTAATGCTGTCTTGCCGGCGCCAACTTCACCATATACTACAGTCAGCCCCATTGGAAATGAGAGGGTAACGTTCTCGAGCACATTCTTCGGCACACCGGGCCATGCGAAAGAAGCTTTCTCAAGTCTAAGGTCATCCGTTCCTTCGGGAACAACATCGGCTTGCTCTTTGTCTGGCTCCTGCATGAAGGCTTCGACTCTTCCCATAGCGACATATGCATTCAAAAGGACAGTGATGAGTTGAGGAAGCTTTCTCAAGTCGTTCTCCAGCATGTTGAAAAGATCAATCGCGGGGAAGATCAGGTCGACTCTCAGTGGTTTACCAGCGAATATTGTCAACGCATAAAAGGAGACAGCTGGAAATAAGCCAGATCCAAATCGAAGGATGAATGCAAGAGTCGTCGATAAGAAGATTTGGATCACACGTAGATGCAACTCCTTCTGTCGCGACTCGAATATATCCTTCAGCCATGCCTCTTGCCATCCATACCAGCGAAGGTGGCGAATCGACTCGATGAACTGGGTGATCCTCTGGAGCTTTTCGTCGGTTGCAGCTCGCCGTTTCTTTTCGTAATAGACCTGAAGGCGGGCGATCAAGACGTTGAGTAGCTGTGATACGAACAGGGCAACAACACCTAACAAGCATGCCCAACCGAGCATTCGCCAGATAAGAATGATGGCGACGATTACGCCAATAGGCCTCGTGAACATATCCGGAAAATCCCAAAAACGCTGAGAGATCTCATACACGTCGTTTCTCATTAGGTTCAGGATCTTTCCCATTGAGGCTGCCCCCTTCTTGTCCGCTTCTTCCGGTGTTTTCTTCTGCCTTTGAGATCCGAAGACAGCACGTAATTTGTGCCATAATGCAAAGGGCCCAGTCTCCTTTGCTTTCGTTGCCTCTTCTTGGCCATCAGAAATCCCATTGGTGGTACCAGAGATACCTGCGTTTGATTGGTCATCTAGTGCAGTCTCAGACTTTTGCTTCGCGCCAATGATTTTTCTGTTCAACGTCTTTTCGTAGAGCATCGTGATCATTTCTCCTCTTGAACGTTCATATGCGCGTCTACTATACCAAAGAATGAAAACTGCGGATTGAGCAGAAATCAATCGAAGCACAAGCGAGAGTGACGCATACGTTATTGTAGCACTATTGGGAGATGCAGGATCCTTCATAGATACAAGCAAACGTTGTAGAAGGACAGGGGTAAAGAGCTCTAACGTGATATCAGTTTCTTGTGTCATCGTCAAAGCTCAAGGATATCACATACTCGTAGCCAAGTCCAGCAATGAGAGCGTCGTTGTACGGACAAGATCGAGTCCGTTCGCTTGGAGCAATCGACTCGCGACCGATCCTTGCAACGTACGGAACTTGTTATGAAGTCGACTATGTTTGTACTCATAGCCAAGGTCCCATACCTCGTCATTTTCCAGCGCTCCTCCTGATCCTCTCTGGACCAATGGCTCCATCCATGCTACAGTCATGTACTGCCAAGGGGTCAGGTTATCTTCGGGAGTTCGCAACTTGACTGTTGGCGCACTAAATGCTGGACTGATATCATCACGCTGTAATCTTGGATCCCGTAATGGCATGTTTAAGATGGTGAAAATACCACACAAGGCAAATACCGGGGCAATCACCAAAGGCAGGTCTCTGGCAGCCAGAGAGGCCTTTGTATGAGAGAGGATTACTAACTGCGAGAAGAGCAGACCTGTAAGTAAGACAAGTATCGAAATTGGTGCAACCCTCGGCCTTTCAATCGCCAGTATCCCGATGGCAATGGCCTTGCCTCGATTGTCAGCATGGATTTTACAAGTCGAACGCAACAACACTCACCCAGGCAATCGTTGGAAATACGGCTGTAAGTTGCCGAAAAGGGAAAAAAATCGTGACAATCTGCAGCGCCATTCCAAGAAAACAGACGACCACAAGGCTGTGAGCCACAATAGCCACGCGACGGGCGGGCGCCAAATCAGCATCGACCGAGACATGCTTCGACTCCGTAATGAAAGGCTTGGTCCACTGGGGACGCCACGACTTGAGAAGGCTGAGAGGATAAGGTAGTAAAATCAATGCTCCAATGATGACTGGTATCGCAGAAATAAGCGGAAGAAAGCATGGCGTAAAACGTGCTGTTGTCTCGTTCTGCTTAGGTTAGCGATTGGTCGAATGTAAAAATTGGAAGGTCAACCCCATACCCATATTGGCCAACATTTCGCTACTGGCGGAATCTCATCGTCGAGATACCAAGGGCTCAGGAGCATTGGCTGCTGGTTCGAAGTCATGATGACTGAAGTACACTCAACGTATGCCAAGCGACGCTTCAAAGCACTTCAACAGGTCTCAAAGACTCGGATTTCCGCCCACTAGAAGCTGCGGGAGGTCATCGAAATCATATGTCGCGTCGAAGACAAATTCAAATCGAAGCAAAGGCACGATGTAACGTAGAAGTGCGGAGGGATACGATGTACCGACCTCGGTGAGTGCCTGAAGATCACCCGTATTACATCGCGCTAGTCCTATTCTATCTTCACGAGATTGTCCTGTTCCTTTGCTTCGAAGGATGATAAGAAAGGATGAGCTCGAACTACGAAGGTAGCAACACCGAAATCATATGCGATGAACTTGGAAATACTTTTATTTGATGCGATCTCGCGACTTGATCATTGCGATTGGCGCAGTGGCTTCGTTGGCCGCATTAGAGCTTACCGTAACTGTACTGGTGACGTCCGTGTCGGCCTCTACTCCGTTATATCCGAAACGCGATAATGCTATAACATCTCTCAATCACAATAACAAATTTGAACTCTATAATACATGCTTTCTATACTCTGAGAAACGAGTAATCAATCCTCGAGATGGCTACCTCAAAATCAGTCGTTCTCGTTACCGGCGCAAACACTGGGATTGGATACGAAGTTGTCAAAGCTCTAGCAGCTTCCGACATTGCATATACCATTCTCCTGGGCAGCAGGTCGCTGGACAAAGGAAAGGCTGCTTTGGAAAAGATCAATGAAGAAGTCCCAAGTACCAAGAGCGAAATCCATTTGCTTCAGATCGACATTGAAGACGATAAAAGCATCGAAGCTGCCTTCAACACTGTTCAACAGCAATGGGGTCGAGTAGATGCACTCGTCAACAACGCCGGCGCCGCTTTCGATCAGCTCATGAAAGATAACCCTGGACCTTCTGGCATTCGAGAGGCTTGGGACCGCGCATACTCCCTTAATGTGACCTCCACTCAAGTTTTCACGCATACGTTCATTCCATTGCTTCTGGCCTCTGCGAGCCCCCGTCTTTTGTTCGTCACTTCGGGACTTTCGTCTCTTGAGAACTTTGCTCCGACTCGTGTGTCTTCTGGTGCAACTCGCGAGATTCCTGCCGGCTGGCCAAAACCGGCCGGGCCGAGCGTCATTGCCTATCGCAGCTCGAAGACGGCACTAAATATGATGATGCTGGACTGGGCTCGCCTATTGAAGAGTGACGGCGTCAAGGTCTTTGGTATCTCGCCTGGATTCCTGGCAACTGGACTTGGTGGTTCTGGTGCAGAGGTTTTGAAACGGTATGGAGCTGGAGATCCAGCGTTGGGCGGAACGTTGATGAGAGACGTTGTTGAGGGCAAAAGGGATGGGGATGCAGGAAAGATTGTTGATCAAAATGGTGTGCAACCGTGGTAAAATAAGCAAGCACTTGGAAGGACCACATTGGATTTGACTGTTCGATATGTTGCAAATTTATAGTTTTCCGCAAATGTCAGGTTTCCATAAGAGCACTCTCAAGCTATAACTTATAACATATAAGGCCGACCATTTTGCTGAAAAAAACGCATTCGAACTCGTACACATTCAATCAAGTCTAAGATTATATATTGATCATGACAGCTACAGTACAGTATAATTGATTGTCCAAGCTTTGTAACTAAATGCTGTGTAGACTTAAACACTGTAGTATATAGTCCATTATTGCAAAGCATACAGTATAATATGCACACCTAGCATAACATTATCAACGCCTATAATGACGTTCCATAGACTGCCCCTCCCATGCCCCGCCAAAAAGAGAAATCCAGTTACCCAAGCGCCCCGCCCCTGAGCATTCCAGCGCACCAAAACACCACCCCAACGCCCAAAAAACGTCGCCACAACACCTAAATGGGCAAAAAAGAAAGCTTCCGACACCGGGAATCGAACCCGGGCCTTGCCGGCACTTGAAAGTGTAACTAACTCTCGTGATGAGAGCGGCAAATCCTAGCCACTAGACCATATCGGATGGTTGTTGGTTGATTGATGAAGAAATTGGAAGTAAGATAAATAATATAGCATGACAAAATGAGGAAGACCAGATGGAGAAGGAGGACAATAACTGTGGTTCATGGATGGGACACCCGGTGGAAAATTCTGAAATTGAGCCGTTGGGTTGCCTTAGTTCCGGCCACATATGACTCGCTGTCTCAAGCGACATACCCTAGCAAACGGAATGACAGGAAAAATCATGTAGTACGGGCACGCTAACATACCCTCAGCGACCAGTCAACGGCCTGATATGAGAAGAATACCAATATAACTATGTTCTTAGTATCAAAGGGTGCAGTGGCCTTAGTTTCCCAGGACACCTTCATGCTGGATGAACCTTTTTGCATATTTGAAGGACCGGACAGTAATTGGCTATGCCTGTCTTGTCTTTTGTGGCTGTAATCATTAGAATCCTGAACACTCAATAATTATATAGGGTCCATGTCGAATGTATCGCACCTTTTGGACGTACAGTTCACCTTTTCAAAGCTGAATATTGTACTCCGTATATTGGGCTTGCAATGTGAATCCCAGTTTAACCGCCTTTTGATTAAGTTTTGATTTAAAGAGAAGTTTATAACTACAATGATTTAATACATATTCTATTCAATGCTTTACTTCATGTCAGAACAAAGTATGAACTGGGCAAAAATATCTTACGCAGTCTATCTATGTACCAGCATCATCACCTGCTTTCAAACTAACATATGTACAAGTAGAAATGAAAGAGAACCTCATCGGATGCCCTTGTTCAAAGACAACACATCTATCTCATCTAGATCCCCGCCTCCCCAGCAGGCACCAAAGACTGCACCTCAAACAAATTACCATCCGGATCCGCAATGACAATGAAGTCCTTGAAGCCCAACGAATCAATGCCAGCCAGCACCGCCGCGATCCTTGCCTGGACCGACGCATTTTCGAGATCGTCAATGCCCCAAGCAGCCGCAAAATCCGCGTTCCCGGCATTGGGCTCGAAGCCGGTGACGCCGATCCTCTTGACGACAGTGACGCCGAGTTCGTCGCAGCGGTCCTGAACGGCTTGGATGTTGGGGACGATGAGGCCCATGTGGGAGAGGGTGTTTGCGCGTGTGGGTGTGAATTTCTTGTCGGCGGAATCGGGCTGGGTGTTGTTAGTTTGGGGAACGAGTGAGGACATGATGTTTTGGATTGGGTCGAGGGGTGGGGAGGATGTGGTGGGGGGAGTGCGTACTGTGTATTGTTGGAGCTCGAGGAGGCCGGCGAGGTTGTTCTTGTGCTTGAGAAGCTCCTCTCCGGTCTGGAATCCAGTGCCGTTGCGCCCGCCTTGCGAGTGGCCCATGTAGCTGATGATGTAGTCGCGGTTCATGTCGAAGGTGAAGATGTGGCGCATGCCGAGCACGTCTCTGTACCAGTCTCGTGATGCGGTGATGTTGGAGACTAGGAGAGCAACGTGGTTGATAAAGTAGCCGTTTGTTGCAGGGTCAGCGGGTCCGTCAGTCCCAACGGTGAACTTGAATGGGTTCTCTGTTTCATTTCCGCCTGCCTGACGCTTTGCATTCTCATGGTTGCAGGCGAGTGATGCTGCGGGGAGGAGAGCCAAAAGAGAGGTAGAAAGCTTCATCTTGATCGTTGTAGTGATTTATGTCGTGCTTGTGTATCGAGAAAAAGAAGCTGGAATGGAATGAAGATGAGAATTGCTGTGTGTTGATTTCCATTTGAACGTCCTTGATGCTATCACTTATATTCATTTCTTGAAGAAGTATGAAATTATCAAAGGGCCGATCTCATGCCGTTATTCCATATCACAGCCGCACTACATTGTCGCATGGCCTGCCTATTGCATGGGTTTCTCCACAATCGCACAACTTTGCCAGGGACCAAGGCGGTCTAAGGACCCGACTTCATGTGTTGCGGACGTAAATCAGCGACACGTGACCATTCTATCCCCAGATTAAGATTGATAACCTTCCTTCGTGCGTATGCGGTTTGCTGAGCCCCATCGCCGACTTGAGTAGTTGGTTGGAGAGTCTTAGGACATGGCGGGTGATGATTGGCGAGGCTGGCTTACGGCCGTACGATCAATCACCGCCAGAGCCGGCCAAGATCCAGCGGGTGGGAATTGTCAATCTCACATCGAATTCGGAGGTTTTAATGGGCCGTGCTAGATCTTGAAAGAGAAAATGCTTAAAATAGCTGTAAGCTTTTTGCAATATGGCCCCAAACTGCTCGTTGGTACATGGCAAGATAAACTCAGAGAAAAGGCCATCCTTGAACAGCTAACATCCTGCAATTTGTAAATCGCTACCACAACTGGGAACAACATTTCAATGACTCGGAGAGACTCAAGGTCAACGGGTCGCATCGGCTTCCCAAAGTGGCTAATTTCATACACATACATTTGACGTTTTCCAGCATTGATGGAAGAGTGCTTTACAATCACAACAACCATAATGATTGACGAAACGAATGTGGCGGTTCTTCTTCTATCCTCGATGTGTATCTGATTACTTTCATTGCAATATGATGTCACTGTTTAGTAGTTTGTATTTACTTGACGTCGCAATTAGTTAGCTAATACTTTCTAGTTAATCGTAAACCCCGATACCTGAATATGAGAGACGGCCATATCAAACATGTAAAAAACTTACTCTCGACTTCTTCGAAAATATGCACATCCGTTCCACCCTGCCCACAACACGAAGCTACCCTCTTCACTGACACGTCGGTCCACCGCATATCCTCCTCACATTCAACGGCGTCACAACCACATCCGGACTCGAGCAAATGGAGCCCCCCTCCTCCGTCGCCGCGCAATTCAATGGCTCGAACTTAACCGGCGTCGAAGCCATCCATTCCTGTCTGTACGTACAGATCAATCAGTCAGCTGTATCTTCCCATTCAAAAACAAAGCCATAAGACCAAAGATCACGGGGGACATGTAGAATATAAACACTGAAAAGAAAGACTTGTTCTTACCCATCACACCTCCAAGAATGAGAAACCTGCCATTCCCCCCTTTCCTGCGGGCCCCGCAAGTCAAAAAGCAGCCTCCGGTCCGCCGTGCATGCGTTCGAGTTCGGTATCGTGCCGTCCGGGCTCTTGGCGTCGCATGATGTCGGCGACGACACGGCGTCTTGGATGAGGGAGGGGTCCGGGAAGTGCGATTGGAATGTGAAGTGGACGGTTGCGCCGGAGGAGGGGGACGTGGTGTACAGGTAGTTGGTGATGGTGTAGGAGGTTGGGGCGCAGGGGGAGGTTTGGCGGGTGAGGAGGGGGGAGGAGAGGGCGAGGGAGGGGAGGAGGAGGAAAGTGAGGGTGTTGAGGTTGGGGAGCATGTTTGTGGTTGTGGTGGTTGTGAGGTTGAGTGTAGGTGGGTTTGGGTGAATGGAAGTCGGTGTGGGGAATGGCTTATGCTTGATGAACCAGGAAGAAGCGTTCGAGGAAAATAGAGCTGGTATATATCTATAGGGAAGTCAGATCTTTTGAATATCGATTCGGGTTGTAAATTGGTCCTCCGAATCGATAAATGCTACCCACTGTCGCGTGCCGTCAGTCGAGGGGCTAAGCCACACGACTTTCTTCGTTGTGCCACAGCATCCCGCCTCAGCCTGGCATACACCTGGAAGAGACGGTAAAACAATTCCTATTCGTGCCTTGAGAAAGTCAGTGTATTGCGGCGACGCCGGTACGGCTGCCTATTGGTATCGTCAGGTAAGCTGACCCTGAAACGGGGTCTCTTACCATGAACCAATATTTCATGTTTGTCCAGTAGTATGGAATAGCTGAGACCGAACCAAGGAATGGAATTACGTAGCTGAACTCAAGGTATGGGATTTCAGTCCTTCAATGTCTAAAATTAGATTTGGCGATGAGACAACGTGAACGCGGTGAACATCAGTAAAAACGTCACTGCTTCCCCCTCGCTGCCGTTGGCACAATCCACAGTTTGATGCCCTTATGTGTGACCATTTTTGACAATGCTCAATGCTACATTGAAGATCTTAAGTCGAAATGTTGCAAATAATATAAGAAAAGAACCATCACGAATGAACTGTGGCAAATGCAATGCTTGAAGGTGTGTAGTACAATTCGGTGGGAGGTAGTATAGCTCCCGGGTATCATCGTGGTACAAAATGCAAAGACGGTAAGTAACCGATGCGGAGAAATGGAGGCGTAGGTAATCGAGTGTCGCCACCGCCTATGCAGATAGAGCCCTTTCCTCTTCATCCATTTCGCTCCTTTTGCTCCTCCATTTGTATCCTTCGCTCTTCTCTCCATTTGGGACCCCATTTTAGTAGCGCCCATAGGATGGGACTCATAGCTGTGACGACAGCTGCGATGAAGGTGAAGCACCATCCCCTGCCCATGGCATCAATCATGATATTGATGATGCCCGTGCCACCAGCACCAACGAAGCATCTAACAAGGTTGTTGGCTGCAGTCGCTGTGCTTGGAGACATTGGGTAGTAGTCGATCAGCATCACGCTCATACAGTTGAACGCCCCTGTGAGACACAAGCCCATCAGGAAGTGCATTACCAATGGTGCTGCGAGCGAGGTCTCCACCTCCAAGATCCAACCGTAGCAGAGCAAGGCTGCCGTTCCAAGTGCCAGCATAGGCACGGCGACATGCAGTCGTGCACGCTCCAGAGGGAAGTTCTGAAGGTTATCCCCTCGCTTGCGATCGATTGTGAAGTTCTCTTTCTTTGCTACTCGTCTATAGTTCCAGTCCATCAAACGGCCTGCAAGCATGGGTGCGCAGAGGGCTCCGACGCCGAATGGGATGAATGCAAGTCCGATTTGAAGGTCGTTGAATCCGTATATTTCTGCAAACAGATAGGGCGCTGACGCAATGACATCGTAGAAGGCAGTATACACCAGGCTGTTGTAGAATAACAAGAGCCCGGCGTCCTTCTGTTTGATCACACGGAGAGTGCCTAGCGGGTTTGGAAACCTCAATTTCCGCTTACTTGCCAGCTCTACTTGTGCGTCTTGTTCTTGCCCCGAGGACTTTCGGTGTTTTAGGTAGTCGAGCAACGACATGTTCCATCCTTGTGGAGGTATGGAACCATTACCAACAACATTTCGAGCTGTTTCGGGAAAGGCGATAAAGAACACGATCAGGTACACTGCTGTCATGATTACAAGGAACCAGAATATCGCACGCCAACCCAGATATTCTGCGAGTAGGCCTCCAATGACTGGGGCTAGTGCCGGTGCCACCATAGGTCCCTTCCCAGATGTTAGTTTGGTCAGGCATCCCAGTGACAACATACGGCACAACTTACACTGGTGACATAGCCCATCCATGTGCCTCTTTCAGAGCTCGTCGCAACGTCTGCTACGATGCCATTGCCAAGTGCGATTGTTGCACTACTACCACTGCTTTGCAGGCATCGGAGAATGAAGAGTGCAGCATACGAATTCTGCAAGGCAAGGCCAATGTTCGCTCCTATGTAAAGAAGAAAGCCAATAGCATACGCAGGTCTTCTTCCTCTGCATCAAATTGTTAGCACTAGTTGGAGCATCAGACAGGCTGGATACTTACGCCATATCAGCAAGATCCCCAAAGAACGTGGGTGCTAGACCTTGAAAGATCATGTAAGAAGTCAAGGTAAGATTCATCAAAGTGCTTGAAACATTATATTCGTGAGTTAATGTCGTCAGCGCTGGGAAGTAGATGTTGGCCGACAACGGTGAGAAAAACCCGCCCCATGCTGCGAGAAATACAATGAATTGTTTCTTCCTTGTGCTGAATACGGAATATGGCGGTGAATTGGACGGAATGACTGACAGCGCCTCGATGTCGTGAGCGTGGTCCTCTCCAGTAATACTTTCGGATTTCGTTGATGAAGTCGTAGATCGAGGTCGTCCATCCATGGCCTTGTCGTCATCTCCCTTTTCCGATTGACGAATGTGGTTCTTTCCATCTTGAAATATATGGAGTTCATTACCATCACTAGATGCCAATGTTTCCCCGTCCTTGGAGGGGACTGCGTCCTGCCTCATGGCCAAATGCTGTGAGGGAGGACTGCCGACACTGACCGTCCGAACGATACATAGGAATATGCTGTAGGTTATAAGAGAGGGGAAGGGTAGGCTGGGGTGTGTTATGCAGCCGGCATGAGGGACGAGGTGTGGTTAACACCGGCGGCGAACTCGGCCAAGGGTGTGGAGATGGGGGATGGCTCTCTCTGTACTGTGCAAAAGAGTGCATCATTATTGGCGCAGGATGCAGTCATCCGATAGCCACGGGGCGCGTATGGTGCCAGTTACAGATAAGGCCCTTGACCGTAAGCTAAATGTCCCCTCCGGAGGCAGAGCATATCTTTTAGGAAACAACTTTCATCGTGGTCCATCGGTCAACATTCGGCAGGTGAAGGATGAATACGAATGTTAGATGGAGTAGTGGACGGGTAATTCACGGTAGGTGATGCTAACTCGGCCTAAAGTCGCCCGCGCTGGACATGTTGCAAGAGTACGGGCAGATAATGCAATGGATAATTCCATTATTTCAAAGGATTCGGCGTTTTGTTCTAGAGGTTTGGTTGTGTACATTCAGTCACTCCGGTGGTAATCGATTGAAGGAATGACGTGTGTGATGTCGGATGCCGGATTGCGGGCTGCACATGTAAGATTGATTGATAAATCCACTACTGACATCTAGAATGAATGATGGAATGGAATAATCAATGAATTTAGATGATGATTGACACGGGAGAAACGGCTCAGGCTTGACGACGGGTCGGGAGGAGTCGAACGAAGCTTGATTCCTTCTGCTTGGGTGTCACCCCATTCCGGATAATTAAGCGAGTTAAACCCGGCTTAATCCCCCGCCTGCTTGTGTGTCCCGATCGTCGTCATTGTCCACTGCCTGCATTGCTGCCAGCCATAGCTGTGTGCACCTCCATTACCGTTCCGCTGCCCTGCTATCCATCCCAATGGATTTAACCCCAATACTTAACAAGGCGCTAGCCTCTCACAATTCTCGCATCGTCGAACCTCATGTCTTCCGCGTACAGGACCTCGACGAGTTCCTGAAGGAGGCCTACCAGATCGTAATGCCACGTTTCTCGGGCTCTCACCGAACTTGACCACTAATTGACATACAGAGAGCGCGCATCGTAGAGCTACACACCTACCTTCGAGGAATCCGTCAGAGCTATCTATCCACTGCTCATCCCCCACGCAGGAAGCAGGTCTCGCGATCGCTCAATGGTAGCGCCGCCGCAGGTGTTGACAAGGACACCAAATACTTGACGGACGCCCAACGGCAACAGATCGATGCCGATGCGAAGGATCTCCTCCGGGACATCAACTATGCCGTGAAGAATCTGTCGGATGCAGAGCAGGTGCGACAGGAGACACAAAAGCGAATTGCGAACAAAAAGCGAGCAGGGCCAGGTTTTAGTTTCGTCGGACGATGGGCTGCAGGAGGCGCAGTGACTGCAAAGAGCCCAGAAGAACTACTCGAAGAGGCAAAGGCGAAGACATTGCAGGTACACCGTGAGAGCATAATATGGTATCTACAACGGCAGATGGAAGAATGCGGTCGCTTTCAGAGCTCGATGATGGAGATTAGGCTGAAGCGAGAGGTGGAGAAGAGCAAGAGTGTCTTATACAAGGCGAGGGGAACAATGCCATCCTCATCAAATTTCCAGGACTTGGATGGCGGATCAGAGAAGGATTATCGTGGGACAACCACCTACCAGCAGGATACAGAGTCGAAGGCTGTGGAGGCACAACTCGATCCGGAACAACTGCAACTCTTTGCGCAAGAGAACCAGGACATGCTTAAACACTATGAGGATTCCCTGGACCAAGTGCGGTATGTGGATGCTGTTCATCTATTTATCTATCTTCCTTTTCTTCTGTCACACCCTATCTGAGAATGCGAATCTGACACCAAATAGCCAAACGGAAAAGTCGCTCGTCGAAATCGCCGAATTACAGACTACGCTCGCAAACAATCTCAGCATGCAAGCCGCACATATCGAGCAATTGGTAGAGGACTCTTTCAACACCACCGAAAACGTAGGAACTGGTAACAAGGAGCTGAAGAAAGCGACCGAGAGGAAGAGCACCGCGCGGATGGTCTTTTACGGGACTGTAGCATTCTGCTCGACACTTGTGCTGTGGGACCTTTTCATATGACGGATAGATACGAAGCACAATTAGAAATACTTGCAGACGCTGCATCGCAGGTGACAAGAAATCGAGAATGAGCTTGTGATAGACGGTGTCAGCCGATGATCTTACCGGTGCACTCCGGGGAAACTTTCCACGAGCATTTCGTGCATGTGAAGCGAAATTGGGCCGAATTGCCCTAAACTTGCTGCTCGCTGACCCACCTTTGCCCTCGCCCACCTCTCCTTACGTCCCTCATGTCCCTTGCTTAACCTAGGCATTGGCGGTTTGATTCATGGAACACATGTTAGAATAGTACGGTATGGACACAATACAATAGCAACAAAGGCTTTGTTCGATCTCATATCCTCAATGCCAAAACCCTTCGAAACTGACCATGCAGCATTAAAGGTGTATGGAGTATTATTGAGTGCGAATAGATTGAAACCTCGTGGCAATTGCATGATACTATAGATACTTTCCCAGGTACTTGTAGTGGGCCAGCCGTTGCGCGATACAAATAGCTACTGGTATGGATTACCTAGTTGGTGCGGGCCAGGCACGAATTACTGCATTGTACAAAGTTCAAGTAAGTAAAGGACAAGCCTTAGCTGCGACTGCGCCAATAGCAGAGTTAGCAAGATTGATTAATACGAATACTGGGTCCCCAATCTGGCGTGGCTTGATTGATATCGGATCCGCATGAGAGGTTGGTGAGATCAATTGACATCATCACCAGGGCCGTCTAGAATCCGCACTCGTTGTAATCGTGGAGAGGTGGACCTCGGTATGGGCAACGAGCCTGTCTAGGGCGTTCAATCCCGAGGAGGACATTCTGGGGTTTATAAAGAGAGCTCTCTCTACGCATGAAGCTCGGAAAAAGGAAAAGAAGAAGAGAGAGTTCCGCGAATTCCATCCCCCATTCCCCCGTCCACCGTCACATCCCTTCTCCAAACTTTTTTGCCCCTGCTCTCCACTCCCACTACTCTCCATAGCTCAGCTCCGCATCCATCCCGCTGGACCGCGTGTTTCCCGACGTGCATTCACTGCAGCTCCCGTTGCAGCGAGCCATTCAGCACACTTTGCGGGGATATCTTAGCGTTGAGTTTGCTCAAAAGTCAAGAGGTCAGGCGGAGGCCGTTGTCCGCCCATCCTATCGTATCCAATCGTACCATTGGCGGTGTGAGACGTGAGGTGGTTTGAGTGTACACGAATAAGTAATAATAGCGATCATGCCAGAGTCACCTTCTCGAACAAACCCCACCCGCACCAACTCTCCTCCTACTACTTCTACATCATCCTCCTCCTCCCCTTCTTCTATCACTCCTCAATTCCGTCTATCCCAACTCACCTCCCACCTCGCTCCAATGGCTTCCACAACTTCCTTCGACGCCAATGCCGTCCCCCAAGCTCCCGAAGACCCTCTCTTCGGGTTGATGGCTGCTTTCCGCCGCGACACAGATCCAAACAAGGTCGATTTGGGCATTGGAGCTTACAGAGACGACAACGCAAAGCCATGGGTCTTACCCGTCGTCAAGAAGGTGAGTCACTCCATTTCTCCAACCCACTCTTCCAAGACCTTCGTTGTTACTGCGGCGGTTTGAAGACGAGGATTCACTAACATACCGTGTTTCGCCCCAGGCCGACGAGAAGCTTCGCAATGATCCCAACCTGAACCACGAATACCTCCCCATCGCCGGTCTCGCAGATTTCACGTCGGCGTCACAAAAACTCGTTCTAGGCGGCGACAGCCCCGCCATCAAGGAGAAGCGGGTGAGCACATACCCCATTCCCCCACCCATTATGACTAAAGCTCATCGCGAATTACCTCACAGGTCACCAGTTTACAGACCATCTCCGGCACCGGTGCTGTCCACTTGGGAGCTCTCTTCCTTGCCAAATTCTACAAGCCAAACTCGAACCGCACAGCCTACTTCTCCGACCCAACATGGCCGAACCACTTCCAGATCTTCAACAACGTGGGGATCCCGCAGAAGACATACCCATACTTCTCGAAGCAGACCAAGGGTCTCGACTTCGATGGCTACATCAAGTCCCTAGAGAGTGCAGATGAAGGTTCCATCATTGTGATCCATGCCTGTGCCCACAACCCTACCGGTGTTGACCCCACGCAAGAGCAGTGGAAGAAGATCGCCGAGGTGATCCGCGCGAAGAAGCACTTCCCCTTCTTCGATACCGCATACCAGGGCTTTGCATCAGGGGATTTGGCCCGTGATGGCTGGGCCATCCGATACTTTGTCGAGCAAGGTTTCGAGCTCTGCATTGCCCAATCGTACGCAAAGAACTTTGGTCTCTACGGCGAGCGCGCGGGATGCTTCCACTTCATCACCAGCCCGTCGACCGACGCCCAGTCAGTAGTTTCGAGAGTCGCCTCACAACTCGCCATTCTCCAGCGATCAGAGATCTCAAATCCCCCAGCATACGGCGCGCGCATTGCCTCGATCGTGCTGAACGACGCAGAGCTCTTTGCAGAGTGGGAGGCCAACCTCAGGACCATGTCCGGCAGGATCATTGAGATGCGCAAGGTGTTGCGCGCGAAGCTCGAGGAGGCCGGCACTCCAGGCACATGGAACCACATCACCGACCAGATCGGCATGTTCAGCTTCACGGGCCTCACGGAGCAGCAGGTCCTCAAGCTGCGGGAGGACAGCCACGTCTACATGACCAAGAACGGCCGCATCTCAATGGCAGGCTTGAACACGCACAACGTCGACTACTTTGCAAAGGCCGTCGACCAGGCCGTGAGGGCCACGCAGTAGTGCGTCATTTGATGGGTACGAATAGTGTATTGATGGGGTAATAGCCGGTCCAAAATCGGTAAATCGGAAATCCATTGATTGGTAGGAATTTATGGGCAATCGGCGTTGGTTTCCGTGGATCTCTAAGCAAACAAACGTGCGGACGAGGGACGACGGGGTCGTTTCTACCTAACAAACTCGGAATTAAAGTCTCATATCACGCAAGCAAGGCAACGAGACACATAGAGTTCTCTGCAATGTGCAGAGTAACAAACAAATAAATGAATGACTCAAAAACTTCACTCCAAAACTTCCCTCTCCAACCCTTCCGAGATCGGCGTACATACATGCTCCCTCCCATCATCATCCGCTGTTTGCAATTGCTTCTTCCTGTGCCAATTCTCGTCCATTTTTTTTCGCTAATCCCAGCCCCCAGCTCTCTCCCTGGGGTAAAATGGCGCCCCTGGCACCCGTAGACCATTACCCCTGCCCTGTCCTGTATTCGAGGGAGGCGCTGCTCACGGCGTTTCTCGAAAAAGGGCCTGCGGAACTGTGTTCGCCTTACGTACCCACTCACCCACTCCAGAGCCCACTATCCAGTCAGCCACCCACCTCTAGAACCTCTTTTTCGTTCTGAATGTCTCTCGGAGTATGAAGTCCAGAACCGGTGCGGTATTATTCCAAAGCATTGTCTTTGAGTGAGTGGTATGATGTCTGAGATAGTGAGTCAGGCGGTTCGTGGATGTGAATGATTGAAAATCGGATTTCCTAGTATGGAGTAGATACTGCAGAGGACTTGTATCGCGGTTGTGGGACGGAATTGTGATGCGTGTGCAATAGCTGACTGTTGACTATGGAAATCCGAATACTTGCGCTCTCGCCCTACCTCACTCTCTCCCCAACTCAGCGACAGCAGCAGTAGGTTTCCAACAGTTCAATCATCATCGGCACTTGAACTCAATTGCCTTCTTTTCCTCTCCCTTCGAGCACATGGCCCATACCTTACCGCCCGGCACCCCCCCCCCCCCCCCCATCAGATCTGGGTATCTACCCACCTCCAACACCACCCCAAGTCCCCCAACTCCAACTCCCAAGGCGAGGCTCGGCCCGTACATTGCACAGATTAGGCATGCGTTCCTTCCTTCACACCTCCCCTACCTCCCCTCCTAGCCAACCATTCCCCCAGCGCAAAGGTAGGGAAAGGCAACGCAGCTTGAACACCCACCCCGCCGTGTATGTACGATAGTCGTGGGTGTAGGTGTGGGGGCAGAAATGGTTCGTATGCTCTGCGCGCCACATCGCATCGAGTGATTGATTGATCGATACATCATCATCGCCGTCGTTGGCGAGGCGAGGCTCTGAGCTACGTTTACGTTTACGTCTAAGTACTGTGTACATACCTCGTACCTACCGACCGATCTACTAGATGGGCGCGGCGCCAGGTGGTATGGTTCAATGGTTCAATATGCATATCTACGTAAGATGGAGGTGGTGGAAGTGGTGGTGGTGGTGGTGGGGGGCGGAGAATAGATGACATGCCCACCCCACCCTATGAGGGAAGTGTGTGAATCTCACGTTATTTGCCTAGTTGGGAGTGAGGTGCGAGGTGTGTGTTTGTCTCGTGGCCTTGTTTCTTGGTGGAGGGCAGGAGAGGGTTCTGGATTATGGATTATGGATTATGGAGGGTTTCTGGATGACAGGAGGGGGAAAGAGGAGGAACGGGCGGTCGGGAGGAGGGTGTGTATGTGTGAGAGAGGAAGAGAGAGAGGGAGGGAGAGACTCGGTAGGTGATGTTGAAGGGAGTCTGCGTTGGGGGATGGTGAGGGTTCTGGTTGTGGTGGTACACAACAACCTAGGTATCTAGGTACCTACTCAACAAGTACCTGTTCATACAGTACATACTCCGTACGTTCGAGACTCTTCCTCCCCGCAGGACGAAAGGAATCTCATTACGCACGTGCGGTATGTACATGTACCTACATGTCCGATGCAATCTACTCCGTATGTTGGGGGACCTTATTTCATTTCGTCCAGGCATGTGCGTGCCGTGTAGGTACATACGGGTACATACGCGCTGCTGCATACGGAGATTTGAATGCGCGGGTCCTCCAACTGTGTACCTAGATAGGTATCTGTACGTACATGGAACAGTGCTGTATGTAGTGTTACTTCCCCAACGAACTTTGTTGAAATTTGAAACAATATTGGAGGATGCGAATAGGAAATTAAAACTCTTTCCTTTTTCGAAGGATATCACGCATTCGTTCGGGACGAAAGAGGAAAGTTTATTTTATGATTTTTATTCCATTTGTGGTAGCGTTTTTTGCTTTGTTTTTGAGACTTTGGCTATGCATGCTGTGTACCTTATGCTATGCTAATATGTGAATGTTGTGTGTTCTTGTGAAACAGGGGTAACTACCGATATCCTTCGTTGAATTTCCGTGTACGTGACTATGCGTCCTAGTCGTGCATAGAAAAGAGGAAGAGAAAAGTATGCGACAAGGTGGTGGAGACAAGATGTGCCGGCGAAACCACTTAAGGCTGAGGTCTATTTTTGCACCCGCCACGTTCGCAAAATCGAAGCTGAGAGAATACGAGAGAGAAGGTTCGTAAAAACCATGCGAGTATCTGCTGGATGCAAATTGCGGCATGTGTGAATGTGTAGGGTTATGATGTATGTAGGTATGTATGTACAGGGAAACTGCATTGTGCGGATACGGGATTTGCCATGTTGTCGGGGATAGATTGCGAGCGCGTGGAGCTGTGGCAGGGGGTGTTGGAGGTGCGAGGTGGAGGTGGCGATTCAGCAGCACCACCAACACACACGCATGCCCTCGCTTTTTGCCCCGCTCGATGAGGGAGGAATGATTGGCGGTGTGATGGAAGATCCCGGAAAATGAAACTTTGGGGGTGGAAGGGGAGTGGAAGAAAGAAGGAGAGGACGAAAAGAAGGTCCAAAAGCTCTGTGGAAAAAAGAAGAAGACTCCAACGCCCGAAGCCGCTCGTGGTATCATAGATGAAGCCGAAAGAAAGAGAATACTGAGAGGTATCAAGTGAAAGGTAGCGATGCTTTTTACGCCATAGACCGTAGAAAAATCGATAAGAAGAATGAAAGAAACCGCAATCATAATCGGGGAGAAAAAAAGGGTATTAGATGATCTCCTTGACTTCGTATCTCTTCGCGTTGAGCTTGGCTTTGATGCTCCAGCTCCGCTTCTTGTACCGCCTGTCGTCGTCATTGAGTTCGGAGCTCAGTCTGCTCATCAGGTTTCGTGGAGGGCTGGAACTGAAGCGTACGGTGTCCGCTGCAACCTGCTCCTCACTAGGGCCAAATTGCAAGCCCAGTCCTGTAGTCGTGGTCGTAGTGGAGATGTTACCGGAGATCACTGTGTCCTGGTGTTCGGGTACGCCTTGAAGGGGGAGGCTGATGACTGATGAAGAAGTGGAATCGATGCGGCGGAGTGGAGGTGATTTGCTGAAAGGGTTGGACTTTGGTGGAGAACGGGATGTGGACGGGCGCTCAGTGAGATCTGGTGTTGTGCGAGGAGCGGAGAGTGCATATGTGCCCGAGGAAGAACGTGGTCGCTGCAGTTCCGGTGGTGGTGGCGGTGATAGTCTTGGTGACTTCGCGTGTCGTACAGACGGTTGTCGTGCGAGCGAGGTAGATGAAGCCCTGGATCTCAATGCTGGATGGACTTTTGCTTGGTCCTGAGTAGGTGATTTGCGTCCGGCGGGAGTGTGTGGTCGGGAAGGGGGAACAGGGCTTTTGATAATGGGAACCGTGGTGGGTTGAGGAGAGACAGATCGCGATCGAACCTCTGCAGTGTTGTTTCCTGGAATTGGTGGGAGTGGTCGGTTCACTGGCGGTGCCAGCATCTTCGGGAGGGCCTGAATGTCTGGCTTCGAAAGGGGTTGCTGCATGCTGAGACGCATCGGCGCTGAGGTTGGTCCCTTTGGAATACTTCGAATAGGCAGCGGGAAAGACTTGATGTCCGTCAAGTCTTCCATGCTTGCATGAACAGTGATCTCCTGTGTGAATGGAGAATCACTTGACGCCTTTCGTACATGGGCTACGGTGTTGGTGGATGAGTTACGTGAATGTGAAGCACTGGAGGTTCCGCTCAGAGAGGGAGTCGAGATATCGGAGTTGCTATCGGAAGCGTCGTCGGCCTTCAAGCTTGGTGTCCCGATCAATTGCTCGTTGTCTGATGGTGCGTCTGCTTGCTGCTGAGGTGCGGTTGCGCCTTTGGTTGTCAGTGGTCGGATGATCGTCCAGGGCGGGCACTCTTTCATCAAGTTTGCCAGTTGGGGAGCTGTGTCGAGTGTGTCCCATTCCTTGAGCCTGTCTGCAACCCACGGGTTCTGTGTGCAGCGTAGCTTCGAGAAGTAGGCGCTGCAGGCCTGGACATTGTCCAAGGGATAACCATGGTCCAGTAGGTCCTCCAAGGTAGCCTGGAATTCTTTGTTGAATTCCTCGACACTTGGATATTGGTCGATATGGAGATTTAGGAAGTGACAGAAAGCATGATGGTAATCCTCGAATTTAAAAGATTGGAACTTTTGGTCAAGAGCTTCTATCATCTCAGACGCTTTCATGGCAGATGGTGGCAATGGTGGGCCGACCTCGAAGACTTCAAGTTTGATGTCGTCGCTTATAGATAGGAAAATGTCGCGCTTGATCTCCCGGTCCTTCTTCATCCATGCCTTTCGCTCGTCCAAAAGCTCTGGTTGAGGATTTGACTTTACCACTGGTGAGAAGAAGTTTGGTCCGGAGGCTGGCATTGGCATTGGTCGTGTGCCGTCGCAATACTCCCAAAGCCCCTTGGCTTCGAATGCAGCTTTCAATCCGCGTCGCCATCTTGAATATTGAGCACCCGTTGCATCTGCTGTGAGAATGGCCACACCCGGCAGGGTGATGGACATTGAAGTCGACATGGTGGCGGTAGTAGTGGGGATTGAATCGAGTCGGTGTCGTTCAATGTAGACGACTATGAACAATAGCGTAGAGAATAGGATTCAGCAGCGGCACTCAGGTTTTGAGTGACATGTACATCCAAAGGACACACTGCGGAAATCCGATTGAGTCGAACAGGACCCGTACGCTGTACGGCGCCGCAGTCGGTATATATGTGTCCCAACTCAGAACCCTACGGGCTGACACCATCCACCCACCATAACATGTCTGCGCATCGGACTCGTTCATCTCGTATGGTACGTAGTCTACCGCTGCGTCGGGGTTTTCTGACCAGCCTAGCAGTATGCATGTTTGTAGACTCGCATGATGGACCCATGTCTACAAGCCCCAATGGTAGCATTGACAGGCTGATGGAAGGGAAACTGTGCAGGCAATCAACCTGTAGCATGACCGGAATTTTGGTGGATGGGCACTGCGCTGACCTCTTTCCGTAAGCTGCGCATTCTGGGGTCTTGCGATTGTGGCTGCGGTCAGCACGCTATTCTATTCAAAGGGTCCGGATTTCCAATATGGAGATGCAACAGTTGGGCGTATTGGGCCAATGGGGAAGTAAGATGAGATGGCTGACATGGGGCAAGATCTCGGTGGGTAAGGCGTCGGGTTACGGAGGCATTGCTCGAAGTCCGAACGTATGTACCGCTGTACATCTTGCGCACCATTTGGGCGAGGATAATTGGGCCAAGGGTCCTCGTGAAGTCGTAATACGACAGGGAATTTCCCAATTACGCACCTGCACCCGCAAAGTGGTGCTGAGCAAGAACCATATGATGCCTCGAGATGGCGGATTGGCAGTTTCGTGGGAATGCACGTGGGGTTGTGTGGCATACAGATGTGCATGGCAAGCAATAACATGATACTCTAGCGCTTGCTCGATTTGCTTCAAAGCCGTTGTACGGAAACATGTTGACCGATTCCAAGAAGGATGTGGAGATTTGGTACAACAAAGATCTGAAATGAAAGGAAACCTGCGACGAGAATGAAGCAGATAGATGGGTATAATTCCATACGATTACTGACGGGTACCTAGATGAGGCCGCATCTGTTGGTTCCTGTCGTGTCGCGAAGATGGCTGGCGCTAGACACGATAACGAAGGTCATTCTGGGAATTCTCGAGAAGTTTTCCAAATTGGGCGCATGGATCCCGAGTGACAGACGAACGGATGGAATAGATCCGGATACGGAAGAAGATGGACGCTGCACTCCGCACCAAGTCCGGGTTGCCCGACCGTTTGGTGGTGATGGTGATCATCACCATCGAGGGTGTGTGCTAATGGTCACCATCACCGTCATTTATTTGGTTATATAATGTATCAAAATTATCAATCTTTCATCAAACATCACCAGGCGTGGTGGCGGAGTGGTTATCGCGCAAGACTAGAAATCTTGTTCCTTCGGGAGCGTCAGTTCGAATCTGGCCCACGTCGAATTTCTTTTTTTGCTGATTTGGGCTCTGTATGCCAAGACTTTAGTGCAAGGGTGGATGGACATAGCTTCCTTGACCACAGTAGACACAGCTCACACTCTCTCATCTTCAATTGCATACCAAACACTACTTACTCTTTCTTCCTTCTTTTTTTCTGGTCTCGCCGACCTTCCATGCCGCCTCGCCCGTTTCCCTACCCATTGAAAATAGGGACCGATATTTGCTCCATCCAACGAATCCAATCTATCTTGACAGCCAATGTTCGTCGAGAATGCGAAGGATCCAAGTCACGAGAGCCATTGAAAAGGTTTCTATCTAAGATATTCACGTACCCAGAATGTCAATTTTTCTATGATCGCTTTGGTCCAGTGGAGGCAGCCTACAACAATATCGGGCAAGTGTCCCAGTATCTAGCGGGGCGGTAGGTATACCTTTTATTTTCGACATTTGAACTCTAGCTCACGCCGCTCATGATAGATGGGCTGCCAAAGAAGCTTGCCGAAAGGCATGCGGTCACCTTGGGAAGTCTAATGGCCTCCACTCGATCATGATATTACCGTCGAACTCTTCCAGCCAGCAAAAGGGTGGCCCGCAAGGCTTGATCCTACGTCACCGCCTACCGTCTCGACCCCCACATCCATCCGACGCCACATCGTCCTCTACAGAGTTGGAGCGTACTGTATTCAACATCGAAGATGTTGAAGGGCAATTTTGCGAAGTCAGCATCACACATGACGGGCAATACGCACAAGCTGTAGCTTTGGTGCCATCCGTTCCGAAGGAATGGTGGCAAGCGTCCTCCAATGCAGCAGCAGATGTCGAATCCAAATTGAACACAGGAAATACTTCGATGGACCCCTCCGGTGTTGAATAAGGACGCTCCAAGTGAAGAACTTGAAAACATGACCGGGCGATAATTTATGGCATTCAGTCCATTTTAGTTGGATGTGCGTGTCCATGTTGGGCGACGATATCTCAATCCCCGCATTTCTATTCCATAGGATGCGGCGATTTCTGCAATGCACGATTGAACTATATTGTGTGATTTCTTTTGTTCCGCAGATCCTTTTGCATTGTATGGATTATGTTGAACCATTTGAAGCTTCATGGCTACTTAGTGCGGGTTGGAACTGGGTCTTATTATCAAAACACGAAGATTAGTGTCAGCTGAGACCGTATTTCGCTGCCAGTAACAATCTCGGTAACGACAACGACGTCATTACATCAATGCATACGCAGTCCCGATAGAGATTGATATTGAACCCGACCGCCAAAAATCGAACACACAATTTGATGTACATCCCGACTAGCAAATTACAGTACTTTGATGGTGACGTCGGCACGTGAGAATCCCTGAAGCAACTTGCATCTCCGTGCACATTATTCAAGATGAGAAAAAGTAACCACATTGCGCATGGCCTGAGCTTGGCGAGTATCCGCAACGAAGGATACGAATTCGATGATTGGATACAATCTTGAAGGTCTTCAAATTAGGTTTCTCTGAAGAGAGAACACAGTGTGGGATCGTCCCTCTGTGTCCAAGATGGGATGCCTGGAAAGTGGAGCTTAGCTCGGCCGCCGAAGCCATGAACGCTGTTTAATGTCAAAGCTTTCGCTCCCCTTTGCAATGCAAATCGCATCTGCCTTCCTTTTGATCAAGACTGCATAGACTCTCGCTCAAACGCTCTTGCCTATGCGCAAGGATGCGGCGCATGTTTATTTCGACGTCCATCGTGACCTCTGTCATCGCACATGTCCGTCGAGTACCAGATGCCGTCGCCAGCGCCGGGATGGACCCTACCATAACCTCGGCGCCAGAGATTCCGTTAGAACTGCTGGGCAAACGTGACGATCCTAATCGGTTCATGGGCTGGATCAGTCTCGATGAAGGATGGACGACCCGAGAGTGCGATGTCGATGGAACATTGTATTCAAGTGGGGACTACTGGCGATGTTGTGGCATAACGGCATCGACCTGCAATTTGCCCGTCGCCTGTGAAAGTGGAAGTCTGGTCTACTCATACTCGGGTCGAAGTCAGAGTCGTGAGACGTATGCCTGGTATGTAAACGGATCGTGCCAGTGACAGGCGATATTTCAAGCAATTGCATTGCTACGCTTTCGTGTAATGAATTGACGGGTAGTTTTTACTCGAAACGATGAGGCTGATAAGGATCAAAATAGTACCGAGCTTTACACCGAGTCTGATGATCAGTCGTTTACTGTCTGCAATACAGGGTTTAGATTTGACAACACAGCTGACCGGAGCCCATCACTCAATCTCTTCTGCGGTGAATCAGGATCCAATTGGAGTTACTACCGAGAGAAACCAGAGGATACCTCCGCGTGTAAGTTACAATCAATGGATCAACTTCGACTGATAGTTGCTAAATATCGAAGCTACCTCGCTATCCTCATCTCCAACTTTTACGCCCGTCCTTCCACCTGGCGTCACCCCAGCTCAGGAAACATCTTCTTCCTCGTCGCCACCAAAGTCAGACGACGACGATGGTAGTTCGGCTTGGATTGCAGGTGCAATAGTAGGCCCAATCGTTGGCCTCGTCGCCATCGGCGTCGTTGCTTGGGTCTTCTTTTTTCGGAATCCAGACAAAGACGATGCCCCCATCACTGAGGCCAAACCGGAAGGTACCCCAGTTGGTGATCCTCCAGCCTATTCCGGATCTCCCCAAAGCAGCCAAGATTCGGTGCCAGCTACTGGAATTGCAGGCAGCACACCTATTGGTAACGACCCCCAGAGCATGGAAGTGAGGGAAGACAATCGAAGTGACTCCTGGATTCAGCCTCCACCCCACCCTCCGCCTGTAGATACTGTGGCATCCTCACCAGCCTCGTCAAGCAGTCTTTATGCGCCGCCGCCTACACCGCCCAATTATGGATACATACACGGGCACGCCATGGACGTGAAGAGTCCACAGCCGTAGTTTGCGGAGAATCTCAGCACAAGGAACCTGAATTACCAACGATTGGAATGACAAATACAGCGAGGAGATTTGGGCCTATAAAGTTGAATAGGCAATCCTCGAATACGACTATACGGGAGAATCACACCTTAAGGGATTTAATTCAGCAACAGGCATTGATCCGGTAGATTTTCCTATTTGCATAGCGTTGCATACAGCATTTACACACCTGATACCCTTCTACAGCGAGAGGCGATGACCTCATGCATAGCACTAGCATTTACCGGTATTAGAATATCATTGTTTCGAACGTTATTATTTGGGTTCCAATCGCAAAATTCGATCGGAGAGAGCTTCTAGTGATGTGCATGGAGATAACAGCGGTAGTTTGGAATGAGATTTCGAGTGAGTTATGGCATTCGAACGAATTGAAACTAATAGTCCGCAGTGAGGTTCGGCTCCCATCTTTCTTCAAACGAGCAGGTAGATATCTCCTCTGCTCTTGCCTTAGGGGCTGTATTTCTGGCGGAAATCTATCATACGGCTCACGCTTTTTCACGGTAGCAGCACACCGGATTTTGCCTCATCAGCGAATGCATTCTCAAAGTATCATTATCGGACTGTTTCTTTTAATCTGGATGCTTTCTCTTCAAGCTTTGGGTAATTCCATCTCTATGCACCAATTGATAGAGAAACCGAACATTTCAGCATTGGGCAACGTAGCATGGCCACGGATACTCACTGGGCCGTTTCACCTTCCTCTCTGAGGCATAGCCGACGACATAGGGCAATAAGGGATCTCGTAGATCTCACCTAGTGCGAGTTCAAGACAACCTCACGTGGACACACTTGTGTTATCATCCACATGAAGCATCGTATGTTTGATCTGGTGACTACGATCCCGGTGAGATTGGAAGTTGGAATGGTTTAGATCATTCAGTTTGCCGAAACTTTTCCCCGGAAACCCGGATTTTAGATCCTTCATCTTCAATGGAAGCCTCGAACTAATGGTTAAGACTCGCCGTGCTCGTTACGACTTCCCCAGGCGAACTCGAGGAGCAAGTTGCGGAGTCGGCCCTCCTCGCCTTCGGTCATGTTGTAGTTTCAGCACTACTCTGGATTGCCTCATCGTCTACGGCGATATCAAGTAAAGCGAACACTACACTTGGAGGATGTGGATCCTCAGTTTTGTCCATGTTGTTCTGGAATGTCGACAATGGAGCTTACGCGTGTCATGTGGAGCCGAATAGGCTCAGAGCACCCGACGATAGCGCTCACGATAATGATAACGACAGCGATAACGGGAGCGGTAACGGTAACCGCTGCAGGGAAAATCATGGGGCTATGCTGGCATTGCTGGATGGATGGCGGCATCGCAGAGACTGTCCGCCTTTGCCTAGCTTAGAGGGATACCCGCAATGCCAATATTGCCATCACTTGCTAGTAAGTGTTTGGCGTTTCTCCGGAAGGTACCAAGGTATTAACTCGAGCAGGGGAAATGGAATAGAAGAGAAGTTAGCATCTTCGCCGTTCATTCCTGTCCATTCCGATGCAGGATGTTCCTGCCAAGCCTTTCCGGTACCAGAGAAATTTTCCCACGTGTGGTCCCGATTAACTGGAATCGCCACTGCACGTTGTCTACAGTCAGGAACAAACGAACAGCCGACGAAGAATCTAGAAAGAGAATTGGGAATTTGGAAGCATAGCACCGTGTGCCCGGGCCACGCGAGATCAAGAAGACCGCACAAGAAACGGCAAAAAGACGTTAGTGGAGCACCGGCAGCACACACCATCAGTTTCCATCGTTTTGCAGACACTACACTAGCGGGATTCAATTTTCTGGTGGCGGCGGAAACTCTTCCGACACCAATTTGACGAAAATTCTAAGCTTCTAGGGCCGAATACGATGGCGATGACCAATGTCCTTCGCCCATTGTGCCAATGCCCGAATGAAAGACATGGCTTCGGCTCTCTTGCGTCAGTTCTACGTGCGCCCCGACCGATATCTCACCGTGCCGCGTGGGCGCGATTGTAGCAACAGCAACCTGGAGCCGCTGTCAACTCGTCACTAATGGCCTTCTCTCACCGAGAAGGCGCCATATCGTGCCCTCCGTTAGGTGAAGAGTCCCGCCTGGACCGAAGACTCTCCGTATGCCTCTTCTGCCGGCTCCAAAGGACAATCAAGTGTGGGTCCCGTACCGGTATCAAATAGTCAGGCTATGGAGGAACTGCTAGGTCAATGTTTCGTGACTGGTATCGTTACATGCTGTCATTGTAACGATATCAAGATACGAATTCAACTCTGGTACCGGTGGAACTGCTACAGAGTGAAGAGAATTTCTTCCGGAGATTGTTCAACTGGCGAAGCACTTCCTTGGCCGACTCGCAAATGTTGAGTCTCAAGAACAGGTTTTTCAGAGGTTGAGATTGTGAGATATCGGCCAAGGGCATTATAGCAGAACCGAAAGGATGCCAGACAGTCACCAGGCCTGTCGGACCAATCAGGTAGACGGACTGACTTGTGCTGTGCTTTGGGTGTTGTCGCGCACTGCTGCTCCAGATGTTCCAATCGCGATGCTGGAAAGAGGTATTGCATTGTTGACATCTCGCTTTTGATATCTCGTTGCTTTTCCTTGACGTCTCATTTAGCATCCACTCCACTCAATAGTTACTACCCCATTTGAAACTCTACCCCAGACTCCGTTTCCGTACCGTGCGCTCTGTGTGTTGCGCGCGCCCGTCCGCCCCTCTTCGCAAGCGAAAAAGGGGTTACCCCTGGTCAATTTCACCGCTGAGCCGCAGCACGAGCAGCACAGAAATGGGGAACTCCCGAAATGAGTGAAGATCCCCCCTTCGAAAAAAAGGCATCCATTACATATTAATAAACAATCGATGCAGTCAGATAAAACAAATGATTATTACCTTGGCGATATAAGAATAACAACCTCATCTTACTTTGGACGGTACGCCAGGTAGAGTATATTGGACAGCAAATCTCGGATAATCTTGACGATGATTGCAACCCATTTTCTATCTCTCTGTTCGTAGATTTGCCCTTCTTGCGCGATCGCGATTTGTAGATCAGACAAACAAGCAAGACAAACAGGCCTTACGCTCACACGCTCACACGCGCGCGCGCAAACACTGTCTCATTTCAGAATGTGTCTGTGGAAGTGTCACGATAATGCCACGAGAACGAACGATGACGGCAGCGTAAGACGAACGTGAGACACCTCCCACCACCACAAACAACCACAGTGGTGCGAGCTGATTGATCGTCGCGCGCGCATGTACACACCTTGTAATAAAACACCACATTGAATAATACCCATGCGATCCTTACATGTTTTTATCGTGCGCGCAGAAAAACAGGTGAGTATTCGCTTTGTTAGACACACCCACACACCATCTATTCTGGCGTCATGGGTGGTGGCTGTTTCTTTGCTCGTTATCTTTTCATTGTTTCGCGATGATGGCGCGCGAAGAGGGGATCCTGAAACACACAAAGGAAATGGGGTTCATTGTTCATCGCTTCATTAATCCACGTACGTACGCGCGCACAAAGAAACGACGACTCGACGAGACTCGGTCTTTGAAGGAACTGAAACATTGGCTTTTTTTTGCGTGGAGCTGGCGTGGCCCCCTCGAGTTTTGACATCGAGGATTCGATGTGGGGACCTGCGCTGCGAAAGAAAGTGTGCAAGTAAGTACTGGAAAGATGGCAACTAGAGTATTGTTCCTCGCGTATGATTGTGATGTGTGTACGTGCGTGCGCGTGTGGAATGAGAAAAAGGGATGTGGAGAGAAACGTGTTGGTCGTCGTGCAAGGTCTCGTGAGGACCACGCGATGGTGAGTTCCACATGGTTTCTAGCTCGCTCAGGAGCCGAGTGTGTGGGAGGCGGGCGCGGCGGACGACGCAAAGGTTAATTCTGACATCGTGAGTTCTTGAATAGGGCGTCTTGTATAGGACGAGACGACGGGATATGAATGAGCGATGAAATGCAATCACGGCAGTAGAGTAAATCAGGTTCAACGAGAGAAAGTGGTTTTTCTATATCAAAGCAGAAAATATCGATATATATATGAACATAAAACAACAAATACACAATAAACATCGCACGGGTTTCTGATCTTGCTCCAAGCCTGGACGTTTTCCTTTCTCTGATATGTATATATCTTTCCCCACCGGCCGTCCGTCAATCAAAAGAGGGCAAGGCAAGAAGGTGTATTGCGCCCCTCTCGCCTTGAAGAAGAAGTGAAAAAGAGAATTTCAAGAATCGGATGGTCCCCGCCCCCTCCCTAGAATTGGTATATATCGTGACGTGACTTCGTGAAGAACATTTGGTTGGACTGTCCAAAAGAGCAAAACTTGAAGAATTTTGAGACCCGCGCCGATAGAAAAGACGATGCATGACAATTGACTCCAGTCCAGGATCGTCTAGATCGCACGTTCGAACACCCAATCGCGGGATTGCTTGTCGATTGGATTTCGAATGATTGGGTTTGACAAGATCGAGAAGAGAAGCGAAAGGAGGGCCCTTTTGCTGTAGTGTTGCGCGAACAGAACAAATATAAAGCACGGTGCAATGACGGGGTGCGCGTCGGTAAGTGATACTTTGAAGAACAAGAAGTGAATTTGCCTGCGACGCTGTCTACCCCGTCATTACATAGGATAGAATTCATTTGACCCGAACTCTATCTCCACCCATGCCCCTACTCTTACTCTTCGACGTAATAATGTTGTTGGTATCGCGAAAGAGGTATCCTACACTGTCGCGCGGCGACGTACTTTGATTTTATCGAAACACCGTTAATTCCAAACAAGACGCTTATACAAGGACGAAAGTGTTATGACACACAATCTATGCGTGGAATCGGCGGTGGACGTGACCGTGGTTGTGTCGCTTGGCATTGACATTGACGGTCTGGTACTCGGTGACGTAGACAACCTCAGTCCAGACGTTGTGGACCTTGGGCTGCTCAACAGGCGCAGAGGTGACCTGGGCAACGGCGACAACGTTGGCCTCCTGCTTGACGGGAGTGGAGCTAGGGGTAGGAGTCTCCTGCTTCTCGGAGGAGCTGGAGGGCTCGGGATCGGTCTCAGTGTTGCCGTTCTTGCCGCAGAGGTAGAAGTCGAGGGGATTGTCGATGGGGCAGGACTTGGTCTGGACATCGTCTGGGTTGACGTAGGAGGTCTTGTCGCAGCTCTCCATGCTGTCGCAGCTGAAGGTTGGGCAGTGAGGGTTGTTGGCGTCGGCAACAGTGGCGACGTCGGCATTGCCAGCCTTCAGGTAGTATCCATCCTTGCGTCCAGGGCAGTCACCACCGTAGAGCTCCTTGGAGCAGTCGACGTAGGAGACGTCCAAGAAGTTGGTGTCGGTGGACTGGTCCAAGAAGTATTCCAATTGAGTGATGGCAACACCCTTGCACTGGTTCTCCTTCGCGAGCTTGATGGAAACACCAACACCCTTGTTGTGCTCATCCTCGCGGTAGTTCTCGCGGTAGCTTCCACCAGTCTTGAGGATGAAAGGCTCACCACAGCCCTGCTCGTTAACAACAGACCAGAGGTAAACATCGTATGGGCAGTTGTTGACGACCAAAGCCCTCTTGTTGCTTCCGTTGTATGCGGCGTTGAGCGTGAGAGCGGAGTTGCTTGCGAAGGCGGTAACCGTGTTGGCGAGGACGGCGGCAGCAAGGCCGGCTGTCATTTTGGCGTGCATAGTGACTGGTTTGGTGATTTAGATAATTGATCGATTGACGACGATGTAGCAAAGAAAGCTATGAGCTTGTGCTGTAGGTGATACAGAAGGAATGTATGCTGTAAAGCTGAAAGAGTGAAGCCGTACAACTAAAAAGGAGTGTGTTACGAAGCCCTGCTTGATGCGGTGAAGAGAAGGAAATCGGGGGTGCCCCGGGGGATACGAGGACTTAAATGGGCACAAGCCAGAAACGATGGCAACGAGGGCAAAGAGCGAAAGCCCAGTCGCCAGGCCACGCCATGGCCAGCAACCAGCAGCAGTCCAAGAACGCATGGGTGGGTCATTATTACAGGCACGGACCCTGTCTAGGGGAAGAAGCCTCGTGAGTGTGCCTGGAGTCGAGAAGAGTATGTGTGTATTGTAAGGTTCCGTAACTAGCATCTAGCCTCCAGTTGGTGGTGGTGGTAGTGTTTGTCTTGGGGGGTTTCTTGGTGCGGCGATGGACTGGTGATGGTTCAACCGGGGATTCGCGGTGAACGTAGGAGGAAGACCTCAAAGGAGTTTAGGGCATGGATGGTTTCTCTCTGTGCCACCGGCCGAAACAGGGGAGATGGCCAATCGGGAAACTTCTGTGCCTGATCGGCAGACTTGCGACTGCGTGTATGGTTGGATCCTATAATTAAGCTCATGTCGGAAGATCTCTAAAAAGGAGAAAATCCAAATGGTCCGTAATTTATCGTCTGACTGTTGTTATGTTACGGACTTACACAGCACCATGGAGAAGGAAATTTGGTTTCCTTCCCATCCCTAGCAACCTTTTTACTGGCGGTTGGTTTTTTTTTTTGGCGCGACCGTCTTTATTGGCGTGCGACATCCGACTGTGCTGTAACTCCAGACTCTGTGTGTGTGTACGGAGTACTTTGTGTGATAGTTACTTCTGAACCATGTGTTGTATTGCGTGTGCGCAACCGCGTGTGTTGGTGCCATAATTGTCTGAGCTCTTTGCCGTCTGCCGCTTGCCGTGATGCAGAGTTTTTGAGTGGAGAATCATCGTCCCAACGTTCCCTCTCCTCACTCGATGAGATGCGCATCCCATCCTGCATCCCGCTGCACCAATCGACGCCGTGCTGGCTCACAGCTAGGCGAAGACACCCGATAGGCAACATGACGACGTTGCTGCGTTGTCGGATTACCTGTCAGGTCTGGCAAACGCAAATTGTGTAAAAAAATCTTGTGGTCTCCCACAGGATACCGCCAACCTACACAGTACTGTGTACAGCACTCAGGCCAGACTTCTGTTTGTGCACATCCCCAGAGCTGTCGCGACTCGCCAGCCTTGGAGATTGGTGGGCACTTGGCGAAATCGAAATTGCATGGACGTAAAGAGCCTCTGGGTCACTTGGAACTTTGCTTGGAAAGGGGCAGTTGTATCTGTGCATGCTCCGCCTTCTGTCTCTGTCCAATTTCCAAGACTTCATTTGAGTCTTCAAACAACAGCTGCTTGCGCTGTGCGCTATGAGACAAAATGATCCAGTGCGACTGGCACAGTGGTCGCGGCTGGTGGCAGCACACACATGTTGGCGCATTTTCACAATGGGATCGTGGCGACAGATGAGTGGAAGAAAATTTCTTCATGGCTCTACTGCATTTGCAACAACGCAAATGCCTGTCGTCTGCAAAGGATGGGAAGATGATAACCAAGTGACGCGACAAACAACCGTTGGCAAAGGTCCGTTACGATCTGGTTCGTCTGAATAACGAGAGAGCAGACTGGTTGGACCAGACCCTGGAGCGATGATGTGTAATGGTATCGATAAGACATGCCCGTACAAGTGGAGAAGTCCACACTTCGCATCATCGCGGCGCCATTCCTTCACTCTCTTGTCCAACGAGTCGATGGACAACACGATCTGTCGAAGGGTGCCGGCCATCATTGTTGGCTACAAAGGCGGACGCCTAGTGCTGGCGATGGCTGAAGGCCGGCGCTGAAGCCAGTGGATGAACAGCCCACAAGTAATCTCCCCGCGCCAAGTTGCCAATCCCCGCTGTGAAGAAACATCGTGGGTGTCCATCTTGAATAAGTCACTGCCTCATGTTTGTGCTATTGCTTGTACTGCGTATGTATGCTGCTTAAGCGGGTCAGTGAGATAACAGAGGATGGACCTTCAGAAAGACATAGCATCATTCTTGGTGAAAACGAAAATGAAAACGAAAAGAATAAGACATCATTGGCCATCTTGCCAACGCGCGTCCTTTGCCGTTCAACGACTTTGCGTGCGGAATGGATGGATGACTGATGTGACCGATGCTGTACCCATTAGTTGCTGCAAGAACCCCGACAAGTACGCCTGACGGTGCTCTTTGAACTTGTATGGTTGTCGTCATATCTGTAGTGAGAAAGGAACCCCCAACCGTGCTCCACCGTAAGATTGAGTATTACTGCATAGGTCCCTCGTAATAATAATAAATGATGATGAGAATCACTGGGAGAGAGAAGAATCAGTGGAAGGAGGGAGGGAAGGAAGAACGATGATGCGAGACAACTAACCAGGTACATCCATGTCACACAATCAAATTATCGCATTATCACGTGATGAGCACTTTCTTTCAATCGATTAGTGCTCCTCCACCAACGTCATCTCCAACTTCCTAGACCGTCATACGCAAACTGTCATACGCGGCATTTTCGTACTCGGAACAACATCCATCATCTTCCAATGATAATCATTCGCGAGTAAACAACATTATCTCAGATGTCTTTCTTTTTTTTGTCCTCAACAACGAAAAACTGAACGTGCATATCTGATCTGAAACAGCGTTCTCTTTCAGCACCTGCATGTTGCTCTCATGATAAAGAACATCCATTCGCTCATTTAAAAAGCCATCGAGATAGTTCTGCCATAGAATCTGTATCTCTTCTAGTACCAACTTTATCGTCTTGCTGATCGCAAATTCATTCGATACGAGGTACCTCCTAATGGCTACACTTATTCTGGCAATCAATACTCCGGGAGATGGTTACAATGTCATGTCCCACAATGTCTCTATTTCGCCAGTATCGTATCTTTGAGTAATTATTCCACTCTATTGCCAGTCATGCACTAGCTCTAGCAACATACAAACACCGCTCTACCGCACTTTCATTCACACTCTTCACGAGCTATTTGACTCCACAAACGAGAAGGCATAAGCACTCACCTTTTTGAACGCCAAGTTCAGAGGCAGCTCCGCTCGCTCTACGTTCCGAATGTTCATCGATGCTAGAACATGATAACAACCCAATCATCATAAGAGGCGGTGATGCCGGTATCGTAATACCAATAGTCTCTATTCTATCTCATTCAACGGAAAAGTTCTCCCGCAAAATTCCTACTCCAAAAACTCAACAGCTTAGAATATGAGGGGGTACAAGCCAATGATGATCCGGTACCAAACCTTCTCTGGGTTCTTCCGAGTTATGCGTACAATCTTTCTCACTGAACAGTCGCTGCATGTGGTTCGCCTTTGTATTGCTGTTGGTGGCCGGTTTACATCAATATGAGGCCAAACAGTCAATCTAACTCTACTAGGAGGTGCTTGCTAAACAATACTGTGTGCGGCTTTCCAGTGGACCTTCGGCGTATTGATGGCAGCATGCAGATGTGTCTCGACATGCTACGCCAGATCAATATACTCCATTTCGTGCTTCCATCTATTTTCGAAGAGTGACAGTTACAATCTCAGCCATGTCATCTGTGCATTCCATTGTACATGAACTATACTTTAGGTGTCCCAGATTGACCAAGTAATGACTTCGTCATACTTTTCCTCAGCTCTGTGTACTTCTAGTCCTTCGGTGCACAAATATCATGTGCACTGCCTTGGCGATAACAACTAGGGGTGGCTCTTTCTACACTGGGAGCACCTGTTTGTCTCTATGATACTTCAGCCAAAGGAAGTATGGCCATAAAGTGAAGGATGATCATCATGTCTAACGTCCCATTGATAGAACATGTGCCATCGTTACATACTGATTTGATCGTATGTATGGTACAAGAACTATTGATTCCATAATCTCACTCTGCTCAGCAGATTCACATAGGCCCAGACATACAGCTTAGAGTACATACAAGGCCCTCTCTTCTGTCAGTATGAAAAAGTACCAATCCTGGAGATTCAATTCCACCTACAACATACAATCACTCATGCCCAAATCATGCTGTCGCCATTTCTACATTGTACGGAGTACTGTATTGTCACTTTGGGGGTATTTGAATTACGAAACGAATATGGAGCAAGTGAGAACAAAATAGAAAGCCCATGGTGAAGCTTTGGAAGCAGCGTCAGACGGGAGAGCGGATGCAGCCGCCTGTCAGACTCGTGGCTGCCAAATCACCGATCCAACATCATCAATTCGTGTATTACACTTTCCGCGCACTACCAACATGAAGTTGCCAACTGGTCTATCCTACCAATTATCACACTATGTTTTCGACTCTTCTCTCACCATTCACATTACACTGATTCTCTAGTCGTCAGCTTTCAGAGCATGTTTCTATTTCTGCATGACCTGACGATCTCTACATCCACGACAGTCTTTGCCGAAATTGCAGCCAGATTACCCCCCATCCGCCTACACATCCATGCCAGGCACCCCTGCGTAGTTTGCATCCTCTGGATCCCAATTCCCTGGTACATCGCTTGGCATGCATTGAACGGTGAACGTAGAGTAAAAGAGCAAGAATCACAGCCAACCGTGAATGGACGGAAGTATAGTGAAGCGGATTGGAAAATTTTCGTCTTCCTCAATGGATTATTCTCCAAGAAAACATGCTCATCCGGATTGCAGCAGCATGCAGCATCGATCGATTATGATATCATCCGTTGGGCGGCAACTTGCCCTGTTTGTTTGCATACACTATGCACGGTGCTCACGGATGTTTTACTCACTTCTTGACATCAACCCGAGGCTCAACAAAGCGTGCTAAAGCAATGCCGACCTTGGAATATCCGCTTGGAACGCCCTGCGCTGATCTTGACTCGAATCAGACATCCTGAAAGCTCGCCTTGGAGATCTTTGAACATATGTTTTGTTTGTGGAAGAGAAAGAAAACCACAGTTGAATGCGGCAAGATGGGTATGTCTGTCCCAATGCCGACATCCTTATTGCGCTGCGCAATCGACGAAGACAACGGCGCCTAGTGGACGACTACATCGCAACCCAACTTATTTTGTGCTTTTTTCTTTTAATGGTCCATATCGTGGCAGATACCCCATTGATGAGACTGCACTGTCTACGAGCATGCATGAACTGTACCGTACATACGTACTGGTGTGTGTATACACCACGCCCAGCCGGACCCTAACTGCGCAACCTATCCAGAGAACTAAAAGACTCCTTACAGCCTGCAGCGTGACGTTGCTTGCTCGTTCTCCCCATGTTGCAAGCAGTGTTCTGGCCTTTTTCAGATCCACTCAATGACATCCTGATCTTATTCCTATGCAGCTACAAAGAGATCTGCAGGCAGATGTAACTATTCTGCCATCGCGTGTCCCGGCTCCAAAAAGAAAGTACCGTTGTTCGTCGTAATCCTGCTATTAATCTGGCCTTGCCTGCATTGCATACGGTGCAGCTGTCAGACGAACCTCGTTCGCTTAATTGTTGCAGCCAGCTTTGCTCGAACCCTGTCGCACAGTCAACGTACATTTGAGTGAATCTCAAGGCGCTGGAAGGTGTCAGAAGTCATCCATATCAAAAAAGGCCCGTCCAGCACGCATCCCACCTCGGCACCCGCGCTTATCCCACCGTTGTCAAGCGCATCAGCAGATGGGCGTGGCGACGGGACGGGAACAAGGAACTGAGCTTACAGTACATATCGCAGACACACACACATGAAGTGGTAAAATATCGTTCGAACCCCCGTCAGTGCCCAAGACAACACTCATACCGATTCGCTGCTCGGTCGATGTCTTCCCTCCTCTCTTGGGCTTCAAGGTTCGCACATGCCACCCCATCACCCGACACGGCACGGAACGAACAAAGCAAGGTGAGTATGCGATCGGTTGCGGGCCGTTCAAATCTCATCGGTGTGACTTGCTCCCGTATACGCACATACACATCTAGACCTTGCGTTTGGCGGGCATCATGGGCCCATCTCGTCTATCCTTCGCTTTCGCTCTCTCTCTCCATGCGAGTCAAGCAGTGAGGTGTTCCCTCATATGCTTGCTCTTAATGACATGATCTGACCTTCCTTGCCTGGCTTGATCCGACACGGACACGACTACTTCAACATTGAAATGGGAAAATAACCGTCTTTGCATCCTAGTTGATGTTCTTCCTTCATGTTGTTAGGTCTGCCTTTGATCATTATGACCCTGTCAACCATCCATTATCAGAGATGCCGGATAAAACATGATTTTCCTTAAGTCCGAATACAATTTGACCTGAATGATTCGACGAAGTGAGAACATTGGAAGAACTTCTACAGATCACCGTGTCAACGCTGGGTTGTTCCTTTTGCTATCTCTTGAATGGCACCCTGTTCCCCATCACTCGAAGTGTGTGGTTCATTTCATCGCTCAATTCGTCAATGGATCGTTGCATTGCAGTATCTCTGAAGTCAATCAACCCACAACGATCTCATGTCTTCAATTGTCCCAATCCGTCATATTTCACCGAGCACAACCTCACGGAACATAACTCCATCCAATGAAGACAAATAGTATTGTCGACATGCGACATACCTATTCTGCCGTTACTTGCTTGTGCATGCATCCTTCTTGCTTGTCAAATATCCCGAACTTCTTTCCGTCCCGCCTGCACATGGTTCTTGCAACATGCTCCGCTGTCGTGAAATCGACCAAACAAAATCACAACAATGCTTGAACATCTTCCTATTCTCTTTAGGGAGACAGAAAAAAAAGAAAGAATCACCAGCCCAGCAAGCTAGCAACCCACTCCCATCCACACTTGCGCTCTGCCCAGCCCCCAAACAAACACCATGTTCCTCCACGAAAGTCGATGACTTACCATTAGATGCTTCCCAAAGAGGAGGTGACATGCATGCAAGAAGCTCAGTCTAGATCACAGTCCACAAGCAGATGTGTGTATGCAACGTCAAACCAGTAGACTCGACGACACAATCAACAACCATGGGACGTCAGACGGTCGTAAGTCAAAACATGATAACTACTTCCATCCACTCGCCGCCGCCGCCGCAACCGCGGGATGATGGAGGGATGGCCATATCAGTCCGGACTTCCGTGGATGCAAGCAGACGAATAGCCACGTTGGAATATCGAGATATGGCCCGAGATTGGTCGGATGGGAGAGACGGCAGGCAAAAAAGGCAGACAGGATCAATCAACTGGCACCAACATTTGCTGTGCCGTGAGGCAGACGGTCGTTTGAATGGACGACGCCGTGCTGTGTAGAGGGGGGGGATGGGGCACAGTTGCCGGTCCGATTCGAAAGCATAGAAACATACATGACATTCACATGTCTAGACGCATAAGTAAGCATATGGATGACAAGGATGGAGGTTGGGGCGAACAGGCAGGCAGGCAGTTCGCAAGCATTTACGAAGGAGGGGGGGAAGAAGGGTGGGTTGGGCTACTACGTCTCGGTCGGCATGCCGAAGGAAACATCTTCGGGTAACGGGATCTCTGTTATGCACTACACTTTCTGCCGGTCCAAAGCATCGGTCCTTTTATTGCTGTTCTGGGTGTGTTGCTTTTGCAGCATTCATACACATGCATGGTGGTTGGCTGTCTCCGTCCTTAGCATCCTGCGGGTTTCATTTCACCTTCTTCTTTAACCCCCCCCTCCTTCGTGCGGTTCCCGCGTCTACCTTTTTTCCCTCTTTCTCTTGAAACATGCTCCTATCAGGATTGGACAGACATCCAAAGAGAGGCAAAATGTCGGTGTGACGCGAACGAGCCGAAACGAACCGACCTTGTTCGGTTATGGCTATCTCTGCCCGAACCTCTGTCGAATGATCGACCACCTATGGGAGCCCACCACCATTCAACACACGCACAACCCCCAAAAGCCAAACCCATGTATCTTCGACCTTTGCCGTATGCTTGTGATGACGCTCCTCGTGTCGAAAATTTCCCGCACTACGCGCGGGACGCATGCAGAGCTTCATCATCGATCACCGAGGTATTTCATGTCGAATTGAACCACGGGGATACTCTCAATGCCGTCTGTTGATAGGAGTTGCATTCGGCTGCTTCCTCTTTTCTTTTTCTGATTTCTATTTACGCACGTTAGATGTGAGCCCTAACTATTCCGCTATTCCCAGTCTGTTAAAGTCCGGCTGTTGCATCGCCTCATATACTGCTACTCATCTATGTATCATCTCGGCGTTGTTGCCAAATTATGACCTTGGGGCGTCGAAATTTCACCCAGATGCAGTCCCATCGGAAATAAGCCCACCCGTTCAATAGCGAATGGCATCGCCGAACTCTTAGAAATAGGGCTGTAGAATGAGGTTAGCTGGTAGCACAGCTGCCCGACACGATAGGGATTGGGTTTCCAAAGTCACTTGGAGGATTCGACGAGGTGGGAGAACAAGCCACCAGTCCTGGAAATGGTGATGTATAGTTCGCGCTTCCTGGTAAAGACTGGCAGTTTACCCTTCCATGTAATTGTGTATTGATGTCAGGCAACGGAAATTTGGTAGTGGAACTGGAGTTAGGCTGATAGTGATTGGGTAAACCTTGGATGCCCAACCTTGGGGGAAAAAAAGGCCAAATATAGAAAAATGTACCGTATCACTCCAGAGAGCAGGACGATGACGGCTTTGAGGACCAATGATCATTTCAGATCAGATTCTGACATGTGTAGCGGGAAGGAGTTAGTACAAACGGTGAAGTCCTTCCTGTTGGCGAGAGGGGAAGCGCAAAAGTCACAGACCGGACATGACTAGCATCTGAATAAACCGAGGTTGGCAAGTATGGGAAATCGGCTTTTTTTTCTAAACAAGTGCTGCTACCAGCATAGAAATCCAGAAAACTTCCGTCCAGGTGCCCACCCAGGTGGTCAGCACAGGTTGCGGCACAGCTGGAATGATAAACAAACATTCACAGTTCGGGCGGGCGGCAACTGAAATCTGCCACTTCCGTCGAACGTTGTCGTAACGCGCGATAGTTGCCTCGTAGACACCTGACTTTTGACTTGGTATGTACCGTGTGTACCGAAGTATTAAATCTAGGCCCTCTTGCCTTCGATCTCCTTGAGCTCGACATCGCTATGATTGAATCAGCAAGCCATCGAAGTGCAGAAGTATTGAGTGTCTTTGATTGAAAGGGATATCAAGGTAGATTCATGGGTAAAAGACTGCAAGCCGTTTCGCAGGTGCGACTGAGTATTGCAGTGCCCAATGTTGTCTGGGTGCGTCAGGGCAGGCATATATGATAAATACTTACAAGATCAACTTAGAGTCGGGAGGAATGTGTCCTGGGAAGCCACTGTGCAAGGTTGTAGTCAGCAAATGATCTTGCCAATGTGCGAAATGAAAGTGTCGATCGAAAGCCACTTCCTCCTCGGCATGGCAGCACCCTCAAGGATTCTGGAAGAATTGGTCGTTGTAGAAATATTCCATGTACGGACAATAGGTTGTAGCGATGATACTCGGAGAATATGGCGGTCGGACTTTCGAAGTCGTCCGGGATGCTGAAAGTGTCCAGGATCATCAAGGCTGAACGGTTAGGCGCGTCCGACTTGCCGGATACGTGGTCTGGGAAGCGGTCTGGAAGCGGTCTGTCCAAATTGGCCGTGCAGATGCATCTCTGTTTTTTGTGTGGTCGTGCTGCGAGACGTGCAGAAGACTGCAGTTGACTGACAGGAACAGGCGAATAGTGAATGGTCAAACCGCAACTTGCCGCTTCGAGGTCCTCCGCGTAGGCTTCTGTCAAGCGGATTTCTTCCGGAACTCCTGAGACTTGCATATCTTTTTCTTCTCTCTTTCTTTTTTTCATCCTTTTTGGAAAGAAATCAAACAAAGGTACTCACCGGGAGCCGTATCCAAAATCGCTAATCAAATGGCGGCGTTAGCGTCCGTATAGTATGGAGAATGGGTGATGCAAAAGCATCAGAGTAGTCAAGGGTTATTACGTACGCCGAAATGGTCAGAGTAGCTTTCTCGCCTAGCGTCATGCCTTCAACCTCATTGTTGCCCAAGATGCCCTCATCCCAGCCTGTGCACGGCAATGTCAGTCATGTTCTCAAAACGGTAATGCAGCTTTTTGAAGCCCCCGCCACTTGCAGACATGGCAGTCAAGCGATTAGCGATTCAGCCATGGGACCTGCCGCATCATGCAATGCGCGAATGCTCTACAATTGGGCTGATGGTACGTACCCCTAATCACCCGGCCGACGCCAATGTTGGTCTTGAGCTCCCCGCGGCCCACTGAAGAATCGAATCTGAAGATCAACGGTTAGAGCTGATCTCTGATGCGTCCCAATTGGGAAGCGATTGGCGTTAGAACTTGCTTGTTGCCTTTGTTGTCTGGTGCGCTTTCATCATAAAGCCAACCTAAGTGCTTGTGAGACTATTGAACCAGAAATTGACTAGGCAAGTGCTCTTCATGTCAAGACACAACAACAAACGTACCTGTGTATTCCATAGCAACAGTTTGGCCCTTGACAGGCTTATCGGCACCGTTACCTTTCTGGAGGACGACCTTGGTAACACCCATGATGAGATGAAAGTAGCTATGATGTATTAGTATGAGCACAATGGAGTTGAGACATTGTGTGGGAAGGAATACCTGTTAGTGCAGGAGTATACTATTCGGATTGGTTCGTTGCGGGTCACGTCGGACAGAGATAGTAGTAAAGTGTTTAGTAGCGGAAGTGTGGGGAATTGAAAGTGTGGAGGAGAAAGGAAGAGGGAAGAGAAGAGGAAAAGAAAAGGGCTCCTTCGGGCTTTTAAGACAGAATTGGGGATAGGGCAAGGGGAAACAAGTTCGGAGCAGCAGCAGCAGCAACAGAGGCAGAGCAGCAGAAGCAGTAACGGGCGTGGTGCTATGGGTAGGAGGGTAACTACGAGTAGGAGGCTCTGTGGGTGGACTTGCCCAACGACTTACGTAGCTACGTAGGTGGTTTAGGGTGATCTAGGATCCTCCCCTACGAGTAGGGTTAAGGCTGATGATGAGATCAGGACTCGCTCGGGTGGCCAGGCCAGAAGCACAGAATAGTAACTGTTCGGTACGGTAGAATACCAGGTCCAGGTAGGTAATTGACGTTCGATGGTCGCTCCAGGTTGTGGAAGCGGTGGAACACATTGGGTCGAATTGCATCAAGCCTTTTTTAGCACCTCTAGGATCATTCATAGAGACCCCGTTTTATGGGCCCTATTGTCTGAAGGTCCATCTAATGGACCCTCCCTCAACACACCTCAAGCATCCTCGTAGAGACCCAGGTAACGGCAGCAGCCAGCAGCATGACGACGACGACGATGATGATGATGATGATGGAGGCCAGTACGAGTAGCACCAGGTAGCAGCACACCTGCCCATCCCTCGCATGGCGGTTGTTTTCTACGCAGCGTCGAGGCCAAAATCGATAACTAGTGGTCTCCCGGGGCGAGCTCCCCGATGCTTGAGCCGTTTTGAGCGTGCAGACAAAGTCGCCGGGCCTGGTTTAGCTTACTATGATCGCTTGGCTACTTGGTGGTTGCTGATTGCTGTTCGCCGCTTGCCGTCATCCACCATGGCCCATGGGACCTCTCTTCTTTTTTGGCTGCGTGATCCCAGCTGATATGCTTGCCTTCGAATGTACTGTTACGGGGTCTAGGGTTCTCGATCAGGAAGTGCATCTGTGAGGTTCAGGATGGTACACGCACTACTGTGTACAGCCTCGATCCGCACAGCGTGCTATACAAGCCCATACTCGTCGTTTGCTCTTCTATCCATCTCTCAAATCAAATGACCCCCCCTAAAATTTCTTACCGCACATGCCGCACATACCGCCAAATCTGCCATACACGAACTCCCTACACCCATACGCTGCTAGAAGACCAACGCCATGGCGGTTGATGTTCCGTAGGATGCACTCCCAGCTCAATTGCTAGGTGCCGAGGTCAAACAACCGGTTAACAGCCGTTATGATCCGACCAGGGAGGTAGACGACATGACAATTGAGCGTAGAGTTGTGTCGTGTCAGGGGTGGTGGATGATGGACGAGGGAGGATTAAGATGGGATGGTGGGGTTGGTGGGAGTGTAGAAGGACACGAGGAGTAGGCATAGTGGGGTAACTCGCTACATGCTGTAGAGAACAAACCACCACCAACGACGTTTCAACTACACGCACACACACTTCGAGTACATAGGTACACTTCGCTACACCTTCAGCCCCCCACTCCACTACACACTACGCTGTACTGCTGACCCTCCTACACTATATTCATACTGGCTTCATACACGGAATGCGGTATCAAACCCGCCCTTACCTCGATCCATCGTGATATGGACCCAGGTGGCGTCCAACTCCCAGCCATCGTGCGTGATTCATGATGCGTGAACAGGCCACGCGAGGTATATGCCGCCTACTAATTCTCGTCAAAGAGTGCCACCAAGGATCCGTCTTCCGTTGCTCTTAATCCTTTCTCAAATTTGAGACACACATCAATCCACCTCAGACATCATCCACACCATCTGACTGGTTATGTGCCTCTGCGGAATGCGGGAGGTGGGCTCATTACACACACTCTCTACGTTGCCTAGACCCGACCCATTTCAACAGCAAATACTTCGTACCTCGAATGATGTCCTCATCCAGGGACACGTTTACCAGTCGGTGTAATCCTTGATCAAAAATCGAACAAAAAGCAACAGTAGCTCTCGATTCAAGAATTGGTTCGACTATCTCAACTGATATGATAAACCCCCAAATCGCATTGTTGCTATTATCGTTGAGATCTTCCAAAAGCAAGTCACAATTTCGAAAAAAAGAAGTGTTGTCGTATCTTCCCCTTCGTTCTGTGTTCGACAACGTTCAATCATGATTCATGAATCCTCGAGTCAATGATACTTGGTTCTGGAACGTGTGGATTTCCACCTCCCATCGCCAGCCGCGCTTCTGCAATTTTTAGCTCGAATTCTCTGCCACCCAGCAGCAGCAGCCTTGTCGGTGCCGAAGCCCAAGTAATAAAACCTCCGCTTTCCCATCCCCACTCTGTATCCATATGCTCTCCTCCAAGACGTCGAAGCCTTGGCCTCTGCCCGTCACCGTTAAGGAGAAATAAACACCCGGTCCACCCATCCACACCAGTTTGAAACCCCTCTCTTCCTATCCAGTGCCCTCCCCTGCTTCCCGGATGGCGTGGACCTCGCATCTGTCAAGAATACTGTACATACATACACAGTACATTGTGCATGCAGCAAACGTTGACCTTGATACGACCCCAAAAGTGTAACAAGTATCTTGCATTCCCCGAAGGGGCAGTATGCGTCCTGGGTGATTGCCCTAAACCGGCAATTTGCCTAGGCGGAACCTCAAACCTTCTTCCCAGGCTCCGCAAAAAAGGTTTGCCTAGCCCCGGAAACACACGTCTTATTCTATATTTTAGCTCGGTGGATGAATCCGAACGCTTCTCGCGGTAAATTGGAAATATAGTTCGCGACAGAGGATTGCAATTGTAAGTCACGCCGGCCAGAACGGTTCATCGGGCGTGCGATTGTAGCATTTACTACCCCATACTCAGGAGCTATCAGATCAACTATAGGGGAATCAACATCACGATGCGGTTCAATCATATCCATTCTTCTTGCATTTATACCATTAAGTATCTTTCTACTCCGTACCTAGTACTCTAATCATGGCCATGACCCTGAATCACTTCGCACATAGCGACACGCGAGCACGTCTGTGAATCTGTAAAATGCTTAAACAGGCATAACCAACGCGAACACGAATGACTGCAGACTGATAATTCATCTACAACGACTCACTTCTAGGCCTTCGCATATTACCTCCATCTTTGTCCACCTCAACAAAAGTTCTCCACTCCATGCACCTAAAGCATGGTTGAATTGCATGCTTCATCCAACGTCTGATCCCGATGGGCGTAAAGTCCAAACTTACTACTAATAGTTCAACTTGCTCGTACAGCGTACTCCGTACACATCGAGTATCTGCTCCATCGAGTAGGAGACATGACGACAGAGCCTAGCCCATACACGTGTTTTTTGTATCACAATACCAGAGTTACACAGCATATGCTAACGACTGCAACTTACTCTGACCAATCATCCAATCATACCGCCTCCAATCCGAACCCTTCTGCCCCCCCTGCCCCCTCACACCCAAGAAATTCGTATGCTAACATCAGACGCCTTTCCCGGCGTCGCACCCAATACCACTAGGTCAACCTCACAGCCCGACTCTTCTTTCTATAATCGCTTCAACTGTCATCTTCAATCATCCGAGAGGAAAAGAGAAGTCAAACCCGTGAACCCACACCTGTTTTTATAGACGAACGACCATTGCTACCCAAAAAGCCACAACGGCGCAACCCAGGAAGACCTGCTATCGAAAAGACAGATCGTCAAACGGAAAGATCAGGACAATTGGTGGTCAGAGTTCCTCCTTGTCCCTTTCGCCCTTGCACAGAATCCAGTTCAGGGCAATGTGATCTGCGGTGATGTGATGTGATGTGTGAGCCAATAGGCACGCAACCAAGGAAAGTTATATGGGAGAAAGGATGGACCCGTTATGTGTCTCAAGCATCATACAAATACAAGTACAAAAGACGTGTGCACCGCGATGGTAACGTCATCAGTCAACGACAGATAGATGCATAGATGATGTGTGGCTGCATACATCTCAAGCCCGAATGGATCGTATGTCACCTTCCGACACCGTCTATCTAGATGCTACCTTTCCGTCCGTACCACCACGTCCATGAAGCTATTATCCCGTCATACAAAGGGAGTACAGAGCACCCAAGATCTGCATCTATTATCTAGATCCAACGCTATGTTCTCCTCGCCCTGTATGCACGTTTTACGCCCCCTCCTAAATGTTCTGAGGCGCGCGTCACGACAGAAGACGAAAGGGACTACGAGGATAGGTAGGAAGATGGCGTTGCCGATTCGGCAGGGTTGTCATCGTGCACAGAAGCACAGGATCCACAGCAGCAGCAGCCACCACTATGGTGGGCGTTTACGCCAGTATCGCAAGATGGGGGACATCACATACACATACATGCAGTACCCTTTCTCGTGCTGATGTCATGCTTTCACGAAAAGGTCTTTCACCCTTGCTGTTTATTCGGTTTCCACCCCTCCCTTCGTCCTAGTTACTTGTTGTCATTGTTGCGGTTTTGCTTGGTGGGAAGTGCTTGCTGCGCCGGCGGCTAAGGCGAATGTAGATGGGCGAGCGATGCCACATCATATCTTGATCCACAGCACACTGCAAGTGACATGCAAGAGACGAACTCAACAGAAATCCTCCGCGCGCACCCAGCGGAAACAGGAAAAAAAATAAAAAGGCAACGAGACAGAAGGATAGACAGAGGCATAGAATATGACATAGCCAAGCAGATCAATACTCCCCAAACGGGCTGCGATATCCAATCATTCCACCTGCGATATCAGCGTCCAGAACGGCATCGCCCTGAGCTCGTCTACGGCAATGGGCAGAAAGCCGGCATGGGGGAAGCGGGTGTCGTTCCGCGCGCTCAGCGGCACATCACGGTCAGCATAGTATATCTCCCGTATCCCCGCACGTTGTACGAATGCAAGTAAGCGATGGTAATTGGTGCCAACCTGCTCGATGCCATGGCTGTCGTCGGATAGCGCGAAGCGCCCGCCCATGGACAGGAACATCTGCAATTTACGGCCGTTGGTAAATGATGTCTGCGTGCCTCATATGGTGCAGGGGAACACTTCGTAATCGGTGTGACTTACCTGGCATATTGGGAGGCACGGGTACGGTTCAGCCAGTCCTTTGCGCAAACCAGCGGAATTCAGTTCCAGAATGCCGCCGTAAGACTGGACGTACTTCAAATTTCTCTCGATGCGTTCCCAGACACCCTTCATGTCCTTGAAATCCGAGTCTCTATGGTCACTGAGAAGCCGGATCAGGTCGAAATGACCAACGAGTGGGGGAGTCAGAGCCTGCAGCATCTCATATTGAGAGTCGAAGTAATCCTCGAACAATCTCTCGTCTGTGCCGCCTGCCGCTGACCTTGCCCTTTCGTACGTCGCTCGATCGAAATCGATGGGTATCGTATGCATATGATGCACTGAACCAATGAAGAAATCGAACTGATATGTCTTTATTAACGAATTGATCCTATCCTTGTCGGACGGGCGTATCCATTCCGACTCAAAAGCAAACAATATCCGGATTTTGGAGGCATATGCTTCTCTGATCCGTTGGGCTTCCACTGTGTAGTCTTTGAAAAGATTCTCGAGGCTCTCTTCGGTATGAACATCTGCCTACAGCGCAGGTCTGTCAGCTTGTCATGCATGTATGTACCCAATCTTGCAGATATGGGTATTATGCCAGTGGTGCGTAAACATACTTCTTCCGGGTAGAAATCCTCAATCGAGCGGGGAATATGCTCCGTTAAAGAGAAATTATGAAAGCCTTTCGCGATTGCTGCTTGAACCACTTCCTCCAGTGTGTTCTTTGCATGACCGCAGAATTGGCCGGAGTGACTGTGGTGAGTGAACGGCATCGCAGATATTGGGACCTTAAGATCCAGAGGGATACTGCAAATTCGATGTATCCTTGGGTTCTTTTAGGTCTGATTGAGGCAATGGGAGGTCAATGTAAGAATCGAAAGGTGGAAAGCGTCGAGTCACCAATTGTCTCTGTTGCTGGCTTGTTACCCCTCACAAGCTTGAGATGGTGATATAGTTGTTCAAAGCTGTGGACTGATGATTTTTCTGATCTTTATCATGATTATGATCTCGATTGATCAAATCGATGTTGTTTTTGGTGCTCTTTGCGGACAGATGATCAAGTTTAAATCTTGAGATGAGAATCGAGATGTCAATTCCGAAGCGGAACGGCGTCGGCCCGACCTAAACCTTCGGAACCACCCAAGCTCGTCATCCTGCTTCATCTTTCAACATAAAGTCTTTTATCAAGACAAATATACGTATAGAGTGATTAAACCACATTGAAACAATTTCACAGAAGCATTGCCATCCTTTTTTACGAAGGCTCAATCAACAACAGCACCAAGAGCAACATTCTGACACTCAACATCCCCACCAATCTGGGTGCATATACTTGGCATCCCGAACAACCTCTCCAGCATCAACCAGGCAACACCTCAGAGGTCCTCAACGTAACCTCTCCCAGGAGACTTTAAAGAGATTTCAAATTAAGACCACTACATGCATCTTACAACATCATCAGGATACATCCTCACGACGCTCTGCTCCCTCTCCTCCGCATTGTCAATATCACAGATCCCAGCCATCATGTCGCCCGCAGCCAAACCAAGCACAATCTACTTCGGCTATGGCTCGAACCTCTGGCTCCACCAAATGGATCTCCGCTGCCCGACGTCCCAGTATCTCGGCGTCGCGAGGCTGAACAACTACCGCTGGCTCATCAACGACAGGGGCTACGCGAACGTCGTCGAGGTCACCAACAGCAGCAGAACAAATGAACCCAGCCCGTACGAAGATGTAGTCTACGGCCTGGTGTATTCCCTTGAAAAGGAGGACGAAAGACGCCTGGACCTCAACGAGGGTGTGCCGATTGCGTACACCAAAGAACTGCTCCCCTGTGATGTGTGGCAATCCGAGGATGGGAAACCGGTCGACGTGAGTAAGAAGCCTGATTCGGAGGAGAAGATGTTGGTGTATATCGACAGAAACCGTAAGTCCTTGCTTCCTCGAGTTTCGTACAGTTTCCCAAATATTTAAAAAGCGCTATCTTCATCTTTCTATGTCATATGTTCGAGGGATATTATCACAATTGTAACAATTACCCACGGCTAACCCACTAAAAGGCACCACCCCCTCGACGCCAAAGACAGAGTACATTTACCGCATGAACCGCGGCATCTCTGACGCCCTGAAGCAAGGAGTTCCCCAGAAATACGTCGACGACGTGATGAGGAAATTCATTCCCTCGGACGACAAGCACGATGATGATGGCGATGATGAAGAGCGAAAGGGCAACAGGGAGGCGATGGCGCAATTTGCAAAGCAGCAGGCTGTGAGGTTTGAGGATGAGAGTGGGGTGTTTGAGAGGACGGATTGAGGTCGTAGGTTGTGAGTAGACGGGGATGGGAAGGGAATCTGGATTAGACGGATGGCATTGAGTGCTGTTGTGCAGACTCATCAGCTCATTTCATTGGTGGGGTGTTCATTAGAGCTGTAGAATTTCCGGGTCATGGAATATATGCCTCTCAAAGAGCGGGGCGAAATGCGGAGAGGAACAGGACGACGAGTAGGTCCAACTATAGGTTCTTACCAGTCACAACTGGTAACAGCATCACCACGAAATTAGTGACATCAGACACAACAGCAGGCAAATGAAATCTGTATCCGGACAAAGACAAACATGTTTAGACGCTTAACCTAGGGATGATATCATCAAAGGTAAAAACTCCCAAGATCCCAAAGAGACCGTGATTGCTTTGGCATGAGGGCATACGAGTCCAATCCGCTAAAGCTTTCACCATCCAGCTCTTCTTATCATATTGGCAAGCGTTGCCATCCATGCACTTAAAAACTCATCGAAAAGTGAATCCTCCACCCCCTTTCAACAGAGACCTTCTGTCGTCTAAGCTCCCTCGCGAGACTTGCGGTAGCTGGCCTATTAGGGTTGAAAAGATCAGCTTGGGTGAAGATATTTTTGCTAAGCAAAGCATCAGATCGAACGGTCGGCATTAAGCAGCGCAAGACAACGAAAGACAAAAGACGAATACAAGATCAGAAATCGGAGGACTCTTGGCGACGCACCTCTTGCTCCACTTGAAGTTGGTCGACCACGGGTGCGAGCTCGGAGAGGATCTCGTACGCCTTCTTGTGGTACTCAAGCTGTGCGGCAATAAGATCCGCAAGGTTGCGGAGGGGTTCGGGGGTATCGAGAACCTGTAGCGTTCAGTCAACAATTGCTCCACGACGTTTCACGACCGCTTCATGATGATTGAGACAACTTACATTCTTCATAACACCAACGGCCTCCTCAGTCTGGCCAACAAACTCATCCTCGGCCTGCTCGATCTTGGCCCTGGCCTCCTCGCTGAGATCCTCCTCGTTCGTATGGCTGGCGGGCTGGCCAGGGAGGTGGAAGCCAGGGTTCTTGGCGGCGGTCTTGGTGGCATCAAGGCCCAATCGCGAGTTCTCCACTGCCTTGCGGGCGCGTGTCGCAAACATGATGTTGGTGTTGAGCGTGGTGCTCCATCCCGCAAGGAATCTGCTCTGGATCTGCTGGTCCTGTGCCAACCTAGCCTCTCCGACCTTCTCGCTGGCGATGGCGAACTTCTCCAAAGCAGTAGCGAGCGGGTCCTCTCCAGCGCCGGCGTGCTCGCCGGAAAGAACGTGGGAGCTGTTCAGCGAAGCGCGGGCGATAGCATGGCTGAAGGTCTTGGGCTGCGGCTTCGCGGAGGGGGGAGCAGTAAGTGCGGCCTGAGCTTCGGCGGGCGATGTTGCGGAAGAGAGGAGGTTGACCTTCTCTGAGACGGTCCTGCCGAGGTCGTTGAAGGATTCGCGGATGTTGGTTGGGTAGTCGTATGCTTCGTTCGAGTACTGGGAGCTGTAGGGGAACGTATGTCAGATTAATTGCAAGCGCATCAGGTAGATAGGGGTTGTAGAGCAATGGACCAAGACGTACGTCACCTGGAGCATAGTATTGTGAACCTTCTTCAAGGCATCGACCCGCTTCTCGAGCTCAATGTAGTCCGGGGGAAGTTGTGTCTATTGTGATTCTAGTCAATGTCTCATCCTTATTGTTGAGGCAGCCCCCCTCCAGAATCGCAGTGCGATGAGCGTTCATTCTGGCAGTGTCCGTACCTTGTCCTCCGCCTGGCCAAGCTGTTCCTTGACATATTGCTGGGTCCTTGCCGCGAAAGGCGTGAAAGAGGCACTACAGACTCAATGTTAACATCTGGCGATTTGAATACTCCCCCGAGGAGAAAGCTCCCAGGGCGGTATGCCGGACAGGCGGGAGAGGCGTACGAGAAGTTCTTGCCGAATGCCTGAACTTTGTCCATGAGGGGCGAAATGTGTACAGCAAATTCCGCAGTCGAGAAATTCGGGTATCGCAAGTAGAGTGGTTGAGTAGCTGATGGTAGTAGTCTGGCTTGGGTTGGGAGCTTTACTTCGCAGAAAGCATGTGCTGCTCCCTCCCTTGGTAATCGTGGCGCCACGCACGGTAACAGAGCTGCGCCACAGCTATACCGCATTAGGTCATGGATATATTCGTATCATTCAAACTACGGAGTACGGATTTGACATTCACAACGATCTAACGAATATGTTACTCCTTGATCGAGAAGATCTGTTATCTTCTTCTCGAAACTAGTAGCCCTTGCTGTTTCATTCCCGACGTGGTAGATTTCATAAAAACAAAATATCCAACGCAATCCAATACATTGTCGACGAATTCTTACTATCCCGCGCATACACGGGAACTTCCATTACCAGTGTTGACCACTATCGATGAAACAGCATCCATGTTGAAAACCTGCATCCTCTGAAACAAAGGCTGGTTCTCTGGGTATGTAAGGCAAAGGAAACTCGATCTAACTGCCAGGTCGAGTACACCTCAAACGCCAAACCGCTTCCTCTTGAAGAGTCCCAAAGCGAAAAAGGTACCGCGTCTAGGCGTACAAAGACATGATTTGATCCGAGCTTCGAACGACTGCCCTGTCTACAAATTGGTAGGAATGTCCCTGGACGATAGTAGGTGGCGGTGAAGCATTGTGGATTGCAGAAACCAGTCATTGACAGATCTGGATGATTGCGCGTTTCTTAATAGGTACCAATTACTCTGTGGCTTCATGGACTGAGTGGCATGTACACGCAAAAGTCTTAATTTGATGTGTGATGTATGAAGTAGAACTAATTTTCCAACTGTGGACATGACCCAGCAATTGATTGAACTGAACTATCTGATTGCAGATATCGGAGGTTTCGGAGAGCGTCAAATGCAGCGTATTGGTAGAAAATGGCTTGATCCGAAACAAGGATAGAGACATTGTAAGCCGAAAATGTCGTTACCAGAATGTACTAATCTATATGTACCGATGGGTTTAATTTATACAAGGCAGAAGTGAAGAGAGGAGAAGGCATAAAAAGAAACGAAAGCGAATGGTGGTACGAGCGACTTCACTCTGGAGTGCATCGAGCCTTCTGCCTTGTAGATAGAAGAAGAAACAACCGAAACATTGCAAAAATATCGTGCTCAGAGTCGGAAACCGCCACCTGTACGCCGTGCCGTGTGCTGGGGGTATCTTCACATATCCTAATCTTTGACGACCGGTGGCCCACCCTTCGTTGATCCCAACAAACCCCGCATTTGTGTGTATATATATATCTTGTGCTGTGTGTGTTGCCAAGTGTTCATCAAGTGCTCCCTTGCGGCCGTAAGTGTAAGGATTTATAAGGTGTTTCAAACAAAAAAGCGCTACTTGCATCGCTGAGGACGTCGTCAGGTGTCCATACAGCGCGCCAATGCGGGCGACTCGGTAACCTGCTGTATGGGAAAAGCTCGATGGAGAATGCCGGTTGCAGTGAGGATGTCTGCTGGTGCGGTGCGTGTCGGCGTCGTGTCACAAACGCTTTGTGGCTCGCTGTGCCGCGCACACCTAGTCACATATGCAAACTACCGATTAAGCTTGATATGTCGATCGATCAAAGTGCCACCAAATGCCAGTAGGTGTGATCTGAGACAAGCCCCAGTACGACAGGGCTGAGCAAATATACCATTTTAGTCGTGTCGGGTCACATCTCGGGCAACACAAGACAATGTGAATAGCCGACCTGAACCTCACTGACCCGATGGTCCGGGGATGGAGCCTGATTGGTATGGGTCGGCGCCTGAGAACCTGTTTTCGTAACTCAAATCGTACTCTGGAGATCCGCCTGTGTAAATGAGCGTCTCATCTATATTAGATGGTACACTTAGAACACCGTCGATGGGACTGGTACTTGTGACATCGGAATTTGATGGCGAATCGGATATGGTGAGAGTACTGAATATACCCTTCATCTCTCGGAGGTCCTCGGAGGTCTGATCTCTCGGTGCAGTCATTCGCTCAGTAATGAAGTCCTTTATAGAGCGAATGATACGAGGGCAGCCCTCATCGTTTGGTAGCCACCAATCAGAATGCTCTATACCCCAGGAATCGAGAATGCGGTTGCGAAGCGTATTGGAATAGATATAACTATTGAGGTCAGCAATTCGTGTCATTACAACCACATAGAAGGGTGATGCAACACGTACCCGGAAGACTCAATTCGAGCGAAAGTGCGCCGACACCATTGGACAGTCTTAGGGTCCTTGGGAAGGAACAGTATAGCGATAGCCATCGTAGCTTGTGCCTCAATAATAGCTCCTGGGGGGGCCTTCGGGTACTCAGTGACCGCTTGGAAAACCTGGCATACGCGGTATGCTAGTTTGGTCAATTCGGGGTCAAACGGTTTGCGGGATGCCATCGAGATCTGAACCTGGTACATGAACATAATTCCGTACATGTCGAATAGTAAATAGTTGGACGTCCATCGATCGTCTCCCCAGATGATGTTGGGTTCGTATGGATTGACAATGTTCTCCGGGTCGGGTGTGCCATGGAAATCGGTGACATAGTCCTTTGGGTCTAGCAGCGCAGGATCGATATTTTTGTCCAGGCTCATCACGCTTTCGGTCAACCCGGGTAGTTGGCGCATGAAGTCTTCGTCACTGAGAAGTCCTTTCGCCTTTCTAGCGAACAAATCGCTCGAGTCCTTGGCAACCAAGCGAGAATGCGCGAAACGCTCCTCATACTTCAATGTAATGTTGTCGGGATCCTCGCGTGCCCTCTGCGCATAGTAATCATGCATCACGACGTACCAGTCTCGACTGAGGACAGCCTCCCCTCCTGACTGGAAACCAACGAATAGATCGAAACGTATGTACCAGAGCAGGACTTTGCGAAGGAGTTCAGTCTGTGTGATTGTCTGAGGGGTGTATAAACGTGTGAGAATTTCGTATGCCGCTTTTTGATGACCCATGAGGTTGACCCAGTCTCCAAGCACCTCCTGGATTGAAAATTAGTTGTAATCGTCTGAATCCCTAAAAGATACTTGCCTCGATGCTTGCGAGTTGCAGTATGGTCAAGAATGTTGACAGGCCTTGCTTCTTGTTCTTGGTAATGGAAGCGCGCAGTCTCGACACCGATTCGTTGTAGTATTGCAAGAAGTGAGAAATTCGCCCATCCGGCCTGCTGAGAGTGTGGAAGTATGCGGCATAACCTGCGACCGCGTATCGCAAAGGCTCATATTTGATTGCCATCTGTAGGAAGTCTAATTTGAGGAAATTGCTGCTGTCGCGCTTGAGGTGATAGTGGTGGTGTGACATATGGTTTTTGAAGTAGCTGAGGTAGAATTTAACATCCTGTGGAATGCTCGCGGATGGCTTCGAAGGTGCTGCTTGCTTGGTTGTCTGATTGCTGCTTTTGCGAGAAAGTGGAGGTCGAGGGGTAGGATGTGGGGCAGCAGAGGAGGCTTCTGTTGACGGTGATGGACTGTGGTCAACGGTCAAGCCTGGTGTGTTTGATTCACCTCGTTTGGATTCAGATGCAATATCATCTTCGTCTTCCTCGTCATCCAAAATAGCAGGAAGGCGATCATCGTCGTCCAGGTCCTCAGGAGACGAACCCTCGTTGCCCGACTTTTGACCAGATTTGGCACCTCTACTGGACTTTGCATTGGACTGAGCTTCGGGATAGACGCATTCACGATTTCCCTTTCGACATCCTAGGTACCAAAAGTGAGCTGAGGAACCATCAGTTAGCCTAGTTTACACAAGCACTTACTTTCACAGATTGGGTGGTTTTCATCGCACTGTTTCCTTTGTTCAGCACAGCGACTGGCAGACTCTTCTCGACATAACAAGTCTTACCTTGACTCTGCGTTGCCGGCAAGTATAGCAACCACTCCTCGTTCTCCGGTGCTTGACGTGGTCACCAGGACCTGATCGTCTCCTCATGCGACTATTGGCGCCCTGGACTCCTCCCAGAGACCCAGAGACATCGTCATACTGGTCGAGATATGGCTGCTGCATCGAGGGGTCCCCATACGGCATGAAAGATCCTGGCATTCCATGGTACATTGGGTTTTCGTGCATACCAGGCAAGATGGAGCCATCTGGTGCCATCATATGTGGCGGCATATTTGGGATCCCAGGATGGGAGGCCGCATTTGGATTGACATTGTAATACTGCGGAGGTATGTTTGGATTGTGATTTTGATGATAGTAACCAGACATGTCTTCGAAAAAATGAAGATGACGATAGGGCTACGAGAAATTGCTGGCTGTGGATGGTAGATAGGTTGTAGAAGTGCGACCAACGTCATCCGTGCCCCCCGAGGAGTTGACAGGGCAGGGATGCAGGGACGATCACAGAGTGTCTTGCGGATGGGGTCAGCGGGCAAGCCGCCAGGGACAGCGAAGGAGTTCGAGGGCTAATTATTAGTAGAGTGAGTGTATGAAGACAATCAAGCGCGGTAGCTGACTGAATCAAGACCGAGTCACTAGTACTTGAAGATTGAAAGATGGATGAGGCTTTGCGCGGATCCCCTGCTAGCACGGAAGACCAGGACCAGCGAGCGGCCGGCTTTTAAACAAACGCACGATGGCAGCAATCCTCTTCTGACTGATACCTCCAAAGTACGCTTTCGATCTTTCTGGACAGTTGATCTGAAAGGATAAGGTGTTTCTGCGGTAGGCGCAACGCGGGCGCGGGTTCTGGAGGGAGACCAAGTTGCACTCTGAAACGATGGGTGGTGCTATCGAGGTTGTAAGAAGCACAGCAGGCGCATATCAGAAGTATCAGTGCCTGGATTGCTGCTGGCATCTGCAACATCCTCCAAATCACTTGTTGGGCTTAGGGAGCAGCTAAAGTTGGACGCATGGAGCCTGCTGCTAGGTAGAGGAAGCTCATCTGAGAGGGAGAGTAACTAACTAGACAAGATGCAATGATGCGCGGGGGAGAAGGACAGGATGTTGCATCTGCAGCCAGGGTCGCCGAACAGACAGTAGTAAAGGAAAAGTAGTTAGTGGGTATGATGATGAGTATGGGTATGGATGGGGATGGGCACAGCAACCTCTACGATCTCTGCAACCATCCTTGACATCCCGGGCTCTTTCTGCACCGATTCGACTGTTTTCTCCCTTCAGTCAGGTTCAGGCCTCTCGCACCCGGGCGTGTGCCGCCATGAACCTTTCCGCTTTCCGCTGCCATTTCGATTGCTGGCGGCGCGCCGTGGCCCTAGGGTCGCGCCATCCAGAGGGAGGGAGTGGGTGTTAAGGATCATCGACCCCTGCCACCTTGTCACCTTGCTGGGCTGGCTCCACGATGACGGCCAGGTCTTGTCCGTGTCTGTGTGAGCGTACCTAAGTGTGAATGTGAGAGGAAAGAGGGTACGCTGTACGAGTATTAACTTTTGGGACCGCCCTGACAAGCCTCAGGCCCTTTTTAGTCCTGGACTGTATGACTATTGGGTAAAATATATCGTAGAAGATGCCGACGACCGGGGTAATGTGGGCTACACTCCCCTCTGCCCGCCCCAGCTTGCCCTCAAAGGCATTTAACATCGACCCTTGTCGATGATCGCACACATGTCAATAACAATAACTACTGGATCAGAGTAGTCAAGGTCTGTTCGTACGGCTGGCCAGGGTTCTCTAGCACGCTGTTGATGTACTCGTACTGTACCTATGTAGGCCTCGCACCATATCGGACCTCAGCCATCTTGAGCCTGCTGCTGCTGCACAACCTCCCTGATCCCAGGATCGCCGTTGCAGTAGCGGTAGGCCCCATAGATATGAAATATTACGACAGGGACACTGCCCGGGCAGGACAAGCAAGGAGGGGGGGAAGGGAGGTTCTGTATTTGTGGAAACATGCCGTGGGAGTACATAGTAATATGTACGGAGTAGAGAGCACTCCGTAGTGGAAGTGGTGGATTGGGACAATTGGGTGCAGCGTTTACCTGATGCTCAATAGTGGGGAAGGGCATCCATCATGGATTCATGATCCAGCACTGCAGCAGCCTACCGCCATAAACTACAGTACAAAGTACCCAGTATGCTATTATGGCTGCTGCATATGGTGGGGGCGTTTGCTGCCTCTTTACCTGTAGCAGTGTGTTGCCGTACTCCAACATCGACTCGATGCCGCTGTCACAATCCCCCCACGAGTAGTTGGTTGCCGTACTAAATGCGGCAATTGCTCTAGGCATCGCTGTGTTTGTTGACGCCGTTGTTCGTACGGTCCAGCGCCACAGAGTTATCCCCTTACTTGAGTGCGCGCAAGAGTGTATGCAATAGAGCATATGAATTTGGGAAAGAGTATCTATAGCTATCAGCCTGTATCCCTAACGGGCGCGATGACCGACGCAGGATGCAGTGCTGTGCCCTACCCTATGCCGGCCCGCCGACGATGGCCCTTCGAGCCTCATCAATTTGGTGGCGGGAGAAGATATCGAACATTCTATTCCTCGCGCTGAACATGGCTAGGCCGGCAATTCCTTATTGCCCATGATTCGATCGTAGTAGCAGAGCAGCGCCATCCGCATTCTGCTTCTGTTGCGGTCAGCTTTGACACCCGTTGCCGGCCGCAAGAGTGGAAGCCTGGGTCATAATTGTCATTTTTCGAGAATAGAGCTTCGATGATGCCGTTTGTTAGTCCGCTGCGTGCTCTTCGGCCCTTCTTCCTGGCCCAAAGGCGCGCGGCCGACCCCTGACGTTCCAGCAAGATGGATAAACCGCAGGCAGTGCAGCCAACATGGCTTAAGGCTAGATGGCGGCCACCATTCTTGCACCCTGAAGCCGCCGGCCTGGAACAAGCAAATCGGTGTAAATGTACTCCGTATACCAAACATTTTGACGTTCCTAATTGTCTCCACAACTTTCTTCAGGGCTGAGACGGGATGCAATCTACTGCCGGATTGCCCGTTGAGAATGGAGTCGCAGAAAGCCTTACTCATGGAGGAAATTAATAACACAATGAGATACTGGGCGGTCTTGGTGGGCTGGAGGGAGTAATAAACGCATGCCGTGCCCTTCAATCTAATGTATGTACTGGTAGTCACGCCCGTCGCCCGTCCGGCGGATGTTGCGATCCGCCATGCGGATGCACCATAGCGGAGGATCGGGGGATTCAAGGGGACAAAGTGGGAGCTGTGGTGGGGTTTTTCCATTTGCATTTTGCATTGTCTTGCAAATTGCAACAGTCTGGAGCGCAGACGCGCACACACAGAGGTAGAGCATACTATACTCGTACAGTACGCTCTGCCTCATCCTCCTGCTCTGTTCTGTAATTACGTAGGCTGCACAAGGTGTGGCCTTAGAGACCTTCATTCTTTGGCTGGACCGTTGCGGCAATTCTGCCAGCGGCAGAAAAGGGCCAACCTTACATATGCCATGTCGTGCTACTGGTGTAGAGTTGGACGGCGCATTTGGCTTCCGATAACAGGTGCTGCGGTGTGAATGGTGGGGATCTGGGGTGACAGACACAGCTATAGGTGCAGATGCTGTACGTCATGCCCTCTATCCCCAGCGGATCTTTGGCTTTTGCAATCGTTCACACGACCAATGTCGCAGCATTTGAGAAAAGGAAAGGAAATGAAGTACTCCGTACAGCGCACGTAATGCAAATGGCAGACCATACTACCAGGTATTGCTGACACTTGCAGCATGCCTAATGTGTGTGAGCTGGAGGATGTGAGTGAGGGGTTCATGTGCAGCTGCCAGTGCATTATCAGCATGGGCGAACTGATCTGACCCAATAATCTGACGGAGCGAGACTGGATGATGAAAGTGGACTGGGTTGGGAATTTATTGTACGATCCATGCGAATATCTGTACGGTAGACTGTGGGCAGCCGCAGGGTGATATCGTTCTCTCCGGCATTGCCAGATCCAGGCTCAACGCTTAATTGTGAGAACATTGTAAGAGTCACCGGGGATTCGAGACACAAGATGATGATGCAAGAGCGGCTCGTAAAGTGTGGATGCTTATACCGTAGGCATCCGGAGAGCAGGGCAGGGCGAGCAGTGAGGTGTTGTGTTTGAAGTAGTGGATCATGACAATATTGATGGTAACTAAGAGCGGGTTGACACCAGACTTGGCTAGGGAATGGGGCGCCTGTACTGTGCAGTGCACCACTAGGGTGCGATAGCAAAAGAAGAAGACGGTGAGAAAGATGTGTGGGGTTGAGGATTGGATCATAATAAGATGAGAGCGAGGGTGGTCGAGATGGATGTGTGTGTGTGTGTGGACAAAAAGTGAATTGCAGGCCAGACACGCTTATCCGGTGTAGTGGTATGCTCCACGTGCGCTGCGAGGTTAACCCCTGCACCTCTGGGAAGACGGGACATGTTGCAGCGCAGATCGGAAGAATCCCATCAATTGTTTCGTTCCAGGTAGCGTATCTAGGTACAGAGTACTATACACAGTACAGTGAGTGTACACTGTATCGCCCCGTCATCGTTGGTACTCGCTGATGGCACCATGTTTGTTCCACAGGCTGGGAGTACTGGTGGAACAGTTCCATCAACGTCAGTCGTGCCGCGGGGGGTTTGGTGGTATCTACTGTGACTACTCCGTACTGTGTACTCCATAAGATGTATTCAGTTATAGCTTGCTTGCATTCACATCTCACTCGTGGTCGCCATCTCTTCGAGCTCTGGGTCTTGAGTCTTGACTACCTACCCTGGCAGCCCTTTTGTCCTTGTCTTTCCTCTTGTTTTTTTCTTTTTATCCATGTCGGAAAACACGAAAATCCCTCTTATCATCTTCCTCGCACTCGGGTCCTACATGCAATCTGGCCACCAGCTGAAGCAACGCTGAACCATGTGGACTTTTGTACGCAATATAACAACACAAATATGGCACCTACCTTTATAGTATAAGACTCAATTGCACTTGTACTCTAGTAGATACGAAACGATATCTCATTCCGAAGTATAGTTCCCGTAGAATACTACGTAGTGCGCAGTATACTTGGACATATGGCATGGCCAACCAATCAGATGCCCGAACCACTGAGAGCAGGGGTTCTCGTTTACGGATGCGAATACGCAGTACAAAGTGAATGACTTTCACGCTGTTATTGGTCTATTCACTGGTCAACAGATCATCAGCACAAAAATGAAATCAATAATAAAAGAAAACCGTTGTGCTCCGTACAGAGCTGGGTGTATGCGGCAAGTTGCAGCAGGATTCGAAGCAAAATAGCCACATTCATCCGGCACGTCCCATCAGCAGGTGATACGGATAGTCTTTGGGACCTTGGACGTCCATTTTAGCTAGCACACGTTCAAGGGCCGACTACAGTAGCCTCGTACATACATATTACACAGTACGGAGTACACACATACAGTAGTTATTAGCAGGGCAGGACAAGAATCTAGGTACGGTGCACTAAGGGAATGACAATAATGGGCACTAAAAAGCAAACTTATAATACAGAAAGGGACGCCTCCATGAACGTATCAATCCCATCAAATCCAGCGCCGGCTCGGACTATTTTCTATTTTTGTACTAGCTATTCCGGAGCCAATAGTGACTTGCAAATAGCACCCAACCAACAAACATGCGTCCTACTGGGTCACGAATGACACAAGAAGTAGGTATGTACTAGGGAGTCGATAAATTTGATTAATGGTAATAATAATCATGCCTACTGGTGAAATCATCCAGAGTGATTTGAATCTACCACTTGGCACGCCACAGTCATAATCGTACGGTGCAGTAGTCACTCTCTTCATTAGGTGCTTTACAAGTATGTATGTGCATATTTCCATACACGGAGACTAGAATACAGCGCTGTCTACGAGGTCTACATGTACCTAATTGGTGTATGTAGCAGCCAGCCTTTTCCTTCTGGTGCCCCTCCATTTGCTTTCTTTGGGACCCATGTCCTTGTCCATGCCCATGTCTTTGCCTATGCCCCATGTCCATACCTATACCTCTATGACTACATACGCCTACCTATGGCTACCTATGTCTATGTGCCCAATTATGTAGGAATTTCAACCTATACGGCGTCGGAGACAGTCTGCCATTCGACCTACGATTCTTATGGCTTCTATGATTATGCTCCACCCCATGTAAGGCCATGTTTTATTATCCGCGATTGGTCTTTTCACCCATGAATCTCACTCACAGCCCAAGCAAAGAGGCCACCACATCCGGACCATCTAAGTACTAGTAATTCATCATTAATTATTGCTTTGTTCCTTCTTTTCTTTTTCGCTCCCTGGAACGTTTACGTTTGCCACGCGCATAATACAACCGTGATATGATCCACCACACTCATCTACACGTACAGCCAACATCTGATATCTGCCAGCGAATGGCGGACTAATCAAACCACCCATTTCTTCCGCATAATCGTAATCAAATCCCCCATTTCCCCCCTTCCCCCAATAATCCACGCAAGTCCCTCCGAGCTTAAACTCTTTCTGCACTCTCTGAAGATTCATATCTATATCCTAAAACGGACGATCAATCATCCCCTTATCCTAATGCCGTACTAGCCAGTACGGAATCCCGTACAGAACACGGACAGAGCAGTTCGCAAAACGTGCCCACAAATAGCCCCCCCAACCATGGGTGCACATGCCATCTTCAGTCGGAATGGTCCTCCGAGCGTCCCATTGTTCTTTTTCGAACTCTTCTCTCCCCGAGGGCCCGACCATGGGATGGACGATGGAGCCCCAGGCCTTCTTCTAGCGCGCTACAATACAAGCCCAAGTCAACATCCCTGACATATCGTATCCCTTGCTCTTCCACCTACAGGCTCCACCTCGACTCCACCACTAATGGGAAGAAGGACCTTCTATCCAGGGCCAACAGAGCATTTACAGAAGTACCTGATAGACTTAATTGCAGAACAAACTCATCTCCTTAGCGCAAGGAATGCCCGACCGCAATAGGCAACACTCCATCTCTCAGCCCGGCTATCTATTGTATTCCGCATGGATGTTCGCCGCCCGTTCGTCCCATACCCTGACTTCTGGAACTCTTCCAGGGGAGGGCGGGACAAGGGAAAAATAGAGCAGAAGAATCAACATAAGCCCACTTGCTCACGCACCCACCCCCAACCCCTGTCCTCAATACTTTATTGTAACCTCCTAACAGAGATAGAAGGACCAGAAAGAGGGAGAGAGATTGGAAGAATCAAAGTATCCACACATCCACCAACAAGCAACAACGCAATAATGCCAGCAATAGGCTCAATTACCGCAAACTCTAATTGTCTTTTCCTCCATGGCATGGCTGGCCCATGGCACAACCGCGCGCCGCTGCCTCCCCGTCGAAATCAATCTTCGACCCTTACCTCGAGATTACATTACCTACGCTGGATATGCATGGTCTAGGTATTTGGAACTATCCTATAGGATGTACTCCGTACTCCGTACATGACATAGGTGCTAAGTTTAGATGGCCATGGGTAGATTTCCACACATCGTACATACATGCCAGGGCGAGAGGCCTAATTCGATTCGACAATCACAGCGTTCGATATCAGACGCAAATTAGATGCCTCCAGGTGGCCTTCGATTCGAGTTGTATCCTTCAACTAGATACTGCTGTAGTCGACGACTTTCTGTCAGAGAAACCAGCATGTCTGCTGAATCTCTCGACCAAATATCCCGGTCCATCAACCCCAGAAATCGGTCAGAACGAAATACGTATCGACGTATAACCCTAGGTCGATCTTGCCTGTTAAGCCATACGTTCTTGCGTCGAATGAGAACAACTTCCGAGAGGACAACAAACTCGCCCTTCGCACTTCCGATAATGACGAGGGATTGTTGGGAGCGGCGGGTCTACCTACCCAGCTAGGGACGAATGGGCAAAAAGCATCTGACTTGACTGACTTGCAACGTTCCGCTCTGCTCCCAACTTCCATCTCCACTACACCACACGTCTCCACTCATCCAACGGCTCGAATCGCGCGCACGGAGAAGGCATCCGTACCTTAATCGTATGTTGAATGCCGCTGCACAACACAAGCACATCCTCTTTGATCCTTCCATCCTTCCATTCTTCCGTCTGAATCGTTCGCAAGACTCCCCACATATAGACACACAGTCTATAGAAGAGGGAGCATAGGGCACCATATGCCATTTCACTCCCTAGGGTAAAACACTCGCACAGGCGGTTCGGTATTTCCCTCGTCCCGCGCAATCCTTCCTCCTATCTTCTTCTAGGTATCGTTGGTGGATACTGGTGACTATCATACAACATAGGTGCACTAGTAACACTACCACTACCATTGTAGGAAGTTGGAACCCAGATGATAGACAGACGGGTACTGTATATCTCAACCCCCCTAGGCCCTCTTGAGCTTCTGCTCCTCCATGACAGAACGCTAAAAGAAATGATGTACAATCCAAAACCCACACGCCGCACGCACCGGTACATTGCCGGTGGCCGACAGAAGCGGCGACGATGGCATCGACGTCGTAGCTGTAATTGGGCTGTGTGATATATTCGATCAACCAGGACTAACTGCTGAGCTTTGATCTGCGTTGTACTTAGACATAGGACTTGATTTTGTGCAGTTGCGGTCCTCGCCATCCTACGAGGAGCACGGCACATGTTTGTGGGGAATGCTGTAGCGGACGAGAATCAGCGGGACGAGTCATTCATGTCGGTCCCTTCCTTCGTTCTTCGTTCGTCGGTCCGTCCTTTATGACTTCATTCCAACAGTAAGTACATAGTTAGGTGACGGTGAAGTATATGAAAAGTAGGCAAGGAGTACAACGCAATGAGTTGCAATACGGGTATCATCTGCACACACTAAAAGTACACACGCTCTAGCAGGCAGCTATAATCTCACCGATCCTCTCGAAAGTAGACTCGAGTCGTGCGGAACGCCGCGAGAAACACCGCGGAGAAGGGAGAGAGCTCGTGAGGATTCGTGGAAGGTTTTTAGGAAGCACGGAGAGGAAGGGAGAAAATGGAGAGATAATGGAAACATGGATTAATAATCGCTATGAAAGACGACTAACTACCAAATGCGAAGGGACTGGCAGGGCACTGGAGCATAGAATCGCCGGATGGAAGGGGGATGTCATGTCATGCTACGACATGCCATGCCATGTTTTGCCACGCCTCCCCCTCAGCCTTCTTCACATGTTTGCACCGAGGATAATTCCAAGGAGGGAAGGAATCAATATCTGTTGCCATATTTTTCCTATTTGCTGGCTACTAGATCCTGGGAAAAACCTCGCCCATTAAACCCTTATTTGTAGCTAGATTGTGGAGACTTTGCACGGCGCGCCTGTATAATTTTCCTCCACCCCCGAAGCAGAAAAAAGAAGGTCCCTGTCCCATGTCCTTTCTTCCCCTTGTAAAAACCCCCGAAATAAAGTCAATCAAGGAATCAATCCGTCAAGTAGCCCAATATATTTATTACTTCGAGATCGGGGGTGGATAGAGGGCACCCCCCAGAACACCAACGCCAAACGCTGCAAATGGCAATCAATCATAACTAAAAAAAAAGAAACCAAAAATGAAAGGTGTCGCCCTCTTGGATATCTTCCGAAAATGCTGCCTCATGAGCCAAGATTATTGAAAAAGAAAGTCGTTAATTTGAGTTCCAATTTGGTGAGAACTTCGTAACGAGTCGTACTTGTCAGAACTTTTGGTGAGATCGAACAGAGTAAAGTGTATGCGTCTGTTTTTGAGGACCTTCGCTAGAAGGTCTTGTGGTGAGTAACTCTGCTATAGATAGCAAGTGGATACTACGCAACAGTGTTGGGATTGGCCATATCGCTGACATCGGTAGTAGATTGTGAAGATTCGGCCTCCTTCTCGTTGACGCCTTGGCCTCTGCAAAGGGGGCAAGAATTACGTCCGGTAGTGAGCCACTGCGATCGAAGTTAGTACAGAACATGTTTCGGAACATGGGAAGCCCTACCTGATCGATGCATTCCCTGTGGAAGAAATGTCCGCACTTGATCAGCCTCCTCGCTTCTTCCTCCGCCTCAAAATCACACAAGCACACTTGACAGCGTGCATTCGGCTCCAATGCGAGCGTGTCAGATTCATCGACTGCTGTCGCGACGAGCTGTCCCGCAAATGCCCGGATCGTAAAGAGACCTCCGGCATTAGCTACATCTTCTTCACTAGCAACTGGCGGCTTGACGGGGCCCAAAAGCGATGACAAGAGCATCATATCCTCATATGTAGGAGAATCGGTAAATAGACTCGGCGTTGTAAGAATGGGGTGGTTCTCGGGGTAGCTCCCTCCAAGCACATAGATAATCCAACTCCTCGATCCTTCTCCGGGATTGTGGTCAGGCTCAACGACGCCGTTCCTGCGTGAAGAGCCCGATCCAAATCTTGGCGTGAAGTCGGACTCACTGTTGCGGCGCTGCCTAGGGAGACGTCTCTGTGATTCAGGCTCCTCGGCTGTCGGCTCAAGGTTGGATCCAGTGGCTCTACGGATGAAGCTACCGCGTCGTGAAGGCGCAGAAGATTGCACAGTGGGTGAAGGCGGCGATGTCGAGAAGGTGGGTGTGTTTGTACCTGACGAGACGGCAGACAGTCCTGAACTGGCTGGGGTAGAGGGTGGGGGGAGAGGACCGGATGGAGAGTCAGCGACGGTGGACCATGGTCGAGGGCGCTCCGGGGCGCGATATGATCTTTGGGCGTCGGTATTGGAAGGGAAAGGATTCAGGCCGCCCATAGAGGCACGTCGTCTGTGACTGAACCTCTGTTGTGGTTGTGGAAGCATGCCGTCTACTGTGTGGTCTCCAGGAGATGTCAGGGGGGTCGGAAAACTGGAGAGAGCATCCAGGAACGGTGGGATGTTGTCGTCTTGTGCGTTCCCAACGTTCGGATTTATCGAGCGTATGCCAACGATGATGATCGGTATCATTCTACCATTTTCCTCCTCACCATCTTGATTGTCCGATGCCGTGCCTCCATCTCCTCTGCTGCCTGATCTGCTTGCGGAACTTCGATTTCCTGCGCTTGACCCAAACCTGAACATTCTGAAGAAATTCAGAGGGGCAGGCGAACCACCTGGACCTTCGCCTCCATCCTCTTGATTCCCGTTCTGTCGCAGCGCCGAGGCAATCCTCCCATTCTGTAAGGCTTGTAGGAAGCTGTCGAATGTACCATCCTCGCCATCGTCCGTGACACTCCGGGCTTCCGAGACTGCTCTGTGATCATCCCCCATCAATGATACCGCGGTAGCAGCTGCCGCCGCAGATAGTAACCTCGATAGCAATACGGCCTGATCCTCCTCCCGTCTTGCCGGAGATCTCCGTCGGCGAAGCGAGCTGAGGCTTCGGATGCCCCTGTCAGAACGACTGAGGGATGATAGCATAGACGAAGCCCGTCCGTCACGTCGCACTGAGCTCACGCGCCGTGGTGTTCGAGAGATAGACTGGTTGCTCGACACACGATCTAGTGTGTTGTCATCGAAACCGAGATCCAGCTCAGGCACTTGTAAATGGGATAGATATGATTCGGGTTCTGCATCGGAACTCGGGTTCTGTTGGGGTGCGTAGTTGGAGGACGGGGCGAGTAATGAGGGCGAAGAGGCATAGGCCGAGTCAGTATCTTGCGATCTGCTCGATAACCGGCGATGTAGGTAGGTTGGTATTGAGGTGAATGAGGTGAGGGAGTTGCGAGCCCTGGACATGCGGAGGCGATGACGGCGAGTGGCACTACTTCCAGCCGTATCAGACTCAGAGGGACCGGCGACTGAGTCTTCATGGTGAGTTGCGAGAAGGTTGGTAAAGCGTGAGAAACTTTGCGAGAGAGGCCGTGGACGTGTCGTGGAACTCTGAGGTAGCGGCGATGGCGGAGGTGGATCCCTTTCGCTGGCGTTTAGATGGTCATGGTCGGTCGGAAGGTTCGATGAAGGGGCCCACGATACAGGACGCAGTCTACTGCGAATGCGAGCATCTGGTGATGCTCTTGAGTTGGACTGGCCCATGGCAAGAGGCCCTCCAGCTCACTTCGAAGGGGCGTAAGGGAAGAATAGCTGTGAAAGGTAGTCAAGGCGGAGAAGGCGGTGGTTGATGGCGGCGGCGGCGGCGGTAGTATGATGTCGTGGACTAAGGAATGAGTTGATGAGGAGAAGAGTAAAGAAGGTAAGGAAATGAAGGAGCGTGGTAGATAGGATAGGGTGAGGGCTGAGGGTAGAGTAGGGGTAGGTTGTTGTTGTCGATGCGGCGGAGGCGGTAGTAGATAGTAGGTAGAAGGTAGTAGGTAGTTAGTAGGTGGTGATGTCGATAGTGGATCTGTATAGCCAGTCAGTCTAAGTCAGTCAAAGAGTCGCGCCGCGCCGAGAGTCAAGCAAGCAAACCGCACGCACGCACACGGCAAGTACACTAACATCGCATGGTAACGTGACTCCTTCCTATTCATCCTTCCAACCTGCACTATACCGTACTATAACCTACTTACCTTCCATATACTACCGAATCAACTACTTAATCACCTACGAGTATCAACCTAAGTAATAACTTCCAACCCGTCCGATCTATTCGCCTCTAGCCGGTCCTGTTTTCAACCAACCAGAACGCAAATCCCATCCTTCAAACCCTTCTTCTCAAACATCACACAATCTCACAGATCCATATCGAAAAAGAAGACGTAACATCGCCTTGTCAACGTCTTTTTCAGCTGCTACCGGAGCCGCACAACATCTCGCATATCCGACATCCATGAAGCCTGTCAGTGTGGCCGTATATGATTGATCGATCGACTGATTGATTGACTCCATCTATCAAGCGAGCCGTACAGAGTTGCTCAGCTCAGCTGCCCAGCTCCCCAAGCTGACCGGCTCGCCCAATCCAATTTCAAAAACCCATTCAACACAAAATTTATCATGCAGTACTTCGCTGGCTCGCTGAGGCCCAGCCAGCAAACCACTCATTCGTTGCGCGCACACCAATACAAGCGGTCACGGAAGCGGAAACGCAACGAGGATGCTGACGAGAGTCCAATCAACTCCGATGACGAGGCGGCAGATCCACTAACCTCTTCAAATTTGCTTCCTTTTGTTTCATCCAATTCTGCACAAACAGCCCAACTACGCATCGCTGGACTAACACCCAAGCATGATGCTGCTTTGAACGTGCCGCCTAGGCCGTTCCCACACGCTCCTAGTCAAGCACAACGTCCGACCTTCAATGCGACCAAAATCCAGCAGGAGCTGGCAGACCTAGATCCTCCGTTATTTGCTGCCCATGCCATCTCGAAGAGTCGCCCCGTGGACCGGGCCAATGCCGTGCCCGAGCTGCGGCAAACACATCTCAATGTGCTGGTCACTCTTATGCACCGCTGTTTGCTCCAAGGAGACTATCAGCGAGCGGGTAGAGCATGGGGCATGATCTTGCGTACTCAGGTTGCTGGTGCACCAATTGATCCGCGAGTTGGTGGCCGCTGGGGTCTTGGGGCAGAAATATTACTCCGCCGAGTTGCACGAAATCAATACACGCTCGCCGGCCAGACTGAAGAAGAAGACATCTATACAGATGAGGGCTTTGAACTCGCCAGAGAGTACTATGAGCGTTTAATTGTTCAATATCCCACACGAAAGCAATATCGTAATGCTATTGATGCACGAACATTTTACCCGGCCATGTTCTCGCTTTGGATATATGAAGTCTGCGAGAAAAGCAAGCGCGCGCGAAATCAACATGCACTAATTGACCCAGCGTCTCCGTCTTTTACTACCCTCAACGATGGCTTCGAACATGATTCCGCTATAGAATCGGACATTCGCACGGAAGAAATGCGACATGCAAGACAGATAGAGGAGCGACTGGATCGTGTTATTGTGTCACCGCCCTTCGACAAGCATCCTGACCTGCTACAGCTGAGGGGTATGATAAGTCTCTGGATAGGAGACCTGGTGTTGGGCGAGACCGCCACATCTCCCAGCGGAGATTGGGATCCAGACTCCTCTACTGATGATACATACATCAATTATGAGGCAAGGCAAGAACGACGAAACCGATATACCCACAGTTTGAGGGAGTTCAATCGAGCTCTTGATTATCTCAAACGTGCTCAGGAGCACGGCAAACATCTTCCCGAAAGTGTTGCCAGCACGAAAGACAAGATCGACTATTTGATGAAGAAGCTTGAAGTGCTGGATCACTAACAACGCTTAAAGCGAAGGATATTCCTCTCGGGGCCCTGGCTGTGGTGCAAACCGCCCATCATGCATCCATTCCATATATTGGACCTCTTGTGTCCAGTTCCTCGACTTAGGGGCTTTCCATGGAAAGGCATCACATCAAATGCCATCATTTGCAAGCTTATCCCTGGCTGCATGCACTCAAGCTCCAACTTCAATAAACAAAAAGTTTGATTTCGACGTTTCTACTAGCAACAGGACTCACGCATCAGTGGGCCACACGTATATCTTGCATAAAGGTCATTGGGTACACGGAGGTGATGTGATCACGAAAACGGGTGGAGTTCTACGTAAAGTTATACATTTATCCTCTTTCTAGTGTGTGTAGTACGTACTAAATTTGTACAAAATAAGGATAGTAGTAAGGAACGAAGATATCAAGGCTGGATTCGCTCTGAAAGAAACCCAAGGGCGGTGAAATATTATACAAAGAGTCTGCCATCGAGATGAAAAGGTTCATTGGGTGAGCTAAAGCTTATTCAAGCTTCCTATTGACGAAAAGATGCTAAAAGAAGAGCACATGAAAGAGACAACCGCAAGAAAGAAAGTGAAAACGGTCCGTTCCCAGAGCCACGATCTTGTACCGAGCACAAATACGGCAATCTGCCAATTGTATTGCCATAAGAAACAAAGACCCGGCCAACTGGTATGATATACATACATGAGCTGTTCAAGCATCGTTATAGGCACCAAAATAGACTCCCAATGCGACCACCTCCTGGCGTCGCTAATTTTATTGTCGATATGGAACCGTGACATCCTTCTGGAGATGACGTGTTCCCACATGTCTTTCAGTTTTGCTGATTGTTGATACGGTTCATGCTGCATGAACGCTACCCACCTGTCAACTGTTTTTTCGGCATACTTATTAGGGAACGAAAACCATTCCGTATGCATTTTCTCGCAAACGCTGCAATAGAATGGTCGACGGTGAACACCAAGGTCGCGATGAATCAGATGTTCAGTCTTGATTCGATTCATACATGCTTGCGAGACATGCATGAGCTTCAGCTCCATACCACATTCCCGGACAATATCTCCCTTGCGGCGAGAGACGTTATCCGATGACCCGATCTTGATGCGTTTCCCGTGGACCATGTCACGAAAAATATAGATATGCCCCTTGGAGTTGTTCGTGGTGAATTGTTTTCGTAGGAACGATTGCAATTCATCATGCACTTCCCGTGCAGTTTCAGGGATTTTGATTTCTTTGGCCTGCTTGACCTCAGGAATCGGTGTGGTCTTCGTGGTCGATGGATCCGGGTCGTCTCCACGAGGCGGAACCCGTTGTCTTGGGCTCCCACTGCTGCCTACATCGGAAAGTCTTGATTTCGTTCGTTTATGTACGCGATTGTTGCCTTCGGGATTCGATGCTCGTCTGCCTGTCGACTTCGCTCCAGATGCCTGGCCTCGGCTTCTCTTGTCGATGTCTTTCCATTCCAAATGTCTGCGAATCTCTTGGATATCGAGCACCGCGCTCTCGCTGTTTGCCTCGGCAAGATGCGGTCGCTGAAGATTCAAGCGATTATAGGTTGAGACAGTGTAGTCCTTTGGCGAATTATCACACGATTTTGCTTGCCGTAGGGTAGGTGCGGTCTTTGGGGTCTGAGGAAGTGAGGTTGTATGTCCAAATGTCCCATCAATGCCAGATAGACTATCGGATGGTGAGAAAAGCCCAGGAAGGGTTCGTGACGGTGTCGATGCCATCGCAGTAGAGGCCATCTATTCTGTCTGTGGAGGGAAACTATGAGAAAAGGACTTGATATCAAGTCAAATGAATCCTATCAAAAAGCGCAACAGCCTCGTCCTCAAGTACCCTCTCTTCGCACCCGTGCACATCGTCAGTTCGTCATAAAATGACCTGAGGAACTGCGGCTTTCGATGCTGGCTGTGCTGGTAGCTCGCGCTGTGCCGCATGCACCTCGAGCATGGGTTTCCGCAACGCTCATTTGTGGGATTCGCAATGGTGCAACAAATACGAACGGTTCGGCACGCGCCCAGCCACAGGGACGAAACACGACGAGGGGAACGCTGCAGAGCTAGGTAGTTACAATGGTTTGGCATGAACGCCATGAGAACGAGGGCGGGTGTTGTTTATAGAAAAGACTGCATTTTGCATGATTTTGGGAGACGGAAACAGAGGTTGTTCCGAACAAAGTTAGGGGATGAGATATCGATCATTCAGCGATTATCAAAACACTATGACATGAATGACTACGGGACAGTCCGATGTCGATATCGAAGTATATGTGTGGAGCTTGCTTTGGTGAGACATGCGTGGTAATTGATCACCATATTGCAAACAGTCCAAAGTACGAGATAGGTAAGTACCGTTGACTATGATAGTTGTGTTATTGATATCGTGTATATTTCTCATGAATCTATTTACTTTCGGTGATTGACTTTCTTAAGGCTGTGCAGGATCGTTGATGATCCAGTTCTCCCAGAACCTCAACCCATCCAGTCCTTGTTCACGACACAAGGCACCACTCTCCTCGGCCATTTCCAGCTCCTCGTTAGCTACGCCAACGCTCCAACCGAATCTCTCGGCTGTTTCCTGCGCTGTTACACCTCTTCCGTAGACTGTCACGTCCCACGTATACTCGGAGCTAGAAGATGGAGCATGTAGCTCCCGCAGCCATGCGAGGAGGCTGGCAACTGTTTTCTCGTCCGTCCTGTCGCGACCCTGGACAACAAGCAATCCGCTCTTAAATCGTCGAAGGCGAATAGGCAACTTTAGTTTATCCCACATTTGTGCTGCCTTTTCGAAATCTGCAGGACTGACGAGCTCTACTCCCCCTCTTGATCGGTTGAAGACGGCCCAGAGGTCGACTAATGTCATGATGCCTCCCTCTTTGCGCAGGATCCCACGTGTATCGTCTGTAAGATATTCTGCCAGATTTCTTGAGAGCTCGGATACATAAAGGGATTCCGAGCCAGAACCGAGCATGTCTTTGGTAGTGACCAGACCGAGCGCAGATGCTGATTGCGATGCGATGACGTTTGCCTCAGAACTACCGTTTGGACCAAGATTCGTCTGAGAGGCGAACTGCTCCGCTAACGCGATGACCTCTTTGGCAGACGTCATCAGTGCCTCCAGATCCTCGAAAGCAGTCCCGATCACTGCCTCGTTATTCTTCCTCTGTTCGAGCCCGCGGCGCTCAAGGCCTGCAATACCAACCACCCTTTTGCGATCAGGATCGTCCGGCGTCTGATTTCCGGTCGAAGAGTACCCATCATCAAATGCACCAGATGATGGACGAGGCTTTGGAATTGGTGGAGCACTCTGGAGAAGCCACTTCCGCTGAACGAGAGCATTCTTAAGGCGCTCGAAGAAGATCTTTTCTCCCCCACCTCGAAATGACAGTTTGACGCACTCAAATATTCGGTCTTGAGCTGGTGAGGGGGGTAATGATGGACCAGGGGATTCTGATCGTTCGATCCCTTTTGCCATATCGAGCCTTTTGTCGGTCATGGTGTGTAGGGATGCCCCGCATATCTCACAAACGTTGAGCGAAGCATGGTTTTGGAACGTGCATCGTGGGCATGAAATGTTGCCTTGTCCTGTTGTTCCAACTTGAGCGCTGCTTCCTGCAGTAGCTGCCGTGGCGTAATCAGGTGGGGGGCCGCCATGGGGCTGTCTATTGCTCATAGCCGTTATCGCTGCCTTCACAACATGTACCAGTGGGGGGGTGATGCCACATGCTAGACATGGCGGCAGTGGTGTTCGAGCATTTGCTGTTGCAGGGTCGAAGTTGGAGGGTACTGGGTTCGAAAATGAGCATATAGGACACACCCAAGTTGCACTGGGTGAGGGTGCCGGCGCCGGCGCCGGTGAAGGAGCCAGTGAACGCTGCGGACTTGCTCGCTCGGGGGGGTTCGAGGCAATCGATGTGCCGTGACTTAATTGCTTCAAAGGTTTTGGGAAGAGCGTGATCTTAGCTGAAGACTTGAGAAAGCCAGCCTAATTCCAAGTTTAGATGCAATTGTAGCAGTGACCGGCGCAAACATACATAGAAATCTGGTCGCTCAACATCCTTGAGGTAGATTGCTACCGAGTTCTTTCTCGGCTCGTTATTATCGACATAGCAGACTCGATGCGACGTCAAATAGGCCTGGCCATTCTGATATTGGGGAATCTTGAATTTGCTGTACAGACTTAGCAACACAGTTCCAGATAGATCTATAGAAGATCGTCCGCATACCCCTCATACAGACCCACTGCGTCTTGCACAAACAGAAGGGTCTCCTCCGGCAGGAGGGACGGGCGCAAGGCGGTAGTGAGGTCGAGCTGGTGCAGAAACATTCAGTACATTGGCTGCAAAGGGAGCTTGCATCCTACCGCTGGTGCATGTAATTCAAGGGCAGCAGTCGTGGCACATACCTTTCGAAGCTCGCAGGCACGGCGGCGGCGTCATTTCTTGACCTTAAAGGGCTAGCGTCTTGGCGCGTCCACAGACCGCTGTCTTTCGCCTCACTCGACTTTGACTTCACCTTTTCTCCCTCTCCACCTTCTACACTTACACTACACACCACCAGAGATCACGGCCTCGAGCGACAACATTCTAAGAGTAAGACTAACCCCCCGTTGCTTTGACTGCCTCTCTGCTATCCCCCTCCCCGCCATCTTCTTTTGCGCGTCCCTCCTTTCACCATGTCTCCGACGTGGGCCGCCGTGGCCGCGCAACAGCCCGCCTACAACGCCGTGCCTGCACGCACAACTCTTGCACGACCTCCTCCTCCTCCCGTAAGAAGCCTTTCTTCGATGACCGTAGAATCGTCTTCATCTAATCAGACTATGCAGGCGCCGACTGCTTCAAAGGCTGCGCCAGCGAAAATGATCTGGCCTCCAGAGTTAAAAACCTATGTGCAGCGTGCTCTCGCTGAAGAGTTCCAAGTCCGCGGAGTCACGACAATCGAGGTGAATGAGCAGTTGAAGAAGACCATCGGCTACTTCGCCGAGCGAGCCATGCTCTTCGAGTTGGATTGGGATAACTACCCACTGCCCCAGGACATTATCGTTGCGGAACGCGCAAAGCTTGCAGAACAGGCTGCTGCCAACGCGGCATTTACTAACAACTCATCCTCGCCAACTTCCACAAAGCGCAAGGCACACGACACAGTAGAGTCACAATCGCCGACAAAGACATCAACCCCTCCGTGGCAGAAGACTAACCTCGCGGATCGTGTCACTTTCGGCAATGGACAAAAAGAAAAGCGACCTAAGCAAGACGATGCTACTTCCAGTAAGTCAGACCTGGAAAAGCGCAGGAAGCGTTTCCAACTTGGTACCTCTGGCAAGACGAAGACGACTACTCCCCCGTGGAACACGCAAAACGGCCCTGACTCCGATCTCTCCTCCGGACCCGTTGTTGGCACGAACCAAAATCTCGAGAAGAGTTACTTCCGCTTGACAGCGCCGCCCAAAGCAGAGACCGTACGCCCACAGCCTGTCTTGGAACGAACGCTTGACATGCTTCGCAAGAAATGGAAAGGTGAAGAGAAAAATTACAATTACATCTGTAACCAGTTCAAGTCGTTGCGCCAAGATTTGACTGTTCAGCATATCAAGAATTCCTTCACCGTCAAGGTATACGAAATGCACGCTCGAATCGCATTGGAAAAGGGGGACTTGGGTGAGTATAATCAATGTCAGACGCAATTGCGCGTTCTGTACATGCAAAAGTTGGGCGGACATCCTGCCGAATTCCTGGCGTACAGGATCCTCTACTTTGTATACACATGCAACAAGGCCGACATGAACGACTTATTGGCCGAACTAACAAACGCAGACAAGAACCAAGATGCAGTACGACACGCCCTTGATGTGCGCTCCGCGCTTGCTCTTGGCAACTATCACAAATTCTTCAGACTTTACCTCGAAGCCCCAAACATGGGCGCTTACCTGATGGACATGTTCATCGTGCGTGAGCGCCTTGCAGCTCTCGCTAATATTTCCAGAGCGTACGTTCAATCCCATAATCCCGATTAGTATGTGTTTGCTAATGAGAAACAGTTACATGTCCATTGCACTTCGCTTTCTCACGGATGAGCTGGGTTTCGAGAATGACCGCGAGTGCTGCGCATTCCTCGAGGCTCACAATGCCCAAAACATGATCGAAGAGAAAGTTAACGACAACGGCACCCAGCTTCGCGTGAACTTCAAGGGTGCGGCACCTCACTTTGAGGCCCTCCGTGCTGCAGCATTTTCGAAAGTAGACATTAAAGGTCAGATATGACCGGCCCATCTCGACCTCACGACAGCACCTTAATCTTCTTCGCCCTTGATACCCAATTCACGAATGTCCATTATATTGTCACAAAAATTGTTTTGCACACTGCACTGCGCCCACTTTCTCTCGTCCCTCAGCAGTTTTTCGCGACCCTGGATTTCCTTAAAACGCCGGCTTCCTAGTGTCGCTATGGTTCGTTTCCTCGATGTCAACCGGTCGGAAGCGGGGGACCCGCTTCATGCGATGACGCGCGGAAACTTCTAATCCATCTCTCTCATACGTTTTCTGTTTCGGAATGGTCTTTTCGGTCACAATCACGATTGAAGTGGCGCTAACCTACCATGTTTATTACGTCACTGCTCTATATTCGGACACACAAGATGGATGGGAATTGTAAAATAAAGTTTCTACAACAGCGTACGAACCGTCCTGGCGGGTCTGGTCCGCCCTCGAGGGCTAAGGATCAATGTCGATTTGCGTCGCTTCGGCTCTTGGACACCAACTCTCTACGGAGCAGTCTTGAATCCTCGACCCCAGAGCGGCTCGAAACGTATCCGCTTTTGAACCGCCGGCAGCATTGACAGATTTCTACACGACGTCGAGGCAAGTATTCTATCCGTGAAGTGCCTGGCCAGGCACCGTACAGCGCATATCGAGCGATATTCCCTGCACGTGGCCCATCCCAGGACCTTTAGGCATACACGTCGATGAACAAGAAAGAAATGTAGTTCCGGGTGGTGGACATAGGGCGTTTGCGGTTTTCGATTGCGGGCGGCGGGCATGGCTGCGATGATGACCTTTCACTTTCTTCTTTACCCTCTTACTCTAATCTTTTGGCGCCGCTGGTGGAGGATTCCTTCATACTTTGTGAGGGCGTTTGGGTGGGAGGCCAATAAGCACTGGAGAAGGGAGTTTTCACATCTGATTGGAAGAAATGTCAATTAGCACTGGCAGCCCTTGGGCGGCAATAATACCTAAGCTAGTGAATACAATTGGCTCATGCTTGTTCAATTCAGCTTCCACAATGTGGCACGCGTTGTTTATTCGATTATGTTGTGTCGCTGAACACTTGATTATGTTTATTGATAGCTGATGTATTGTGTGATCGCAGTTAATGGGCTGGCTACTCGCAGTTCAGGTGCGTGGTGTGCGGTTAGTAGCGGTTAGTGGGCGGTTGGCAGGCAGCAAAGGAGGTTCATATCAAACAGACGATAACTTATTGCATGTAACGAACTATCCATCACCCTACTGCAGCCAAAGTTAAAGCGAACGAGCTGGCGACCGTTAGGAGGCCCTGGGGACCAGTCTACCCTATTACCCTTCCTTACCTCCCCTACAGCACTAGTAAACTTACTACTGCTCGTCGGAGGGAGGGAGGTAGAGATGGCTGACGGGAGAGGATCACATCCCCTGTCGCTTTTGAAGAGAAAAGAAAAAAAGTCGATTACTCTACTCTACACCAAATCCGCAACGGGGGGAAGGGGAGAGGAGATGCCGAGGTGGAATATCCGGCAGGAATCCTATGCCCCCCTCCTATGTATGCTATGGTATGGTATGGGGGGTGTGGTGGTCTGGATTGGTAGGGCAGAAAGGAAGAAGGGAGCTAGCTAGCGAGCATTTTGGGCGGGTAGGTTGTCTAGTTGGGAGCATATCTACTTGCCTTGCCTTAGGGAGGTGTACTTAGGGGAGGTACCTACCTATGTAGCTCTAGCTATGTTGTAAAGTATGGGTGAGGGAGTGAGGTAATTAATTGTTGTAGCAGGCATTGGTGTTGGTGTAGTGTAGTTATTGTTCGGTGGGCATGTGCGCGTGTGTAGAGGAGAGGTACGGAGTACTGTGTAGTGTATGTGATGTGTTGATGGTATGGACAGGAGGTCGTAGGGTACTCTGGTGGGTTGAGTGAGTACCTGTATGTACGGGTGCTCTGTCTGACTTTCTGAGGGTGCTCGGAGGAGGTAACAACATGGCGGCGTGTTATTAAACGCCGTGCGTATGTACCCTTCATGTAGGTACGGTACGGTACGGGTACGTACTGTACATGTACGTCCGTTGCCACGCTATGCAGGGAGTCAAGTCCCTCGTAATTCGTAACTAGGAACATAGGAAGGGAGGGAGGGAAAGGAAGGGGAGGGGATGGAAGGGTACTCGTAGGATAGGGCCGAAACACCACGGATGTAATGGAAGAAGGAAAAAGAAAAAAGCCAGGGAAGAGCACGGAAGGGGGTACGGGAAGGTGGGTAAGACAAGGGAAAAAAGAGAAAAGATTGAGAATAATGATCTGATTCTCTGTTGGAAGTTGGGGCAAGAAGGGGAGGTGATTGGGTGGACGATGGTGAGGGCATGAATGTTCAAGCATTTGGAAGCAAGTCCCGCACGGCGGGCAGTAGTAGCGTGTGCCTTTGAAGGGTATTACCTATTGTAGGAGCCCAAAGAACGGCTTCGAGACCATTTGGACTGGGGGTGGAGGAGGGATCGTTGCTCTGCTGGGCGGGGAGGATTGTGATGATGAGTGACTACGATGGTGATGATGCTGCTGATGATGATGGTGGTGGTGATGGTGTTTTAGATCTCCCAGCCCAGCATAGGAGTAGCATGCCATGCATGCCTCCTTCGGTGCCGTGGTGACGGGTACTCGTACAGCCCAGTACAACAGTCGTACTACAGCCATCATCCACTATCCAGTCCAGTGTAATATCTGTCATTCCTTGTTCCGTTCTGGACAAAGTATGACGAAGACTGGCCTGTCCTGGACTCCTGGCCATGGAAGAAGTAGCTTCCGTCATGATTATCCTCCCGTGAGCATTTACAAACGGCACAGCATGGCGTGGCAAGACAATGGTAAGGCAAGGTATGGCATAGATTGACATGGCTCTCTTGTGGCTATGCTATGCGTCTCTTTCATTCTCGATTAGTCGTCTTGTGGAGGAATCGTGTTCATTCCGAAGTCATTATCTACATGGTAGTACATCCAGTGACTGCAACTATCTACTCCATATATTGATATCCATGAGGATGTCTATGGTATGACGTGAGTATGTACGGAGTACTGTGCATGTCCACTACATCATATTACAGATAGTTCTATGTTGGAACTGGTTGTCTTTATTGACATTGTCTCACACGTGCATCTATATATATATATATATATATGTGTGTGTGTGTATGTACAGGTACAAACATACAGGACTACATCTATATATGTTCATCCATCCGTTGGTTGTATATCTGTCGTCATCATCCATCTATCCAGATAGACAATTACTAGACACCTAGGTACGGAGTAGTTAGTCGTAGATATATCCGTTTGTGTCTCGTGTCCAAGAGACACAAAGAAGAGGCCACCATCCATCCCGTCATCCATCATCCATATTGTCTTGTCTTGCCTTGCCTTGCCTCGCCTTGTCTCTTTTTGTGTATTTCTTTTCTTGTCCTGTCCTGTCCACCCACACGGTAAACTCGGTCCTACACCATCCACCCTTCCATTTCTTCCATGCTTCCACACCGTCGCAGCCACAGCCACACACGCGCGGACTTTTGCTCTCTAAGGTTTACGCCTACCCACAATAATTCCTCTTTCTTCCAAGGGCTCTCTCATCTTTCTCCAGGGGTGGGAGCCTGCGAGGGTTTGGTCCCACCGTCACACCCTCGTTCGTTGGCCCAGACTCTCTCTCGCTCTTCTCAGGCCCTGGCGCTGCTCCGTTTTGCGCTTTTCGTTGGGCTGCATGTATTGTCACTGTACCCTACCTAGGCCCTACGAGGTACCTGTATGTACCCGTAGGGAGACGAATACTACTCGTACAACCACCCACGAGTATATCCCAAACAGAGCAGATCATAGCAGAGTACAAGTACAGTACATAGAGTACATACATGCAATAGCAGTATCATCGTAGTTACTTGTTAGTACTCCGTATAGTGTAGTGTAGTGTAGTGTAGCAGTAGTAACTTAGTATTGTGCGAGTATTAGTATCATTACTATCATCATCTACTTGTACCTACCTAACCTTATGGTCTTTCCATCGTCCTCCTCCTCCTCCTTCCTTTACAACTTCCTCCTCCACCTTTTGGCCCAAACCGAACCCCGGCGTTTGCGCCCTTAGCACTTACTTCTCTTACCTTTTCTTCTATTCTGTTCTGTTCACTTCACTTCACTTCACTTCACTACCCTTCACTTTTCCGCTTCACTTCACTTCACTTTCTCACTTCACCACCTCCTTCGTCACTGTTACACTTCACACGCACACGCACCCACACTTCTCGACTTCGCTGTCGCCGTCGCTGTCACTGCCACTGCCACGACCACGACTACAATACGTACAGTACGTTCGCTGGCAAAATAGATCAAACCGGCCAGCCAACCAGTCGACTATCCCCCTCTACTGTCGCCTGTCGCCTCCCCCACTCCTAAAACAACCTCTTCTACTCCGTACTTTCTCTCGTCTTCCTCCCTTCCTCACACCTCACCACTCTCGAGATCGATCGACTTCTCCAGTCTCCACCGATTGCACAACCCTTTTTTCTTTTTGCTTCCGCAAAGATACCATACCTATTATAATAGTCAAACGCCATAAGTCTATAACCCAACACTACTCGCTGCTGGGCACGTCAACAACAATTTCCCAATCTCCACTAGATCATCTGCACTACAAGTACAGGCTCCACAGCTACTACTACTTCGTACCAACGGGCTGGCCACACTCTCCTCCTATCGGTACATACCACCAAACAAATTCCAATTCCACTACCACTACGTGCTACGGGGGGGTGTTACCTACTAAACAGCGACCGACTATTATTGCTGAGACTTTTTCGCTGTTCGCGCGAGCACAATCCCTCCTTCTTCCCACGAGGGCTTCATCTCATTTCATTTCCACCCTGTCGTGTCTGTCCCGTACGGCGTGGTGACTGTGCGCACGCCAATCTGCCGGTTTCCACCCTGGCTGCCCGCACATCTCTTTCGCAATCAAACCCAGGAGCTCGCCTTCCTCGTCACGACTCACGACTGTCTCTGCCTCTGTCTCTGCCTCTTGTCTCTGTTCCTGTGCCTGTCTGCCGCTTGTCGCAGCATCTCCGACTACCATCGCTTCCCGTCTTGTATATCCCCCATAGCAGGACAGCAGTCAATCAGCAAACACAACAAACGCTCGTTTCAACTCCGCATCTCGACAAAGACGGACCAACATGAAGGTACGCCACCACCCGTTGCCACCATTGTCGCGCCATCTTCCGCACCGAGTCAAGTTGATCTCCCCCCATGCTAACATTTCTCCCAGTTCCGTAGATCTATGAAGAATGAGAAGGATAACCGGCCGCATCACATCTCCATCCCCCCAAAGGACGCAATAGCCATCGTGCCTCCCAAGAAGGTCAGTTCAGTTATTCCAACTACCCATACATACGCACACACATCTATCCCGCCCCCAATACAAGGCTGCCGCACTCGTCATCAACACTGTTATTGTGCGCAGCCTCCCTTTCCCTCGCGCGTCCACATGTCCGTCCGTCGCGCGCGACTGTTATCGCTGACCGACGTTCGCTTCTCCTATCTAGGTCATTAAGGCACTCTACGATTACCAACACTCCGACGCCGACCCGTCCTCAGGCTACCTTAGTTTCTCGCAGGGTGATTTCCTCCACGTCGTCGGGCGAGAAAACGACACCGACTGGTACGAGGCGTGTAATCCATTGCACGGCACGAGGGGTCTTGTGCCTGTGACATACTTCGAGCCGGTGGGAAAGACAGTCCGAGACAGCGGTGACTCCACGAAATCCGTCACTCCAAGCCAACCGAGCGCAACGGCCACGCACGACTCGGGCTACGCAGAGCAATCAATAACTAGCCCGAACAACGCAAACGACAACAAGTTTCCCATGCGGATATCAAAGGTTCTGGGCAAGGGCGCAGGCTCAGGCGCCATGGTGTACGGGATTGTCATGTATGACTTCAAGGCAGAACGCCCGGACGAGCTCGAGGCAAAGGAAGGAGAGGCCATAATAGTGATCGCACAATCCAACCCCGAATGGTTCGTCGCAAAGCCCATCACTCGACTTGGTGGCCCCGGTCTGATACCCGTATCCTTCATTGAGATAAGAGATATGACCACGGGAGCAGCTGTGCCCGACGCACACGACGCTGTGCGAAGGGCAGGCGTGCCCAAGGTCGAGGAGTGGAAGAAAATGGCGGCCGACTACAAGAATGGCAGTATACCACTGGGCAAGCTCGAGACCAACTCGCAGCAGACGTTACAGCAGGGCATGGAGCGTATGAGCCTAAGCTCCAAGAGTGGTGCGGGCGGTTATCCCAATGGTGGATTTGCGCAAGGGAATGCGGTGAGTTTTGCCTAATCAGATATTTTCCCTTCACTGCTGACCGGGGTTTTTCTTTGCAGCCTGTCTCTCATTCGCGAAACACATCCCAATACCAGAGCCCACAGTTCCGGGCCTCAGACTCGAATCTGCTGGCACCAATCAAAGCGCAAGTACCCCGCTACTGCTTCGCAGACGATATCTTTTGGTTTATTATCGAATGTCAAATGGAGGATGGTCGCCATTGGGAGCTGCAGCGTTTGTACCAGGATTTTTACGATCTGCAGATTCAGTTGATCGCGACATACCCCGTGGAGGCTGGCACAAGCGGCGCAGGCGAGCGGACGCTGCCATTCATGCCTGGACCGGTCACCTACGTTACGGACAATATCTCCAACGGACGACGGGCCAACCTAGACGAGTACATAAAAAATTTGTTGAAGCTTGGCTCGCACATCACCCACGGCAGCCTTGTCAAGAGCTTTTTCTCGCCGAGGCAGGGCGACTACGAGATCGACCCAGAAGTCATCGCAGCGGAAGAGTACCGCATGTCGCAAACTTCTGGACAGTCTTCCAATCCATCACAGGGCGCCTCGAGACAATCCTCTGCCGACCAGCTCCAACAGGCCACCACTCCCCAAACTCCGTACTCGACAGGATCGAACTTCCCAGGGCACCAGCGCGGACAGTCGCAATCGTACGGTGGACTCAGCGCGCCAGCGCACCAGCACTCGGCCATCTCTTCCACATCGACTAGCACGGGTCTTGGATCTGCGCTTAAGATCAAGGTGTGGTTTGAAGATGACAACTGCGTGGTGATTCGGATGCCGATTAGCCTGAAGTTCCAGGACCTGTACAACAAGCTGGTGGAGCGCCGAGCGCTGGAGAAGCCCGACGACAGGAACGAGGAACTCATGGTCGAGTACCGAGACGAAATTGAGGGGAAGTACTATCCCATCGAGAACGACGAAGACCTCGCGATTGCCGTCGAGAGGAACCCCAAATTGACTCTCACGGTGACGACGGCACGATGAGGGCATTTTGTCTGGTGACGCACTTTGTCACACCGACCCATCCTTTTTCTGCACTTCTTTTGCGGTAATCATGGCGGTGCGATCATTCTGGCACATTCATGACTGATGAGGATTGATTCGTGCGAACAAATTTTCAAGTTCATCTTCTTCTCTTTTATTTTCAATCTTACTGGGTTCAAACATTGTTGGCGAGTGGAGAGGGGTAATGGTATCTTAGGCCCATTTGGCCGCGAGTGGATGCCTCACCTGATATCATCATCTATTTGCAAGCTTTTTTGGATATGTTTGGATTGGCACTTGCACCGGCGTTACAAAATGGGGGGCGAAAGAAGGAGATTGGATTGACTGCAAGGCGTTCGATTGGAGCATATTGGCGAATGGTTCTTGTCCATGTTTTTGTTTCCCTTTATTCCCCTGGATTGCGATTCAAGGTCTGTTTCAATTCTTCTATTGCTGTCCTTTGCTCTACAAGTTATTCATCGGGAACTTCATGGTGGGAAAGGGGCCGCTGGACTCACAGAGGATGGGGACTATGGGAGGTTGGACGGCCGGATGGGATGGATGGACGGGTGGTATACTGCTGGCGATTGCCATGATGTTATTACAGGACACCCAGTGCATTGGTTTGGGAGTCAGGTTGGTAGGCACCGGATCCATTGCACGTCAAGTGTATGTATGCAGATGCATGCATGTACACAGTACCCAGTACACACTACACAGTATACACGGTATATGTCTTGACGACCCAGGCTGGTGTTAGATTGGTTGGTTCTTCGGGGGATCTGTTGCAGCAAGTGGATGATTGCAACAAAGCCCTCACGAAGGAGCAAAGAGAGAAAGAGAAAAGAGAGAGAGAGCAAAATACTTTTTTCTTTTATGGTCATATCATGGTAGATGGCACATTGTCAACACAGAGACTTCATTGTCGTCCCCCCTCCTCCATTTTCATATTTTATTTATTTATTCATTTACATGACGGGATCACTCATACTTGCCCTATTTCTACATGTTGTGCATGATATCGCTCTTGTGTGCCGATCGGTGTTCTTCAATAAGTACTTGTACCGCATAGAGGGGGGTTCATGGAGGACAGGTTAGCTTAAGCGGAGTTGTAAAGCTTGCGGATGAGCTATGCGGAACATGCTGGTCGGAAGCCGTTCGGTAGTGCCTGTTTGCTATTGTTCGTATGTCATTTCTCCGAGTTACTGGTTTTCTCAAGTAATTATTGACTGTATTCTCGTTGTAGTACAGTCATATATAATATACTCCTACGTATCTAGCATAATAGCTTCTAGGCTAGGTAGCGGTACTTAACCTTAGCCAGGTCATGGCTATCATCGGACCCTGTCCCACCTCCTCCGACCATCGGAGTTTACGACTCACCACCATCCACAACTTACGAGAACAGTACTCCGTAGTGTGGAAAGTCAATAACAATACAAACTTCAAAGTACTCCCTAATTAGAGAAAAAAGCTAAGACCGTCAGTAGCCATCATCCCCATTCCCCAGATCTCGCAATTGAACCGCCTCGTCTCAGGCGTCTAGGATGACCTCGTGGCTTGCAGCTGTTTGCTTTTCCATTACGGCATATTCTGGCGCAAGTTGCCTGGAACTGTTACGTGCTATGCTTTAGTAGGCAGCTTTTGTGGTCCACAAGGGGGGGGGGGTGTCGATTATGGGGTTTAAGAATGGTGGGGAAGTTTGTTTTGTGTTTTGTTTCTTTTTGCTCCGTGAGAAACCGGGAGAACTAGGGAGAGACTAGGGAAGGATTTACACGGGCTAAATATGAGTTTATACTTTGTAGTTGGTTTGTACGAGTAACTTGATAGTTGGTTGGTGATGATGAGGGATGAGGTATATTGTGAACGCGCCTTACATCTTGTTCCCCTGATTGGACGATAAAGCTACCCAATGCAGTTTAGCGCCACGAGATTGTGCGGAAGTCGCTGAACATTTCGTCAGCCGCCGTTGCGAAACAGAAAACAGAAATCGGAATCCCCAAATTCCCCAATTCCCCATTCTTCCCATTCTCTCTCTAATCCTACCCGTCCCTTTTCCTTTCCCTTTAGCTGGGGTCAGTCATCGTCGGCCTGATCCGATTAAATCCCTCAGGCGATTCAGCATACTACTCCGTACATACAAATATAAATACAATCCATCGTTCCTCCTCCTGCCCTACCCCGGATCATATACCACCGAGCATCATCTATCTTTAGCTTTCCCTTTTTCTCGGATCAGGTCCCGTTGACCGCCTGTCGTTAAATCGACCCATAATTTTACAATTCCGACGTCTCCAATCTTTTGACCTTACCTTCAACCCAGGCTTAGGAACAGTAAAACATCCCATCGCTCGGGATTCATACATGCAGCACAGGAAGAGAGAGTTTGTCAATCACAGGAGGAAGCTGCAATGGGGGAAAAGAGACCAGCAGCGAACGAGCAGATCCAGCCCTTGAACGTCTTCGAATCCTCACCACTACCACCTCCCACAACAACACAGCAAGCTCTCTTGAGCTCTTCCACCATACACAGCGTCACCGAGAGCGCTGCCTCCTTCTCACCGCCCTCGATCCCGACCCCAAACCTCGCTACTCTCCCAAAACCCTCAATGGCGGTCGCTGCGCCCGACGCGTCCAAGGACAGCACAATGGGCAAGACTTGGAATACGAACAAGCTCGGACTGAGGGTCGGAGTCGACGTCGTTTCGGCGTGTTCCGCTGCGGCGCTCGTTGCGCCCATCATCACGGCCATTGATAAGGGAATCATGGAGAATGCCAGCGGGAGGAACACCCTGGGGCAGAGCTTGAAGTCGAGCGCGATGGAGATATTGACGAAGCCCACCGCCTTTTTTGGCAGGAGGGCTTTCTTTCTCATCTTTGTATGTGGTCATTGGGTATCGTTATCTTCAGGATCTGCCACTGACTTTATAACCCATTCGTAGACTGTATACTCCGGTACCTACATCACCGCGAACAGCATCGACACCGTGAACTCGACGATAAGCAATAAGCCGATCCACACCACCACGGCAGGAGCGTCCAAGTTCTTCGCGACATCGGGCTCGAACATCGGCCTCGGATTATACAAGGACAGCCAGTTCACCAAGATGTTCGGCTCTGCCTCGTCTGCAGGGTCCCGTCCCGTGCCCCTCCCGACCTTCGCACTCTTCACCATCCGCGACTGTCTGACCGTCTTCGCATCCTTCAATCTTCCCACCGTGCTCTCACCGCACTTCGACGCACGCATGTCCTCCGAAGTAAAGAAATACGTCGGCGCGACATCCGCCGCCCAGTTCTTCGCCCCGGCCGCCGTCCAGTTGATCTCCACACCTCTGCACCTCTGGGGTTTGGATCTGTACAACAGGCCTGGCGTAAGTCTTCCCGAGAGGTTCACCAGGGTCAGCAGGGATTGGCTGAAGAGCGCGTTCGCTAGGATGGGCAGGATCGTACCGGCCTTTGGCGTGGGAGGCGTCGTCAATACGAAGGTTAGGAGAAATCTGATGGGCAAACTTGAATCGTAATTATTGTTGTAACGATATGGACGATGACGAAGATCACGAATCTTCAGAGAGAGAGAGAGAGAGAGAGGAAGGAACGGAGGCTTCCTTTCTTGACAACAGTACATATATGCATATGTGTACATATATCCCCAAAACATTTTCCGGTCCATATTACACACGGACACGGGGTCGTCGTTACCTGGCAACGACCAAAACGACAACTACTACTCCACTCTGGTTATCTATCACGGCATGGTTTCAACGGTGCATCTCGGCGTCAATTGTTTTCTTCTTGGTTTTCTCTTCTTCCACATCACGGCAGAACCCCCTTTTTGCAACGCAGTACAAAGTTTCTCCTTTTTTTGGCATGGAAATACGCTTTCTTCACCGCGCGCGCATTCGTCATCTTTGGATCTGCTTTTGTCCTGTTTGCAAATTTCCTTCCTTGACAGGAGGGCGAATGCAATTGGTTACTTTTCTACGTTGACATGTATTATTTCATCATTTTCACCTTTACGAGTTCATATATATTCAGGGGGGGCACATACATACAAGGCTTATATAGATAGAGATGCATATATTGCGAATCGATATGACTTGGAAAGAACAGAGCCAGAGCCAACCCCCCGTCGTTTGTGTGTGACGTCTAGCTGTCTGATCAATGCTACTTGAAACTAACGAAATGGCCTAGATGGGGGTGGGTTGGCCGTTCGTGAGCCGTGACATTCTACGTACTTTTGCGGTGTAAGTGTGGGTGTAGTGTTACCTGGTATAGATGATCGTAAGTATTTTCTGCCAATCAATTCTACGGGGAGATTCAAGTTGCTTTCGTCGGATGGCAGAGGAGAAGAGGCATATACATGTATATGTATATTGGTGTGCCTATTCGTGATATAGTTCCACAAAGCATCAGAGATGCAGGTGAACCAGAATTGCATAATCAAGGTACATATGTAAAGCTACGCATGTGTAAATATATAAATCATTCTGCCTGACTAAGAAAGTGTCTGTATGAATGTCACATGTGGTTTAATCGATTATGCGTCATCGTATCGTGAGATAATATCTGATATCATATAGATAGAGAGTGGGGGAGGAAAAGAACATGAGAAGAGCTGAACAGTAAGCAAGTGACAAAGTGATATAATCAACGACAGTTGTACTGTTGAAATTGAAACCACATAGACGCCGAATGTTCCCTTAGTATACGCCCGAAAATACGCAGTCTGGAGAATGATGTCGAGGGATATGATGATGAAGTAGGTCGGATACAGATGGATAGATAGGATGCCATCGACTTGGGAAAGTACGGATCAAGGACGGACGGATGGGCAGCTTCAGTTACCGAACAACCTCACCAATGACACCAGCGACATAGCAAGCTGCGCCGGCGAGGATGGCCGTCTTGAACACACTTGCTACGCCGCCGCCCCTGCCTATGTTCTTATTTCCTTTGGTACTCGTGCTCTCTTCTTTTGCACGTTGATTGCTGCTACTCTTCTTTCCTTTAGAGCTTGTGCTTTCCTTCTCCGTTGCTTTCTCGGTTTCCTCTGCACGGTTGCTACTACCACTATCCTCCTTCCAGGCCATCTCTATCTGCTTCTCAGCCTCGTGTGCGGCTTTCAGCCTCTGGAACTCGATCATTTCGTCCCGAACCTCCTCCCGTAAGTCATCCACGCCCACGAAACCCGTCGGGCTCAAGCGAGACGTCCCATCTACGGGATTGATCTTCTGCCTGCCCTCGCTGCCAGCGTCGACGCTTTCTGATGACGACGACGAAGACGATGGTGGGCTGATCTTGGTGGTCTTGATCTCGGAACCGGCATCTGTAGATGCGGTGGTGGTGCTCGAGGAGGTCTCGGCAGGAGTGCGGAAGATGAGGAGGTTCGATTTGGCGGATGTGATTTCGAAGCGGGTGGTAGGGAGGTGCGGGAGGAACTTGATGGGTGTGTCTAGGATGGCGAGCGCTTCGGGAACGGATATCGTCTCGGGGGACGATACGGGTGTGCTGATCGTTGTCGTGATGGAGAGCTCGTCATTTGAGGGGTCGTGGGCAATGATGGTGTACGAGTAACTCGTTGGGACGGTCTTTTGGGTAGTGTCTTGGTGGTTCTCAAAGATTGGCGTGGCGGTAGTGCTTTCCGTGGCCGATTTGATGACTTCTTGTGAAGTGGCCGCAGAGCTTCCTGGTTCGGCAGTCACGCTGGCCTCAGTGTGTTCAGTGACCTCGATGTCCTGCGCGGTTGCCTCAATCTCTTTCTGGGTCGGTGGGGAACTATCTGCCTTGCTTTCCGTCGTAATATTTCTAGCCATGTTCGACGTGGGATTGACTGCGTCCGTATCGCAAGATTCTACTGCTTGTTTGATCAAAGGATCATCCTGCACCTGTTCGGGTGCTTCGAATTCAACACTCTTTTCCTGTAGGCCTGGTGTTTGACGATGTTCCGTGGTAATTGGACCATAGTTGTCCTCATATGCGTCCTTAATTTCCTTCACGAGCTTCTGGTCTTCTACCGACTGCCTCTTCGTCTTTGCCTCAATGGCCCCTGGAGCAAATTGGTCGTCGACTTCTTTGCCCAGCCTATCTAGTTGAATACTAAAAGGTCTAAAGACACTATGGGCTAGAGGCTTCACCTCATCATGTGAAGTGTTCGTTGTGGGCTCTGGACCTCTTGCGTACCCGTCGTCAGATAGACCTTGCATGGCAGCCTTTTGAGCTTCAATTTCTTGCTCGAGTTTTTGCCCGGCGGGAATGCTCCACGTAGTTGTAGACTGGCTTTCTGCATGCGATGCTGGTATTGATGTATAAGTCGCCTGCTCAGTGCGTGTGCCTTCCGCGACTGCAATCGGCACAACATCAACGATTTGCATGATACGTTCCACGAGCCTCAACAACGCAGATTGGATGTCCTGCAAAGCAAGTAGCTGATGTCCGACGTTCCAAAATTGCCTCTTAGCAGCATCTTCCGGTGACTTTTCCAACCGCTGATGAAGGTTGAACACCAATCTTCGCGTTAACTTTGTGTTCTTTTGCAAGGTCTGGAATGCGTGTCGGAGATTGTTCTTTGCAGAGTACGACAATCCGTTCTTTTCGATATTCTCGATGGCTTTAATCGCCTTGTCAAACTCATGGTCTGTCTTTTGCAGACCCACGCGAAGCTGCAATGTCTTCAAACTATCGGCTTGCGCTTTGGCATCGTCGGAACCAGATCTGCTCCAGAGCTTTGGGCTGACACTGTAACAAGCCATGGTTTCGCATGCCTTGAGTCTTTGGAGTAACGGCTTGGTGGCGGGAAAGTCCGTTTCTAGATCTGGTCCCACCAGTTCCATGGCTGCACCGCCCGCCCTGACTGCATTCTTGATGCTCTTCATTTGGAGATCCGAAGCAAAGAGTGATTTCTCTGTAACGGGATCCTGCCAAAAGTGTTTGACAAAGGCATCCCCGCCGCTCTGTAACCATTTCGTCATCCGATCTATGCTAGATTCTAGTGCAGGCTCTGTTGGCTCTGGTGTTGAAGCGATATGCTGTGCTGGTGCAGATGCATCGGCGTTGATAGACTGTAGTTCGGGTCTGTTCTTGTTCTTCTCGTTGAGCTCCCTCGTTGTTCGTCGGATAAGTTGGTCATTGACGATCTTCGACTCGACCATGGAATCGAGAACAGCGTCATTCTCGCTCGCTCTCTTATAGTGCTGTTCTAGCTGATCCCTTGACTGATTGGAAAGGTTATTCTTCTTACGGCCCATGGCGGCTCGGATATCAGAAGCTGTAAGGAAGTCAATGTCATCCTTTGGCAGTTGTTCCAAAATCTTGTCAGTAGATCTGCTGCTCCTTGGCTCTTTCACCCCCTCTTCGGCTTGGGCAGGGCTTTCATTTCTGCTATACCAAGTCTGTACAGCCGGATCGCCTTTGAGAGCAGGCTCTGTCCGACTGCCCCACGTTTGGTCGCTCTTCCCCATATCTTCCTTGGGGTCTCTCGCTTCGGCCATCTCTTGCGGAGGCCACATGCCTCGTTTTACACCCCAGAATCTCTCCGTCGAGGAATACTCCTCGGGGTTAGGAGCCGATGTCTGGTCCTTGAGTTTGGCGTCCTTGTAACCCTGCTCCTTGGGCGGGTTCATGGCTGATCGCCTGTCTAAAGACGTGTTCCGCCACTCGTTGCCTCCGCTATCCATTTTGGGTGGCTCGGCAAAGAATTCCTTGATGAAAGCACTCTCTCTAGAGGAAGCTTCACTTGCACCGATATCGTCTCCTGATCTTTCTTCCGCACTGAGGCTGTCCTTGTGAGGAGGTTGCCTGGGCTTGGGCGCTCGAGAGATCCACTCAGGTCCCTGGTCATTGTATACCTCCTTTCTCGGTGTATATGTGTCAGGCCCAACCGCAGAGGTCGATGTAAATTCTGGAGGGCGTCGGGGGTCAGAAGGAGAGACGACACAAGTATCATAGTCGGGTTTCTTGGTAGGAGCACGTTTGTAGGATGGTTCCGAAAAGATCGACTCGCGAACTCTGTAGGGATCTATGGTCTCTGGATTCGACCTCGGGGCATTCGCATCAGTTGTCGCCCGCGATCGCGCCGTTGATGAAGTAGAATTCGACGCCCGATCTTGAATGTATGTGTCAGTCCGTTACCAATTCTTGATATTCTAATTCAAACTTACAGTGTCCGTCATCTGACGTGCCCGCTTCGCTCCGGTTTGATCTACTTGCAGTTGCCCTCCTCCCGGCATCTTCGCCCAACTCCTCAAGGTCCTTCCAAGCCCATTGTGGAAACACCTTCCTTACGAATTCAGCATCCCAACCCTTTGCTCCGTAACCCCTCAGCATCCTGTTGCTTCGTCCGAAGAGGAACTCATACGGATGTTCTTCGAATAGCTTCTTGAAGCTCTTCATGCGGTCTTCGTGGGCGGACTCGTGGGTAGATTTGGTGAAGGAGGAGTTATTGTGTAAGTCTGAGTAGTTGTTGGAGACATTTCTGTGACCTTTCAACCAGAAGGATGGGGGAGTTGTTGCGTGGAAGTTGCGGCAATGAAGTTTGGACGATTTGGTGGCGGCGCGGCGAGGGTGAGCGTAACGGTGGAGGGGTGACTTGCACCAACGGGAAGAAGACATCCTGCTCGGCAATTCAGGGGATACCTGTTTATGATTATGGACGACGGAATACTGGCTGTAGAGCTCTTTATCGTGTCGACTCGAGGTGGCGCCGAAGTTATGGCGGTTAAGTACTCAGCCTACATGCAAAGCAAACTGAGAAAGATAAGAAAGCTTGGATACAGGCGTAATACAGATGTACAGATGTTGCAGATGTTGACAGCTTTCTCGGAAGTGTTATAATCGACCGATCAGTGATGAGGATGGGTAACGCGAAGTATATTGGGGTGTGACGCTGTTCGGAGATAACGAGACGGGGGTCCGAAGTAGAGCTACATGTGCATGTACTGGAGGTAGCTACCTAGCTAGTTGACTCGATGGTAGCCCTACAAAGTGCAGGCGAAGTATTGAAGTAATGTTCAAGCTGTAAGGAACAGAAGCAAGGAAATAGGGTATGATAGTGATGAAGGGGTAGGTTTGTGAGGTCGAGATGAATGGCGAGCTCCATGATGTTAGATAGATATATGATCCCATGACTTAGCCTTGCCCGCCATGGACCCTCTCCGCACACACCCCCGCATTACTGATTTTCATTATCTTCAACATCATCATAATCAGCCGCATTGACGATATTCATTGAAACAAACAGCATCAAGCTATACAAACATCGCATCGTTGTACTGTTAGAGCCGTCGAATGTGAATGCAATCAGCTCCTGTGGATCCCTCCGGACCGCATCCCGCGCGGGGCAGCTTCCTCTCTAACCGTTTCGGTAATAGCTCATGTCTCCTCAAAGAGCATCTGCATGCAAGCTACGGAGAACTGAGTACATACTCGACTGTGGCCCTGAATGCCCCCATATTGCTGCCATGTAACCACAGGAAACGCTTTAGAGTTTCAAAGATATCACGTCACTCGAGAAGCTGTCATTACATCCATGAATCACACGCTGGGTTATCAATGGAGACGCTGCTTCTGCAGTGAGCGATATTGTTTGTATCCACCGTGGTACGAGTAGCATGATCGCCTTGCATTGAGCCTCACGCGCTTCAGCTCTGCTACTTCTGCTGTGCTCCTGTGTTTGCTTTGCTCGTACGATCCCGTGCTAGATTGACGTAGGCCTCTTACACCCGCTCGGGCAATCAACAGACATAGAGAAGAAGAACGTAGTACAGCATTGCGGCCCGATGCACGCTTGATTGCTCAGTCAGGAAGCAAAGCAGAATAGATAGAGATAGTGCTATACGCACGACGCAACATATCTACAAATTTGGTCCTTCGATTCGAATCATGGCGCCAGATGATGAGCGACCCACTCTAGAAAACCTAGAGAGTTAAATGCCTGGGTGGGGTTCTCTATCAGAGGACGCCACGGGGAAGTCAGAACAACCCCTTCACAAGCGTCTCCACAGCGTTGTACAGGTTGCCTTCTTCCTGTCCGGTCGCCCTCTTGGTGATCACGGGGATCTGATCCTGACCAACCTTATAGTTCCTCAGATCTTGGTCTAGCCCGAGATCCTTGACTAGCTTTAGTATCCTCTCTCCAACATTCACTGCATCCTTCCTATCGTCTCGACTCCTGCTCTCGCCGAGGAAAGGTAATAAACGTGCGACCTGTTCCGCAGCCGCTGGATCCTCGGCCTTGAGCTTGACAACATGCCCGAGCGTAAGACAAGAGGTGATACCGTGGGGGATCCCGTACGGCGACCCGAGCGCGTATCCCAATGCATGGCTCAAACCTAATCCGCCTTTGATGTTGGTCCCAAGGAAGCCCAAGCTCGCGAACGCTGCGAGTTGAAGCTTGGTGATAGTGTCTTCGTCCCTCGGATCCGCTTTATACTTTGGAAGGTTCTCAAATAGACTGGCTGCAGATTGTAGGGTCAACCACCTGGCAGGTGCTTCCGTCGCCGTTGGGTGATATAGCAGCTCGATTGCATGGTCTAGCGCTCTCATCCCCGTGCTCGTCCACAGCCTCTGAGGGGTCTCGAGCGCGAACTTGGAATCGTATATCACGACGTGCGGGACCAATTCCTTGCCACGGACACCTGTCTTCACGCCATTCGACTCCGTGTAACCAGCCATCATGGTGCACTCGCTCGCGCTTAGCGTTGTCGGTATGGCGATGTGGTACAACCACTTCCCTGTCTGCTCATGCAGCCGATAGCTTATAGCTTTTGCGGAATCGATCGGGCTGCCTCCGCCAATGCTCACAACGGTGTCCACGCTCGAGTCCCCCTCGACTATCTTCGTCGCTTCGTCCAGTTGGGCCACGGGTGCATGCTCACCAATCTTGGAGAATGTGCCAGCGTGCTTGGATCCTAGTAATGATTCGACGTCCTTCACAAGCTGTGTCTTGGTCGCAAGTGAGTTGCCAGTGATGATGAATGCTTTAGAATTAGGAGTAGGCAGGCTTTGGGCCAGGTGACCCTTGACGGACCCGCTGCCATAGTAAAGCTTCTGTAGCTGAGTGGGTTGCCATAACCCTGAAAGCGGGTGATTCGTCGACTCCGTCATGCTGTGTATGCTCTTTGACCTGTAGGTAACTCTATTTGATGTATTAAGTTCCAAGAATGGTAACCGGGTCGTGCTTGAGATCGGATTAAACAAGGTATGCCGACGTCTGCTGATGTACGTGAGCTGTTTGGGACATCTGCGGGGAAATAATGCTCTGCTATTCAAAGGACAGTGCCACAAACGTGGAATTGGAGGCATCAGCTATTTATCGAGGTAAGCTTGAGTACGAAATATCGATGCACCGAGGTTAGTTGGGACATTTCCGATGCACGATTAGAGAACGTGAGGAATACTGGGTGACGTAACCAATCTGGGGTGGGGGCGCGGAATTGCAGCGCACCATCACTTTTGAGAATTCGAGCAAAGACACTGGTTCTACCAATGGAAGCAGATGGCATATACTACCACAGCCTTAAGAATATATTTATTGCTTTCGTTTGCAGTAAGAATGCTCTTGAAGTAAGAGAGACATGACCGACACCGTTGAGGGTATCGGTCGGGTATCATGATGAATTATGTCCGCCAATTGTATGTCCGTTTTTTTTCTGTTACCTGCCGTCGTATCATTATGGTCGTCAGGTTGAATAGACGCCTCTCACATGCAATTAGACAAGCTTTTATGCCCAAACCCTTTAAAAGGAAAAGAAAAAACGCCGTGGAAGGAGATCCTGAGATGATGGGAAGAGAAGGTACTGTTGAGAGTAGAAAGCCGCCCCGAGATATATTTGTAATGTTCTTTACCAAATATGGGGTGCCAGAAGGCTCGGTCTTCTATGTTGAATTGCAAGAGCGTGTATGGCGATGTTTCCTAATTCGCGAGGTTAAGGCCGTTCTGGAGTGCGGATCGTGCAGCATCAACAGCGTTCCCCAGGATCGATTTCTCGCCATCCTGGGCAGAGGTGCCGTTGCTGACTCCATTTGATCCGGAGTCGCTGTTAGTGTGGCCGACTGGGTGGAGTGGCTTCTCCATATCTTGTACCTGGAGACCGTCGAAGAGCGGGAAAATTCCATGCTTGACATGGAAATCGTTATTCACTAGAGCGCATCTGTCAGAAATGAAATCTTGAGGTTAATTGCGTCGAACTCACCAATGTTGATCAACCACCACGTATCCATGAGATCCTCAATAACATATCGAGCAGGGCTCACTGATGAGTGGCAGTTCGCCCAGTCCTGTCCAAGTCGATAGAACTCATCTTTCCATGCGAGGAAACTGACAGTTTCAACAATGGTTGGCTGTACAATCTCCTTTCCGGGGAAGACACCCCAGGTGACAGCATTCGGGCCATCGCCAGGCGCATTGGTCTTTAGATCGCCCTCCTTGTTTACCGCGTAGTAGGTCATATCTGGATCACGCTCAATCCTTGTGATGACCTCGGCAATATGTTCTGGGGACACAAGTACTTCGAGGTAAGCCTTCTGGTACACATAACCATTTCGCGGTCCCCAACCAAAGACAGAATCGGATGACTTGGCTCCGTCAACTGCAGGCTGCGAATTGATGGTAAGGAAACCTCGTCGGTTCAGCTTGATGAGGTCTTGTTCGATACTCTCAGCCTCTTTCGAGATAGCTTGTTCACTCCAAGGCAGAGATTCGAGGTCACCACTCATATAGCGGACGAACAGATCCGATATGTCCTTGATTGATGCTGGGGTACCCCAGAGTTTGATGTTTTGCTCGTTTGTTCCCTTCAAACCAATGCCATAGGAGTCAAGCTCACCAAAAGCAGGAGACCTCGCGTCACCCCAACGGCCATTGGGGAATTCGTCCCAATCTTGAGTGCGAGCAACGTAGGAGCGATTGCGATTGCGCCAGAAGATGGGTCGTACGTTTTCGTCGCGACGGTTGAGACCAAGAGATGGTCTCCAGGGTAGTGGCTTCTCGAGTGGGCTTTCAACATCGGGAAGGATTTCCAGCTCTTCGAGGACCATGCGCGTCGCCTGGGCAAGATTCATGGTGTAGAAGTGCAAGTGTGTAATTCCCGCATTGATCAATCTCCGACACATATCAGCGACCAGATCTTTTCCAACTTCACGAACCTCCACATCGTCGTTCTTGACAGGCTCCAGCGCCTTCGTCCATTCGTCAGGTACATTGCACTTGGTCCAATTGGCTCTACGCAGGAAGGCAGCATATGTGTGAATAGGCATGATACCCGGAATGATCGGAATATCGATACCCTTCGCACGTACTTTTTCGACCCAGGAAAGGAAAATGTCCGTATCGTAGAACATCTGGGTGACGATGAAAGTAGCACCGGCATCAACCTTCTCTTTCAAATGGTCGATCAGTAAATCGACATCCGCGTTATCCTCACTGCCCTCAGAGTAACCTGCCACGCCAATGTCGAAGTGGTTGCCGTACTTGTCTCGGATGTACTTGACGAGGTCCTTGGCATAACGAAAGCCACCAGCAGTAGCCTCCCACTTCTCCTTCTCTCGAGGTGGATCTCCACGCAAGGCCAAAATGTTGGTACAGCCGGAGTTGTAGGCCTCTTTCAGGGCTTCATCGAGCTTCGAGCGTTCCATGTCGGTGCATGTAAGGTGCATGCATGTTTCGAGGCCGTATACAGACTGGGCTACTTTGACCATTTCGCAGGTGAGGTGGGATAGGCGGCCGCCTGCGCCCCATGTAACGTCGATGAATTGAGGACCAAGGCCATGCATGCGGTCCATGCGGTCGTAGAGGTTTTGTACACCCTAGGCAAACTTGTTAGCTACAACCATACGGAAGAGAAGACGGGGAACATACCTGGGCAGTCTTCGGGGGGAAGAATTCAAAGGAAAACGTGGGTTTTCCTTCCGCCCTGGCCTGTAAAAGTTTCTGGGAGATGTGCATGATGAATGGCAGGTGTATGAAAGGAATAAAGAAAGAGGTTCAGGCAAAAGGAGAATCGGTACGTCGCAACGTTTCTAGAAGAGATTAGCAAATGCACACCCACTTCTCCCACGAATTCAGAGGAGAAGAAAGGAATAGAATATTGAGAGTCGTAAAAATCGAGGGGAGACAAGGGGGTTTACCAGGATGTTTTAACAGCTCACCGCAGCACCCCGCGTTCTGCAAGAATGTCACCGCTGCCGACTATCCAAAGTAGCGTTTGCGGGCCCAGCGATCCGCGAGCTGTCGCTGCATGTACCGCAGTGGTAAAAATGTAAGTGTGAGTGTATGTGGCAATTAGGTAGAAAGATCTCTCCGGAAGGATTGGACAGGTAGTCTGTTGTTTGGGGCGGAGGACTGACTGTTTTGCGGAGAAAGGTTTTTGTGGTGGTCGGTGGTTCGGAGCACAATCGGAACGCCCCGCCAAGAAGAAATCTGTTTGTACGAGTTGGTGGCACCGGTGGGCAGGAAAAGGGCCTACACTTCGAATTCAAACCTAGATTGAATGAAGTAAACCAATCGAACACTGGGACTGACATTGAAAGATGGGTTTTCATACGTCATGGTACGCTACTTTGTTCCAGTAATGCAACTTAATTCGACCCTGGATAGGTAGATATTCCATGTGACATCAACGGCAATCTCTGAATGTAAGTATCCTTACATATGTAATGGCAGATGCTATGTCACTGAGAATACAATGGTTAGCAAAATGAACATACAGAGGTTTTATGTAGCCATATGTTTATTTTTATTCTATGATTGAACACAATTACCAAATACCAAGAGCTTCCCCCGGGCTGTACGTCAAAGCTCACTTACCCGTTCCCCGGTTTCCCCCATGTGGTAATCCCCAGCCCACGTCTTGTTCAACCCTCTCTTAACACCCATGTGCTCAATTGTCCTTCGGACCTGCTCAGGTTCAACCATGGGAGAATTAGAAATAAGTTCAATCCCCCTTTGAAAGCGAAATCACTTAATCCAGGCACATCGCACTTCTTTCATCCCAAATACCCCCAACGTCTCCGCCATGCCTCCCCTTCCTCGACCCCGCCGCATCGTCGGCGTAAGTCTGAAGATGTACTTCGACCTCCAAAACACCCTCTCCTACGTCCGCGGCGTCCACCAGCTCGACGGCGATGCTTGGAATGCTCGCGTAGATCTCTTCGTCATCCCAGACTTCGTCACACTCATGGAAACAGCCCGGATCCTCGAATCATCGCACGTCATGGTTGGAGCACAAGACACTTTCTGGGAAGACAAGGGCGCGTACACTGGCGAGGTCTCTCCTACAGTGATAGCGCAGGCCGGCGCGAGGATTGTAGAGATTGGCCATGCGGAGCGGAGAGCGCACTTTGGCGAGACGGACGAATGGGTTGCGAAGAAGGCAGGCGCCGCTGCCAGGAATGGCCTGATACCCTTGGTGTGCATAGGAGAGAAAACGCATCACAGCATCGCGTCAGCCGCAGTGGGAGCAGCGGTGGAAGAGTGCAAACCACAGGTAACCTCTGTACTAGCAGCGGTACCGGACGATGTTGAGGTTATCCTCGCATATGAACCAGTTTGGGCAATTGGTGCTGCTCAGCCAGCCGACCCCGATCATGTCGTCAATGTCACAAAAGAGCTGAGGAAGCTGGCTTCAAACCGAAGCGGTGTCACAAGAATCGTCTACGGCGGAAGTGCTGGACCAGGTACATTCGCAAAGATCTCAGAAGGTGTCGACGGCCTCTTCCTCGGCCGCTTCGCCCACGACATACATAATTTGAAGAAGGTTATCGAGGAGGTGGGTGCATAAGAACATGTAGTATATGAATAGCATATAATTTTCCAAGTGGGTAACTCCTTATTGGCGCAGGGAGCAGAAGGCACACGCGGGGAATTTGCCCTTATAGCCGATATGATGATATATATATAAGTGATGAATACGCTCCGTCTGTTCGATGAGTCTATTATTTTCGACGAGGACTATAGCCCTATCGTAATCATTGCTAAAAGGCGTAAAATCTCTATATGACATTATTAGAACTTAGGTAGTTTCGATATCGGACAAGAAGCACTTACATATCGGAACCAAAGGCAAAGCAATAAGTTTCCCTCATCCTTGCCCATCGTGAAGACGCGTGATGTTTTATCAGCCTCCGTAGATCTATATAAGAAGACTTTGGTTGTTAAAGTAAGGAAGGTAGATGCATGCCTAGATATCAAGGAGGATTAAGACCCACTAGTTTCGTGTTTTTTGGTTCGTTATGTAGTGTATTTATTGAATTTCAATAAAAGCAAGGAATAGTCTTCAAAAATTTGAGGCAATTGTCATTCGAGTCAATGTACCAGTTCAGTTGTCGTCTGTCGATTGATAAACAATATGTAGCAAAGGATTTACTATATCCTTGCTCACTATGAACAACACTTAAACAAAGCAGAATGGCTTCCTGTGTAACGGAAGTGGATGTATATTGTTGTGCCTGAATCTTCTGTTACTCTTTCCTAATGTTATAGCTATCACATTAAAGAATTAGTGCGCGTTTCATCGGATAAAATTGTTTTCTTTTAAATGGGTTGTACTATTTAAATATGATGTGCGAGAAGAATGCCCAAGCACCATGAGTCTGCGATATCAAACAAACTTCCGGAGAATAGTTCTAGCTGCCCCGATTCGTGTCAAATAGCAAGGGTTCTCTATGGTTATTACATTATCCGTTACCTTGAGACGCCTTCTGGTGTATAGGTTTGACAGTATGTAAGAGTTGCCTTTGACTTTTGTGACAACGATTATAGGCTGGCTACACAAGTGTCTGATCATACGTGATAAGATCATTAACTCTTGTTAATGAAATTGATCCTTAGAAATGAGGATGTACTATTCCCACTCATGTCATCTCAGTTGTCACTTCAAGGTCAAATGGCGAAGATACGCCTGCCATGCGGTGGAATTCTCGGGAGCAAGTATCTAGATAGATTGCAGCGCTCAGATACCAACAATCACGGCTCCAACTTCGAATAAAGAGCCAATTGGTCATTGTAGCAATGCTCTCCAAGCCGCCTGACATACTGGAGGTGAGCCATACACTATAATTGCTTGTAGCTTGCCATTCCTTGTGCATGATGCGTTTGAGTTCAAATAAACCAACCATCTCCATCGGTAGTACTTACCGATGGAACCCTGACCGGATATTTAATTGGTCATAAAAGAATGTACCCACAGCGAAGGGATAGAATGAACACCCAGTTTGGCACCAGTATTCAACTAATGCGTTCCTTACCGCAGCATCCTGGGAAGGATCAGAAGCTAAATGTGCCAGACTGAATATTGATCAGCACTGCATGTTTTACACACATGTTTACTGGAATCACTCAGCACCTAGACTTAATGGTTACACAGTCTAATAGAAAAGAAGTTAAGCCATTCTCGTTGGGTTATGTAGGTGTGGCCCTGATTTGCATCTCCAACAGTTGAATACAAAGTATGCGCCATAGTTTCGACCATACAAATTTGCGTATATAACGGTCCACAGTGATAATACACTATTCTCATTTGTATTACTCTCTTCAGTAAGTTACCTACGCGATAGATTCCGGGGGAAAGGCTGTACTTCTAGTTTATTGTAATTTAAACTATAAATCAACACAACTATATCCTGATCTATTATCAGTCTTAGAATGCTCCAACTCTCGCATAATTCCTCCATCAATAGAAACATCACTGATACGTCTCCAAATACTTAAAAACTATCTTCCTCTCCAGAAAGTCAGTAGAGTCTGAGTTAGCAGTGTTGTTGGAAATATGAGCCGCGTGAGGTGAAGAGCTACAAGTACACAATCTGCACGCAAGCACCACCCATTTTCACCATCTTGATTGACATACATAATTTGTTGTATAATTGTTATGATCCATTTACTGGAACCTAGAGTAAATGTTGTCAAGTCTTACATGGAAAGTCAGGTTCGTTCTCTAGTGTTGCCATGAACGTGATAACACAGGAGATCCGTCAAGCTCACGACAGGAAAGAAAAGGAACCAAGTTGAATATTTTTTTCGAAGGGTATATCAAGGGATGCTTCCGGAAGGACTTCTCAGTTGTTCTTACTTAACAACGAACATAGGCTTTGCCTTTGATACAATACACTGAAGATGATAATGCAGGAAATCCTGAGATTACACTATACGTCAAGCTGGCTCGCCTCACTAATATCTCCCGCAATTCTGACCTAAGTCTTTGTTCAGAGAGAATCGGTTCGTAAGTCATATCTGTAGTTATTGAATTCACATCGACTGTGCCTCGTCACACGCTCACGATACTGAAGTCTTCACTTGAAGGATGATGCAATAATTTAGTCTTATCGATTGAAAAACGAATTGAATCGTAGTATGCTAGTCAATTTGCCGCTTTCGAGTCAAGGTAGGAGATAATTACCTTTTGATAGCCTCTCACACAGAGCGAATATGATCTGTCAGGTCTTTTTGCCTACCAAGCCACTACTATTTGGTGAAAGCACCGCCTTTGCTATTGACCCTGTGAGAGAATCACTCGAGCTGAAATCTACATTATTATTTGACACGCACCATATGCCTGTACTCACACCTAAAGCGGAATTTGGTCATTTCCGCGAATAAAGGCCACACAACAAGCACGCATGCTAACTACCACTCCTTGACATCAGGACGGCTGGCCCCAGGCCTTTCACAACACCTGGAGAAACACCGTAAAGTGACTAGTCCCGAGACAGTAGATTACCGACTGAGCGGATGTTAAGAATGGCAAATGAGATCTCATACACGTCTATCGCGATAGGTACTTATTGTTCCTCGCTACTAACCAAAAGTACATTGCCCCGAAACCCTATAAATTTATGAAGACAAAGCCTCCCGCTATTTTTCCGATCTGTAGAACTGCGAATCGATCTAGTGATAGCATTATTAGTAACATAGACTATTCATCAGCAATTTGGTGAAATTTGCTAAGATTAGGCGCGAAGTAAGGTGGTCGTAACGAGATGCTTCAGAAATTCACATAGCTGAGAATATGGTTGATTTCCCATGTTGTGATAGGAGAGGGGTGCCATCCTGTGAATTTGGTCACCCGTCTCTTGGATAGAATGCACTAAACTTGAGCCCTGCACAGGCTCTCCATACGGAAGGCGAGCCGCGGCATTAGAGGAATACAGGACTCCAGGAGTATTCCCTATTGGAAGCAATTGACCCTCATGGCGCGATGGAGCGCCATAGGTTAGGCTGATAATGCTGTTTCTCGGTGAGCGTCGTCTCCTTCCCCCAGGTGTCGAGAGTCCGAGACCAAAGCCTATCGTGGATTCCGCGGAGGCATCCTTCCGCCCCCAGTTCTATGTAGCGCTCGCACAAACTTCTCACGAGTTGGGAGGAAGTTTGAGACCTCGTATTTCTGGCATTCCATCTATACTTTCAGGTAGAACCGCCGTCCTCACATTGCGCTAAGAAGAAACATCTCAATTTTGGCCTGGATACAATGAACACAGAAGGATTTCGACTGATGCAGCTGCCAGCAACGGATCAAGTATAGCACCCGGTTCAACCGGCATCGTGACATGTCGTGACTGTTGACCATGGCAAATACCGTAATTGTACCGAAAATGAATGCGGTGGCGCATATCGCTTCAATCGACGATAGAAATAGATCCTGAAGTCCCAACCTGCATGCCGCATCTCAGGTTTGGCTCACCCAGCCATAAAAGCCTCAAGTAATATTGGCGCGCGCAGTGCATGCGTACTGATCGATTTCTCCGCCCACCTCGTAAGCACCCAAGTGCTTACAAGAGGCGTTTGGAAGGATTGAGGCAAAGGATAATTAGTGGAAGGAGGGATGGAAGTGTGGATGGCATGATGGATATTCGTACACTTCGATCTGGACCCTGAATCTGCCCATTACGGGCTCGTGATTTCCGTAGATCCCCCCTCCCCTCTCCCCCCGGACCTCTGCAGTCCGAAATAAGTAACTATCTCTTTTGTATCGCATGCATCTCAGAAGCGCGTTCCCATTCGAATTTATTTTTAATTGTAAGAACTTACACCAGTCACCCGAAATTGCGCGTGGCTTTCGAAGAGGATTGAAAAAGTCTCTTTCAAATTCCTTATCGAGTCATATGAGTGCGGCTAGAGTTGCCTAGTGAATCAGTGAACCTTTGCATCACCATTCACCACTGCGTATCATTCCGATGGTTTGCCTGTGGGACACCAACTCCCCACAGATATGATGACTGATGCCCGCTTGTCCACGTTACTTTGGGGCTATCCACTCTCTGTTTATGCCTGGAACGAACAATCACATGGAGATGGGTCGCCCTATGGAGAATCGCATAGGGCTCTCGTGGGACTAGAGAGTGGACCGCCGAAATCGGTACCAGAAGCGACAAGACTGATACTGAAGAATCGAATGATTTTACAATGCTAAACTGTAGGGCTCAAACTTGAGTGTGGATAGAGTGGATAGAGTGGATTCAAGGTGATGGATTTGGTGGCTCAACGGCTGAGTTAAGTTATAATGATACGCCGACTAGCTTTCGTCTCGCATTTATGTTTGCGAAGGCCCACTTGATCAGATTGTAGCTGAGGCATATTTCAAAGTGGATTATAGATTGTAATATCGCGGTAGGTCCCGATATTGTAATTCACCATGTGTCAACCAGTGGATCAATCGCGCAATGTGGAAGTCAATTAGATAGGAAGCAAGACTGGTTATGTAATGCCCAAATCCACTTGGAATCCAGATGGGGTTATCGCATATTATTGCATTATGTAATTCACATGTAGGTCTATGTCGCAGGCGACGTTCCATATCATCCATCACTCAACGTACATGGCATAACTCCATGGACGGATTAGTCGTATGTACCGTAACTAATTAGCGTTAGATCCTGGCTGTCAAACGTAGGCCAACCAGACCTGCAAAAGTAGCAGGTCACTCTTGTATTATGATTTGTGCTATTTGATTGGCCAAAGGATAGAAAGTATATCAACGTGAATTCGCTGACAGCGCGAGAGATCACGTTTCTCGAGTATGATGTTATGTAATACCTGCTTTGTTTGGATTTTAAACGATATTTTCGAACCCACTAA